CTTTAAATACAGACCCAATGTACACAATCCACCACGGAGAGAAAAAAATAGTGAACCTTAATCCACATGAAGTTAACAAACATGTAACAAATGTATCAGTGTGACACTAGGGTAGGGGAAAAGTGTGTCAAGAATCTTCATGTAGGAATAGACACCAGCATGTGTTCCTTGCAGCACTAGTGAAAATACAGTAAGGACTAGATTATTATTACCTATGGGCAGTAGCAATAGCAGTGATAAAAGTGACATTAACAATCTCAGAGGATTACAAGCAATCAGTCTGTTAAGGATGACTGATTAATGAGTTATATCACATGATCTTATTATGAAAGGTACAAATAATTAGGAAGTGCAAAAGGTAGAATTTACAGGTAAAATCCTTAGATTTGACATTATTTTACTGTAAGTTGAAATAGGAAAGAGCCATTCCCTGAGATGTGCAAAACTTCCCCTAGTCATGTTAGTTTGAGCCTCATCAGGGCACAATCTCTTACAATTAGATATACTAGATATATACCTATCTACATTCTTTTGCAGAAATGCATTCCGTTGATTTTCCTTGATTCCTGGATTTCTGTTCTCTGTTACATCCTTTGATTGTGGTGTCACATATGCTTACTTTGTTGTTATTGTTTTGTATTTTTAATGGCTGTTATATTAGAGCAAACATGATATCTGACCTTTTGGGATTGGCTCACTTCCCTTAGCATAATGGTCTCTAGTTGGGCCCATTTGGCCACAAACAATTGTATTTCAATTTCTTTTTAAATAGCTGAATAGCATTTCATAACGTAGATGAACCACGGTTTCTTTATCCAGTCTTCTTTTAATGGGCATTTAAGTTGCTTCTGTGTTTTTGCAATTATTGATTGTGCTACAAATAACATAGGGGTGTATATTGCTTTCTTATGTATCAGGTCTTTTGCATGTATTCCTAGAAGTGGAATTGCTGGGTCTTATGGTAGGTGGATTTTCAGTTGCCTAAGTATTCTCCATATTGGTTCCAAAGTGGTTGCACCAACCTGCAATCCCACCAGCAGTGGAGTAGGGTTCCTTTCTCCCCCACCTAACGCAACCTCATCAGCAGGTGGTGTTGATAGTTTTCTGTATGTGGATCATTCTCACTGAAGCTAAGTGGAACCTCAGTGTTGTTTTTATTTGAATTTCCTTTATTGCCAGAGAGTTTGAGCATTTTTTCATATGCCCGTTATTCATTTGGATTTGTTCCTTTGAGAAGTGCCCATTTCCCGTGCCCATTTCTTGGCTGGTTTGTTTGTTTTGTTGGGGTTGTTCTGGAGTTCTTTGTATATTCTGGATATTAGCCCCTTGTCTCCTGTGTAGTGTGCAAAAGATTTTCTCCCATTCTGTTGATTGCTCTTTCACTTTCTTAATTGTTTCCTTTGCTGTGCAGAAGCTTCTTAGTTTAATGCAGTCCCATTTGTTTATTTTGATCTTGTCTTGCTTTGCTTTTGATTATTTTTCTTGGAAATTAGTGCCTCAGCCTATATCTTGTAGAGTATTTCCAACTTTCTCTTCTAAAAGTCTGATGGTTTCTGAGTGTAAGTTTAGATCTTTTATCCATTTAGATTTTATCTTTGTGTATGGTGAAAGGAATGGGTCTTGCTTCTGCAGGCAGCTAACCAATTGTTTCAACAGCATCTATTGAAGAGACCCTCCTTTTTCCCAGATTGTTTTCTGTTTTCTTGTTGAAGATTAGATGGCTATATATGTATGGGTTCCCTTCTGATGTTTCTATTTTGCTCCATTGGTCTTCCTCTCTGTTTTTCTGCCAGTACCAGGCTATTTTCATAAGTACCACCCTGTAATATGCCCAGAGGTCTGTGATTGTGATACCTCCCTCTAGGTTCTTATTCTTCAGGATAGTTCTGGCTATTAGTGCGGTTTTGTTTTTTTTTTTAATTTTCAGATGAACCTTTGTATCATTTTTTCCAACTCTGTGAAGAAGGTTCTTGGTATTTTGATTGGAATCACGTTGAATGTATATATTGCTTTTGGTAATATGGACATTTTGATGATACTGAATTTGCCCATCTAGGAACATGATACATTTCTCCACGTTTTGAAATCTTGTATTTCTTTTCTTAATATTTTGTAGTTTTCCTCATAGAGATCTTCCGCATCTTTAGTTAGGTTTATTCCAAGGTATTTCGTTTTCTTCTCTGTTATTTTCAAGGGTACCATGCTTGTTAGTTCTTTTTCAGCCTTGGACTTGTTTGTGTATACTAGGGCTGTTAATTTCTGCTCATTTATTTTGTACTCTGCCACTTTACCAAACTCTCATGTATGTTCTAACCATTCCTTTATTGAGTCTGTTGGTTCTCCTATGCATAGAATCATGTCATTTGCGAACAGAGATAGCTTGACTTCCTCGTTATGGAATATTAACAATTTTTAAAAGATTCTAAGATTATACTTTTTTAAAAAGACAGGGAAAATTGTGGAACTGTGTGAGACTGAACCAAGCCAATACACATGAATTTCTGTGGGTTTGAAAGCCTCCTCTTCAAAAAAAACCAAAATAAGGTCTTAAGGTAAGAAATAGCATTAAAAAGTGCATATTATGTTCAAAGAATGGAGGTTTCCATCTATTAAGGCTAGATAGCAGTTTTACTTGAAGTTTCAATAGTAACTCCATAGATATGGCATGGGGATACTGCTAGGAGAATTGGAGAAGATAGAAGGGACAAAATGATCAGATTTCTCATAGGTTTAGTCTCCTGGCTTAAGTCTGGGTCAGCCCCAGCTGCTGTGGGCATTTAAAGAATGAACCAGCAAATGCCAGATATTTTATTTTCACTCTGTCATAAAAAGTCAATATGCTCGTCTGAGAGTTGATAATGGCCAAATCATGTCTCTAAAGAGGAGAAGTTTGATGTGACAAATTTTTAGGATAACAAAATTTTAGAACATGTTAACTGCTGGAAGGGTTCTGGCTTATTGAACTGGTGGGTTCCCTCAGTGATAGGATTTATTTGGGAGCAGACAGATTGGATGCAGATTACTCATAAAAGTCATCTGCTTAGGGACAAGCCTGGGCTGGATATACCATTTTAGGGCTTTGAAGCCTCTGGTAGTAACTGAAGCCATAGGAGTAGATGATACTGTCCAGGAAGGATTATAAAGGAAGAAGGAAATGAGCTGCAGGCAGAATTATAAAGGCTATACCAATGTGTATATGATGTACATGGGGAAAAGTAAGACAGGAAGAAGCTTCTTCATTAGATGTCTAGTATCTTAATTGTATAAGATAAATGGAGGAGCACATACAAATGAAATAGTAAACAATGTCACAATTGGTATGGCCAGTAAAACACTTGAACCACTACACTCCAAAGGGACCAGTGAGGGTTTACTGAAGAAATACTGGAATTACTCTACATGCTGTGGGTGGGAGGATAATAACTTTTACTCACCTCTTGAGGTTACAAGGAATGTATTGCTTATGACTAACTAACGGATTTCCGTGTAAACCTGGAAAGTGACCAAAAAAATCAATGGAGGCAAGTCTTCTGAGTCCTCCCCCGCTAGGCATTTCACTGATGCACGGATTGGTGGGACAAGATGAGACAGTGCATGCATCAGGCAGGAAGGGCTAGATGCATTGCTGTCAGTTTCTCAGTTTTCTCAATAAGTTGTTAAATCACAAATGACTACCCTAATTAACTATGTAGATTGTCAAAAATTTTAAAAATAGAAAAAAATCACAAATGACTATTTTAAAGCTCCTGTCTTCCTTGGTATGTTTGGAAGGCATTCTGTAAACAAAAAGTAGTTCTTAGATTTCTGGGCTGTGAAAACTTCCCTTTGAACTATCATCACAGCTCTGAGTAAAAGGCTCATTGATATGATTAAAAAGTCCTAAGAGATGCGGACTTGAAAAACCAACAGAGCTAACAACAGAACTGCTTTATCTCAGTATGGCCACTGTACAAACCCTGTAGTGCTTCATGCTGCCAAATAGCACATATTGTGACTTGCTTTGGGATTTCCTCTGGAGAATTGCCATCCTGCACTAGAACTTTTGAATAAACAGTGGATGATGTTGTGAATTTTATTTGATGTGTGGATATTATTATCTGACTTGTAGATATAAACCTCTTGAAGCAGTAGGGCAAAAGCAGGATGAGGAATTGCAGACTCCTTGAGTGTCCAGTGGAATTTTCAAGAGTTTAGCCTGCTTTCAACCCAGCTATTCAATAAAGTGCCTGTATTAAGATGAGGAATTCCTGGTTATAAACTCTGTTCCAACTGATTGTGTGATTATAAGCTCCCTAGATTGCATTTAAGGGGGAGTCACTAATATGTCAGAATTTAGTGCAAGTGTGGTGGTATTCCTCCTTTCTCTGTTTTACCCTAATCCTAAAGTCCCTAGGAAAGCATCCAGCCTTCCCTACTAAGCTGCTTTCCCTTGTCTCAGATGACTTCATAATGAACCAACCCACTGCTCTTGTGCTTTTTGCCTCTTGGTTTGATTGGATTATAGCTATAAGCAGGTAGTTTTCACATTGCCCTCAGTTTAACGGTTCTTTCCTGTGGCCAATATAATGATAGTTGAGTGACAGTTTACAGCCAATGTCATGGCAGTTTTTAAATAATGATACTTAAATAGGAACTGGTTTTGTGGTTATTGATTATGTTTGTTTAGTTTTTGTGGGTTTTTTTTATGAACTGGTTTTGTGTGTGTAAGGGAACTAAGGGGAAAAAATGTCAAGTGACAGAGTACTACTTGAAATGGAAGCATCTCTTGCCACTTAAAAAAATGTGTAGAGTTTTTTAAGGGTTTCTGTCCTTTCTAAAGCCTTAGTCTTCTGCACTTAATAGGAAATGGGCCTTATCTAATTTAGTAACACGTACAGCTTTTTTTTTTTCCTTTTTAATAATGTGAGGAATCATTTTCCCTTCAAACGTATTGTGGCACATTGAAATGTCAGACATGTTTAACATACTTGAGAGCCATGATACTTGTCCTTCTGTTGCAGGTGCAACAATGAAAGTGAATGGTCCCAGATCCATGAGAATATCATCCGAAAGTCCAGTGCCAAGTACTCTGCACCCAGTGCCAGCCACGGTGACGTATTTCTTTGGCTAACCCATTTTTGTTGAATTTGTAGTTGCTGATTACACATACCTTATTCCCCTGGTGCTGATTGCTAGTTCTATGCAAAGTTCAGTCCTCTATAGATATTTATTCTCCTGCCCAAGCACTTAATGTAATTTTTTTTTTGTAATAATTTGAAGCCTTTCCTACTGTATGCTGACTAAAAGCACATTTCTTTGATAGACTCCATGTGTCTTAGTGGGTAATTTTAATTCTAATGAATCTAAAGAGAATAAAATGTTGTGTTGTGGGGTTTTTTACATTGTTAAATCTGTGTTTTTATGAACCAAAAGTTAAAAATCCAGACTCCTCCCAAAAAAGACAAATATTAATATTCACTTGTTTTCTGCTCATGTCTATTGTAAACATCTTCAGTATAGCTTGACACTAGTGATGATCAGTCTTCCAAGATCAGTCATTCTGGAACTGGAATAGAACCTCTGTATTTCCAAACAGCTTTCATTTTAATTCAACATTTTCTCCTTTTCCCTTCTTTTGTTTCAAGCTCTGTTTAAGTAATCACTATCTAAATCTCAGTACAATTTCTCACATTAGATTGTATTTTAAGTTGAATGTTAATTGCTTGATTAAAAAGCTGTAGTTAAGAGCCTGTGAACCTTTATATATACCCCTGTGGATTGCTATCTAATTTACATAGAACTGTGTTTCTCCTGATACTTTTTCAAGTCTGATTCATTTCATAACATCTTTTATATAACCTTCTTTGTTTTCACTTTCATAGATCTTGTTAGAAGTTAAAGGTTGGTCTTAAAAGACAACGTAGAGCCACTACAAGACATCACTGTTCTTGAAGAGTGGTACTTGTTGAGGAGTACATTTTTGTTCTCTGTGAAGGTCAACAGATTTCAGAAAGGAGACTTTTTAGAGAAGCCCCACATACAAAGGTTGGGAAGGTTGAGACCCTCAGGTCGATCTGCTCAATCTCTATTGTGGAGTCCTGAGACCCTCTCTCACTAATGTTAAATGACACTTTTCGCTTATAAGTGAACCTGGATGTCAAGCATCTGATGCAGTATGCTTGAAGGAGCAGCATACAGTGTACTAAAACTAGGTGAAAGCAAAGAGACACCTAAAATTTTGTGTTAAAATATAGGAAAGTTGCTATCAATTTGGGAAATTTTCAAATCAATATCTGTTGTATTTTTTTTTGGTTTAGTTACTTAAATTATAAAAAGTCTTGTTTACAGATAACTAGGGTATGCTATGATTAAACATGCAGAACATTTACAAAGAGAAATGATAGCAATAACACTTTTTCAAACAAATACTAAAAGAGCATTTTTCACCTCATCAAAATAAGAGGATGAGTTTTCAACTTGCTCTCCACATGAGCAGAAGCTAAGCCATCTTCATTGTCTGTGATTATTGTCTAGAATTTAGAAAGCATCAATTAAGAACAAGTAAAGACATATAAAGAAGCTGGAACAGAAGTTTTCCAGTCATTTTTTAATAACAATGAATTGTAGCTTTGGTGACATGCATTGAAGTGGAATTAATTTACATAATTCTCACAGTATTCTCCCAAGGAGGGAGTGGAAGATGGGTTTCAGAGACGGAACAAATTTGCTATCCAGTATTTCACACAAGCATCAATTTGTTCATTTGCTTTTTTATGGGCCAGTCGTTAGCCTGTGATTAAATTTAGAAGGAAAATGACATTTTGGGGCCAGTGTTGTGGAGAAGCAGGTAAAGCCAATTCCTACAATGTCAGCAGTCCATGTTTGTATTTGTTCAAGTCCCAGCTGTTCTACTTCTGGTCCATATTGCTGCTAATGGTCTGGAAAAATCAGTGAGAGATGACTCAAATGTTTGAGCCCCTGAATTCATGTAGGAGACCTGAAAGTAGTTCCTGGCTCCAGACTCCTGGCTTCAGCCTGACTGGTCTCTGACCAGCCAAGTACTGAACCAAGGGATGGAAGTTCTCTGTCTCTGTACAAAACTCCAATTTTTCAATAAATAGGTCTTTAAAAGAAAATGATTTTCTTATGTTAAGCAGCAGATTTGTTCAGATTGGTGAAAAGATTGTATAGAGATTGAGTTCTTTGTCTTGAAGTTCCCATTGTGATGATGGGCAAGTAGAACACCCAAGTATTGTTAAAGGAACGTTGCCTATTAGGTTGGTGAGGGAATCACTTTTTGTTTCTATTAATGGAGTTGTTATTGCCATGAGGACCATTCCTTAACATTATTTAAGTCATGTATGGCTTCAAAACCAGAAACAAAACAAAACAAAAAAACCCTGAAGTTCCAAAATCACAAACCCAAACAAAAGGAAAATGCCACTTTTATATCCTCATTTTATGGCTTCTTGCATTCTTCATAAATCTTGCACTTCTTCTTGTGGATAATAAGTTTTCCTCTTGCCATATTTAGGGATAGAAAGTCAGCTGCTCAGGATCTCTTTGGTAACTCAGAGGTTAACTGTGACTCTCTCCCAGCATCTGTACAAGTATCATTGCATTTGTAGGATATTTTGGTTGCTTGAAACATGCATAAATGGAAGGCCTCTAGTGGAGTACTTAAATTCCTGACAGTGAGGAATAGTAAGAGTATATCTGCTGATTTATTTTCTTTGCCTTGTAACCATCATTCCCCCAAATTCTGTAGATTGTCCCATCCTCAACTATTTTCTCCATGGCAGGTTGTACCCTGGCCAGTGAATACCTGGCGTTTCATGGTATTCAGGAATGAAACCCAATGAATGGATTGAGGTTTGAGGGAGGGATAAGTACTTTCCAATTTTCTGTCCTCTTGTGGTCTTGGTTCTGGTCTCTAAGCTTTCAGACACATAAACTAATCATGGGTAATTCACCCAATAATTAGGCTGTAAAAATTATTTATTTTTAAGATTTATTTATTTTTATTGGAAAGGCAGATATACAGAGAGGAGAAGAGACAGAGTGAATCCACTGATTCACTCTCCAAGTGTCTGCATTAGTCAGAATTGTGCCTATATGAAGCCAGGAGCCTGGAGTCTTTTCCAGGTCTCCCACGTGGGTGCAGGGTCCCAAGGCTGTGGACCATCCTTGGCTGCTTTCCCAGGCCACAAGCAGAGAACTGGATGGAAAGTGAGGCAGCCGAGGTTAGAACTGGCACCCATATGGGATTCTGGCACATGCAAGGCGAGGACTTTATCCACTTGGCTACTGTGCCAAGCCCTGTAAAAATTATTTTTAGAGGACTAAAAACCCAAACACTATCAAACAGAATGATGACTGGAACATTGGTTGTTTGCTTTTCAGGACACTGAGATCCTGATGTTAATGAAACCCAGGGTTTTTTAGGAAACATGAACCAATTAAATAATCCTGAGGTTTTATCTGGAATGTAGTAGAAATGTATTTCTTGCACTGTCTTAGCTGTAGAGTTCATTTTCCTCATTATTTCAGTCATTTATCTGCTGGTTATAGTATCTGTGGCAACTTTTCTGACTTTTTATCAATTTCTCTGTCCCTTCCTTTCCACCATGCCCAGATGATTCTTATTTCTGATCCTTGTACTCTTCTAGTTTTCTTTATTATTATAACACATTTTCCCTTAATTTCTATAGATGTTCACCTCTTGCACAATTCTGAGGTTGCTAAATCAGTGCAGGTGCTTGCTGGTGACCCATAATCAGCCCCAACATTCAACATGCTGCTAACAGCCAATCTCAGAGTTGATGGGTTTCAACTCCACATAGACCTGGTCTCTTGGAGTCTTCAATCCAGTAGCAGTTGTGGAGACCCTTAGCAGGATGGAGTAAAGGAGATTTCACAAAATTCTAATTTAGTTGAAAAACTCCATTGGTTCAGATATGAGCCAGAACTCAAAATACCTAAAAGAGGCATTACAGAGTCTCCTATGTTCTGAACAAAGCTCATCTATTAGGATGATCTGCAATTCTCAAGAAGCCTCCGGCAAGGTCAAGTTAGGCCTTAATAAGTATCCTATCTTTTCCTTGTGATGCAGTTTTGCACAGGAGAGATGTGCTGTCTTCCCTGTTCCTTTCTTTACAAGCACTAGTGCAAGGTTGAAGCAGATACTTGCTTCCCATAGTTTGTCATACTTTAACCATCAAACAGCACATCTTAGTTACAACTTGTGGGACACACTGACCCTTGGTCCTCTTTAATCACACTTGTTTCTAATCTGTAGATTTCTGAGTTCTTAAAGGAATTATTTAAGTAATTTAGTCCTCTCATTCCATATTCACTGAGGACCAAAGGGACCCTAAGCTGAATCCTTGGGAACAGAGAGGAAGCCCACTCAATCTCCCAGACTTCAGTCTGTGTTTAAGGTTACTTTCGCGCAAGTTCCTTTAACTTTATGAAGTGTTACTTCAGAATAACATACATCCTGCAGCTAACCTTTCCTAACGAAAAATCCTGAACTTTGCCTGTTTTCCTCTATAAATTTAACTCTTCTAATAAAACATAACAATGAAAATATGGTTCTGAGTTAAGAAAATGGCTTTGTTTTTTTCCAGGTCTGATTGTTTCTCTGCAGCTTCTTCGTGGAGACATGGAACAGATCCGGAGAGAAAATCCCATGATTTTTAATAGGGGATTGGCAATTACAAGAAAATTGGGATTTCCTGATGTCATCATGCCAGGTAGGCAGCACTGCTTGGGGCTGGGGAGGAAAATAAAATCCACTGCTCCTCTCAGGAGCCTGTGAAGAACCGTGCTGTGGAGGAGCCTCAAAGCCTCCATGTTCCAAGTCGGATTGCACCCCTCAATCTGCAGCCAGTGGCCCTTTTAACTGTTTTTCCAGAAACCCCCACATTGTATGTACCACATAGCATGACAATCTAGGATATGAGCTTTGGTATTTTCTGTAAAGAATGAATGATAAAAGCCAATATGGAACTCTTCATGGATGTGTTTGTATACCCTCTTCTAGCACATTTCCTTGGAGAGTGCTGCTGCCTCTTCCCTGCTTTAAAGATAAAATGTCCCAAAACATGTACCTGCAATATCAGTGAATCCACTTTGTGTAGAAGTAGCAGAACAGGGAAGTGGTATGAGTTAGGCACTGTGAACAATGCTGCCTTTTCAGTTTCTCAGGAATTCTCTCACACTGTGTTACCTGTTGGAGAACAGCCAGGGCTGAGAATAGGAAATCAGTCAATGATCTTCAGGTGTGCTTTCAGTAGGTCAGTGCCTGTTCATGTTTCTTAACCGGGTGGGTAGAAGTAGGGATGAAGATGCAGTAACAGACTAGTAGAGACATGATCCAAATGTATGGTAGGAGGTCTGATTACTAGAGAAGGTGCAAAGAGGAAGATCAGAATGGGCAAGTGTCTGGCTATCTGGACACCTTCCAGGAGGAGGGAACCTACCTCTCAGTTGAGTTTTAATATACTGATAAGGACTTGTTTACTTTTGCTTAAAAAGGCCAGGCCAAGCTAGGCTGGAATGATGGTGACCTCTTTAGATTTTGTCTGTTTGAACTTCTTCATGATACTTTACTTAATTCTCTTGTTGGAAACATTACCTAGCATAGCACATATCCAAAGGGCAGTATGGCCCAAGTGTAGGGTAGACTCAGGTTATGGATCTAGTGGCCTCCTAGCTTCCCAGGCTGTGGCCAGATTTGCTTTCTGTCTCCTCTATTCTCTCTTCACAGACAATATACGTGCAGAGCAAACCACTGTGTACAGTCTTCTCATGCCCCCAGGAGGGTATTTCAAATATGTTTAAGCCACTAGTCAATGATATTTTCCTCCAAAAACTAAGAAGATGTCATACATATGAAGGCCCCAGGATGTTTCCTGCTTGTTGTCCTGACACCATTCCTTAGGTCCCTGTGGGCGTGGTAATCAGGGCTTTGAAAAAAAAAAATAGATGGTTGCTAATATTGATCTGGTGAGCTGTTTTAAGTTACATAGCTAAAATTACATGATGTAGTAGTACATTCTAAAAATATATACTTAAGTCCTCCTGAGATATTGTTTGTCTAACATTTGGACATTTTCTTTGTAATAGTTGTTACTTTCTCATGGTATTAAAATCAAGTAATCAAAGACTGAGAAGGAACAACTTCAGCCAACAATGTATTTAAAGTTTGATTTTAAGTTACAGTATCTCAACCTCATCTATGGAAAGAGATCTTTCTGGAGTACTCTGCAACTCTATGTTTTTGGATTTTGTGAATGTTGGATGTAGTTGTGTAAATCCAAAGTATCAGGCATTGGTAAGAAAGCTAAAGTTAAGATGCTTTTCCCCTCCCAGGGATAGCTAAGGAACCATTGTATGATTTGTTCCATAAAGCAGAGAAATGGAGCAGACCTGGAAAGTCCAGAGTGGGTCTGTGAGTGTGCTGCTTCCTGAGTTAACCGTCTTTTTAAAGGATTCTGTAGCTAAAAATAAGCAATCTTTTGTGTATATTCTCTTTCCTCCTCTGTTCTTTCTCTTCCTGAAAAAAAAAAAAAGAACTTTCTTTACTTATGGACACTGCCAGGGTTATGCACTAGAAACAATTGACAGCACTCTTCATGTACCCCAATATACTCTCAATGCACCCCTTTATCTGTTGTAATCTTCTGTGTGGGCTATGATAGGCCTTTAGCCCTCACAATGTTTATGTAACCAAATTAAAAGTAACAGTTTCATCTTCTTGACACATGCACATATGGAGCAAGCACAAGGAAAGAAATCATTTCAGTAACTGTGAGCATTTCAGTACTGAAGTCTGAGAAATTAGAGTAAATTGAGGAAAAAATTAGAATTACTCAAAAGCTGTGATCCTTATTTTAAAACCACCCAACAGTTGGCAGCAACTGCCAGACAGACACTAATTTGCAGAGGACTTTTTTTTTTTTTGGGTCAGGATGGCCCAGTTAGATCCTTGTCAAAACGTAATTGGCAGAGTTGCAGAGACAAGCACTAGGCATACCAGCACCTAATATGCCATTCTGTTAAGGTCTTTCTGCCATCTAAACAGTGCTTTCCTTGAGAGTGTACATGTACAGCCTATGGGTGCAGCAAGCAGGAGATATCTCCCTCTGTGCCACAGCTGATGTCCTGCTTGCATAGCCACCCAGCTCCACTCAGAACTCAAGGTCATGAACACAAGGTAACAGTGATGCTGCTCACATTCTGGGAGCTGTTACCGCTGAAGTCCCAGAGATATCAATGCCCACCTAGCTGATGCCATCTTAGACTATAGATGAACAAATGGATAAGAGAAGTTAAGCCTTTAAAAAAAATACATATACCTTTTGGTATGTTAGTCACCGTGTTTCTGTGGATACATCCTCCTCCCCTCCAAATTAATTTATATTCAGCGTAAAAATTCCTAGCTATAACACAGTTTTAGTCCTTTCCTAGATTTTTTGAAGATAAGCAGAAAAAGCTAGCAAGGGATAGGTGTTCTAGGTGTGTGGGTTGATATCAACATTGTTCCCCATGACTCACCAGAATAAGCCATAATAAAATTGTGAAGAAAACTGACTCCCAAAATACTGTAACCTGAAAGGAGTCACTTAAATCCACATGCTCAGCAGGGGACTGTGCTCTTCTCCAGATCATATCTAAACCAAAACAGATATATTGATACCCTTATGTGTTCTCTACTACTTAGCTTTCTTGGAAAATTTGTGCTGTGGAGGTGGTGAGGTCAGTGGGGTTACAGGACTCTCTCAGGACTCTGGAAAGTGCAGTGTTTTAGCCTAATTTCTAAGCTTTGGATCCCTAGGGCTGTCATTCACTGTGGATTTTCTATTAGGCAGATGATCTTCTATCTTGTCATAAGATGTCCACCTATATGACTCACTGTTTTCTTCTGAATAATGACTAAGCTTTTTCTGAAAATAGTGGTCCTCTAACTTCAGTGTGCTCAGAATCACCTAAAAGTCTTAGAAAAATGCTGATTGTTAAGGCCACCCTATTAGTAGGACTGACATGATACCAAATAATTTCTTGCAAGCTTTATAGATGATGTTGCTGGTCTGGGACCCCCATTGATAACAATGTCCTAGAAAGTACTCTGCTTTAGCAATGTTTTGTCCTTCCCTGAGTCAGATCTAAAGTGTGTACGGCTCCTCTCTGGGTTGCCCTGAACTTGTCCATTAGCTGTGCAGGCAGGACACTAGGGGACCCTTTGATTCTTGCCCCTGTGCTCAGAAATGCACTCTGCCCTTTCCTTTGACCCCTGATAAAAAGTGCAGCATGCTTCATCACCAACCTGCAAGTGATGTTTCCTTTTCTTTTCCTAGTTACCTTAATTGTTCTTGTTTCTTTCTGTGCTGTTCCCTCATTCTCGCCCCTTTCTTTCTGATGCAGAGATGAAGATAGTTGGGTGTAAGTTCCTGCTTTTGTATGTCTTGTCTGCTTATTGCCTGCCTTGCTCCCATCTTCATTCACTTCATGGAATGTTCAGATTCTGGGTGGGGTGTCATGTACATTATTAATCCGTCATCAGTCCCAACTTCTTGAGTAACTGACAAGGCATATAAAGAGAAATTACCAGCCTACTCTTGAGCACTGTGAGATATAAATACAGGTAAAGATTTTTATATGAAACACATGAATTACTCCCATTAACTTACCCACAAAAAGAATTACTATATATAGTGATATCACAGTATGTAAATGTCTATCCTGTTAGAACAGAGCACATCAGTGAATTCACAGTGTTAGGAACTCCTGCCCCCCAAAAAAGATACTGAAGACACAGTGAGAAACATAAACAGTATGTTTCCTGGATGCTCTTAAGAAGTTCACCCAAGATTTTTTTTCGTGTTATTTTTAGTGTATTTATCAAGAAACTGAGGACTACTACAAAATAAAATAAAATCACTGGTTTACATGCTCAGCACAGTCCAGTTTAGATGGTAGCTAGCATTGTATTTTCATGAATGCTGTCGGGAGATTTGCTGTGTTCTGCCAAGAGGTAGAATTGGCACCATCCCAAGCAGGCTGGTGTGTCCACAGGGAGGAAGTCAGTTCTAATTGTCCAAATGCTTGAGGGAAAGAAAACACATCCACAGAAGCTTTGCCTGGTCCTACCTATTTTACTTGAACTCAGAGCCTCCTTATAAGTGGTGTGAGTGATTTATACAGAAGGAACATAAATATAAAAAAAGAGTGTAAACCAGACTCCATACCCAAATGTATATAAGCCCTGCTGGTCCATTTCTGCTGTGCAAAAGTTCTGCATAGGCTGGAAGCATGTGAGACATATTAGGTCTTCAAAAGATTAAGAAAATTCATATTGTAAAAAGGTATACAGGAAATTCAAGTTTTGCATTAATATAACTTATCTTTTGTATTTTTTCCATGAACTTTGTGAAGTCCCCTCACTAGACTCTAGACTCATTGTGCCTATAGACTCTTTGACTGGAATATCTGAGGAAAACTTCTTATGCTGTCCAACACTCTGGTGCCTGAGCTGGATCTCAGAGGTTTTCTAAATTTTTGTGGCAATTCTTTTCAGAGGAGACTTGTAAATGTGTCCTGACCTCCTTCTCTTTAAGTGGTACTGGGGGGTCATTTCTGGAGTGTCAGACCTGTCACTGCTGGATTCCATGGCACAAGGCAAGTCTTTGAGTGTTCCACAGTCCCTATGTGTCCTGTGGTTGAGCAGCACTGTTGCTCAGGCTTCTCATTCTGGAAGGATTCTAGAGTCTATCAGATCTGTTGTGGTAAGTTGGCCTCTGGCTTACTCCTTGCTCCTTCCCAGTGGCTGTTCATATGGAATGACAGGAATCAGAACTTTTGATGTGCAGCTGCGGTGTAGTACAACTGTTCTTCACACACATTCCAAGTCAGGTTTCAACAAACTTTATAACCTACAGCATAGATCTAACCAGCAGTCTGTTTTTGTACTACTTGCCAGATGAAACTGGTTTTGTACATTTAAAAAGCATTGTAAAAACAAAGACACATGTGACTTGCAAAGCTTAAAATATATACTGGCTGGCTTTTTACAGCAAAAGTTTGCCAACCTCTGCCTCCTCTAACTACCTAGTTCCCTCAATTACAGCTGCCACTAACAGCTAAACACTGGCTATTTTGTAAGGTGAGAAAGGGCAGGTATTGTTTATTCTGAGGCCCTCTTACAAGGATAAACTCATTTTGTTCATCTCCATTCAAGAACCTTTGTTGCATGTCACCTGAGCAAAATAAGCACTCAAGAGATGAAAGACATTGTTGGTGCTGTAAGATGCTTTGCCAGTCTTAGGAAATAGAGGGCACCAAACAAAGGGAGGCAGGGCTGCCCACAGCTCTTCCTAAAAGGATGATCCCACAGCAGAGCCACTCAGCATTTCCAACTCCCATTCTGCATAAAAAAGCCTCACCCTTCCACTATTCCTCTATGCTGCATATGAGCTGTCCAGGCCTTCATCTACAGCCAAAGTTCGTCAGTGTCCTTACAGCAGACCCTCACTTCTGGTCCTGATAACCATGGAGACTTTCAGAATGACCTGTGGATTCTTTTATTATTATCATTATTTTTTAATTTATTGAGAACAGAAACAGAGAAAGCTCTCATCTGGTTCACTCCCCTAATATCTGGAATTTTTCCAATCAGAAGACAGAAACCCAGAACCCAATCCAGATTTCCCACGTAGTTGGCAGGTACCCAATTGCTTGAGTCATTACCCTCTGCCCAACCCCTAAGTGCACATTAACAGGAGGCTGGAATAGGAGTAGAGCTGATATTTCAACACATACACACCAATATGGAATTTGAGTGTCCCAACCAGTATTTTATCCAGTAGGTCAAATACCCATCCCTGATTTATTTTACTAAAATAATAATAACCCATACTTCCCAATTATTTGAATTTTGAATCTCAGTGTTTTCAGGACTTGATTTATTTAGTCTCTGTCCTGACAGGAGTAAACTGATGAATTTGTTTCTCCTTTTTAATGGCTCTTCCCACACACACCCATAGGTAGAATTTAGTGACTTTTTAAAAAGATTTATTTAGTTAACTTTAAAGAGTTACATGAAGAGAAAGATAGAGATCTTTTATCTGCTGATTAAGCCAGGAACTTCATCCAAGTCTCCCACAGGGTAACAAGAGCCCAAACACTTGGGCCATCTTGACACTACTTTTCACAGAATCACTAGAAGGGACCTGGGTCAAAGATGAAGTATATAGGATGCTGTGGTTATAAGCAGCAGCTTTATCTGCTGTGCCATCATGTCAGCCCCACATCTGAGTGATATTAATAGCAAGTCAGAAAGCACCTAATAGGGATGTCCTAAGAAAGCAGAAGTTTCCAAATTCATCAGAATTCAAAGCATAGACCCTATCCAGCCAAAAAGTCTGTGCAGGCTTCAAGTATGTGCACTCTCAAGGTTGTCCCACATATGTAACATATGTCCTTCCCCACCTGAACCAAGTTATTTTGAGAAGTATGATTGTACAGTTCTACCTTTAGGATAAGCAGGTGCAAACTCCAAAAGCCTAGTATATGTCAGTCCTGGCCAATCCCTATTCCATGCATGAGAGACACTCAGATATTTCCACAACTAGACAGACAAGCAGTCCAGAAAAGATGATTTTCTCATGTGTCCCTGACCAAACCAGAAAGCTCACTTGCTAACCCAAAACAATCCCCACTTTTGTTGTTGTCATTCAAGGTAATGAACACAATCAGAATTAGAGAGGTTAAGAGGGACCAGCAGGTTAAGCCACTCCCTACAATGCTGGTATCGCATATGAACACTGATTTAAATCCCAGCTGCTGCACTTTTGATCCAGCTTCCTGCTTATGCTCCAGAGATCATCAGAAGGTGGCCCAAGGCCTTGAGCCCATTCACCCATGTGGGAGGCCTAGATGGAGTCCCAGGCTCCTGGCTTTGGCCTGACTGGGCCCCAGCCATTATAGCCATAAGAGGAGTCAACCAGTGAATGGCAAATCTCACTGTGTGTCTCTGCCTCTCTCCATGTAATTCTGCCCTCCAAAGAAATCAGTCAACCTTTTAAAAAAAAATGGGGCGGGGGAGTTACTATTGCCACACATACATACACAAAGAGAAACTTAGAAAAAGGAGGAATTGTTAAGACAGATGTGATTTAAAAAGTAAATGTTACTTTATATAAAGCTTAGATTATACCTATTGTTTTGGAGGGGAGACTGAGCAGTCTGAGCACCTACAATGTAAGAAACAATTCTCTGTTGGACAAGCCTTGGAGAACACTTTTGGGATTCACACCTAGCAACACATGACTAACTAACCTGAGTATTGGTGCACCAATATTGGTAGACTGTCCATCGTTATTAACCAAGCTTGGAATGCCCTCAGCACCCACTCAAACCCTGGAGGATCTGAACGCTAGCCTGGTCCTCCATGCTAATGGAACCATGTGGTTTCTATGGTCATAAGGATGTGACATTTTTTCCCCACAGGTGATATCCGCAATGACTTATACCTGACCCTGGAGAAGGGAGATTTTGAGAGAGGAGGAAAAAGTGTACAAAAGAATATTGAAGTGACAATGTATGTACTTTATGCAGATGGAGAAATCTTGAAGGTAAGACTTGCCAGTCAGTCATTTGGAATGGAGTCTGATCCTGTAATGATTTCTCAGATTACCCCGTACACATTTGTCTTAGCCTTTTCTTTATCTTCAGAGAAACCCTATGGTGTGCTTTCAGAATGATTTCCATGGTCATGTAGCCCTTACACATGTTTCTCCTGGTGTTTGGCCTGATTCCTCTCTGCTCCAATTTAGACCTATTTCTTCTAGTTCTGTCATATAGGATACCTTTGATGCCATAATAAATAGTATGTAGTTTTGCCTACTTTTGGTAACTGTCATTAGATCATGTTCCTTCTCTTTGTTCTTTGAAGTAACACAGAAAGTTAGATTTGCACTTTAGTTAAGGATGGCAGTTGGACATTTGCTGAGATAAAGAATAGCAGATTCAGACACTGAAAGATTATTTCTAGCCAGAGTAGAACAAGGATCCTCTGTCACTCTTCTCTAAAAATGAAGGCCTGCAGTGCTGGTTTTGTTGTTAGTATGTCACTTTTCCCATAGTCTTGTTATGATAAAGTTCATGATGAATGACAAGACATCATTTGCGGCATACTTGGTACAAGACAGATCAGTCTTTTATAAGCCTTGCTTCTGGGAGGAGCAATGGCTCTGTGAAGCAGGCAGAGCAGTAATAGTCATTCCTATGTTACAGAGGAAAAGGATTGAATTAGTTGCAATTATTTCCCAATACAAAATAAAAGTAAATGATAATGTTGAGGCAGTGATAAAGACAGTGATTTGTGTATCATTTTAAAAACTCAGCTCAAGGCTGTACCATGTCCATTGTAGAAAACTATCAAAGGCAGTGGTGTCAGCTGTTCCCACTGTCCTTGTGTAGACAGGGAGCAGCTCCTGACTGTCTAGCTCAAAGCTTTCTGTCCTCAGACTGCATGTCAATATTTGCAATCCAGGGTCAGGTTAAATCTTGCGTGTCTTATTTATATCCAAGGAAAGTAAAACAAAGCAGCTAAAAAAAAATGCCAGTCCAACCTTGGGTTGAGGATAATTAGAAAAGAGGCTCTGTCTCACTTTACTTTGCCACTAAAATTTTTTCTAACCTTATCAAATGTATGTTCAGTTGACTTCTCCAATGTTTCCTTTTTCAGGGTGAAGAGCCTACCTTAGTGACTCAAACTAACCAGCTTCCCTTCAATTTTTTGAGCAGTATATATGGTTACTTCTGCCTGGGAAAACAAGCAGCATTGTGATTACTGATTCTTTATGCTTTATGCTATTCTTTTTTTTTTTTTTTACTGTTCTTTATGTTGTTTACACAGATGCTTCCAAACTATTTCATTTAAGTCAACTGTATTTTCCCAAAGCATTGATTTAGCCCAAGATGAAAATAAGACCTTCAGATAGGAGAAAATAAAGTATTCTGGTATCACAGGGAAGTCCATGCGCTCTCTCCAGAAAAGTGATATTTTGTTTTACTTCTCTCTTCTAGGATTGTATCAGCTTGGGTTCAGGAGAGCCAAATAGGAGTTCCTACCACTCTTTTGTCCTTTATCACAGCAATAGTCCTCGTTGGGGAGAAATTATCAAATTGCCCATTCCTATTGACCGATTCCGAGGCTCCCACCTGCGCTTCGAGTTCAGACATTGCTCCAGTGAGTGAGACTTTTTCAGCACATTTTCTTGAGTATATGAATGTAATTCTCCTGTAAGAATTGGAATTGAGAGGATTTTTTATTGTTGGGACAAGAAAACAAGTTAGGAATAAATAGATACCCAGAGGTGGGATGTCATCAGAGACTTCTTTGGCCTGTAAAAGTAGTGATTCAAAACGGTTGGATCTGGTAGTGGTCCTTGATATTCAAGATTATCCAGGATCATTCTTGTTTCAATGTTTCCTTTGTACCTATGGAGCTGCTGATTTTAAAAGCCCTCAAGACCAGAAATTTAGTTTTTGTTTAGATCTAGGTAACCTGTGTACCTGGGAGTATAAATAGAAACTCATTGCAATACATTTCTCATCCTTTGTGCTATTTGCTTGTCACCAAGTTAATAAGCAAAGTAAGGAAGAAAGGAGGTTAGGAGATCAGTACAAAGGGGATTTCTGTTAAAACAAAGTGGGCACTGAGTTGGGGACAAAAGCAACTAACACTTGGCTCTCATTACAGCAAAGGACAAAGGGGAAAAGAAGCTCTTTGGTTTTGCATTTTCACCCCTCATGCGTGATGATGGTACTACCCTCTCAGATGATATTCATGAGCTTTATGTTTACAAGGTATGAGGCTCTATTTTTTTTCATCCTCACCCCTCATTCCCAGAGACTACTCTCACACATGATTCTCAGGTGATTTTCTGTGCAGACCAGAGTACCAAAGGTAGTTTGTTGGTTTGTGACTAAACTACATTTGTGGGCAGGCTTTTATCTTCATTCAAGGGCAGGCCTTCCTCTGACAACTAATGTCAGCAATCTCTTTTTTTCCCACCTCCTGTTCCACTGGATGGAAATCCATTACTAGCTCCACTGTACCACTAAACTTTTGGCTAGTACATTCTGAGACCTGCTATTTGAGATCATGGTAGTGTCAGCTGTCACATTGTAACTGCACAGCAGGTAGAGACAACATGCTGCATTATACTCTGTTTAAAAGACACATGAATTCTTCTGGGGTATTTCTGAACTGAAAATACTCTTCATTCTTCCAAACAGACCTGAATCTTAAGGCCCAGCCTTAGGAATATGAAAGCATATATCAACTCAGAAGTTCCCTAGGACCTGGTTGAGGCACATGATATGTTGCTCAGAAACCTTTCTCTGTTTTCTACTTTTGCCTATAGTGTGATGAGAATAGCACATTTAACAATCATGCTCTATACCTGGGCCTGCCCTGCTGCAAAGAAGACTATAATGGCTGCCCTAATATCCCTTCAAGCCTCATCTTTCAGCGCAGCACCAAAGAGTCTTTTTTCATTTCCACGCAACTCTCCTCTACCAAACTCACCCAGAATGGTAGGTAATGATGACTATAGATGGTGCCTTCCACTGTTCTCTGTGTTGGCTGCCCATGGCTGCTCATGTGGAAGACAAAAATGATTGCTTCTTTGTTCCATGGTAAAGGAACTTCTTTCTCTTAGAGGAATTGATCAGCAGTAGCATCTTACGAGATTTCCTGTCATTTTAGTATCTGCAGGTTGCACGTGCAACATTTATCATTTTGTCCTTGGTCTTGATTTCAATACCTAGGATCCTATTGTAGTGCTCAGACATGCTACTATTTTCTAGATCTTACCTCTCTTTGAGTGGGAGAGTCAAGGCCTTACTTGATCTTGGAATGATCAGAATTCACCATCTATTTGGCATTGTTTTCTAGTTGATCTCCTTGCTCTGCTGAAATGGAAGGCCTTCCCAGACCGGATCATGGATGTCTTAGGGCGCCTGCGACATGTCAGTGGAGAGGAAATTGTTAAGGTATGTGTTCTACCCAATTTGAATACACTATCCAAGGAACTATGTGGCTAAGGAGCTGACAACAACTTAAGCTGCCACTTGTACTGGCAGCATGCCAGCTCATTACCAGCTATTCCACTTCTAATCCAGCTCCCTGTTAATACTCCTAAGAAAGCAGTGCTACCCATGTGACAGACCTTGATGGTTTTCTAGGCTCCTGGCTTTGGCCTGGCCCAGCCCTGGCTATTGTGGCTATTTGGGCTGTGAATCAGCAGATGAAAAATTGCGTGTGCGCTCTCTCTCTCTCTCCCTCCATACACACACACACACACCTTAAAGTTCCTCTTTTCTGTTTCCTCAGAAAATAAAATAGGATATTGTAAACTGTACTTACCCAACTGTGCTGTGTAGCACTAGCTTACCCATTCCTTCTAACCCATACGTAATACCACTATTCAACCTGCTTTTAGATTCTTTCATCAATCCTAAGCTCCAGTCATTACTATCCTATATTCAGATTGAGTTTTTTTTTAAGTTTTTGTGTATGAGGAGAAAGTATAGTATATGTCTTTCTTGTATCTGGCTCATTCACTTAACGTAAAGCACTCCATTTCTGTGCATTCTGCTGCAAATCAAAGAATTTCTTTTTTTCTGGCTAAATAACATTTCATTGTGTATATAGACTACAATTTTTTAGCTTTATTTTTGATGATGATTACATGGTATATCAGGGTGGGAAGGATTGAGGATTAGGGGAAAGTGGATGAAATCGCTGTTCCAAATTTTCTTTTTCTTCTTTTCTATGGGGGAAGGGAAGAAGCAAAGGGGAATCCACATCCAGTCTTCCACGTGACCCAGGGGTGGGGAACCACCACCCAATATCAACCCAAGCATAGACGACATTTTCTCAGTTCACCTGTTGATCGCACACATTGGTTGATTTGTATCTTGACTGTTGTCAGTAGTGCTGTAATAACCATGATTGAAATAATGACTTCACGTCTTCTGGCTATATACTCAGTAATGGAATTGTGAGATCAAATGGCAGTTCTGTTTCTCTCTCTCCCTCCTGGTCTCTCTCTTTTCCCTCATTCTCTCCTCCTTCCCCTCCCCTTCCCTTTTCTCTCCCTCTGCCAATGTCTTTCACTGTTTCTCATGTTTTTCTTTAGTTATTTGAGGGTTTCAAATCTTAGGCTTAGATACTTGATCCTTTGTGAATTGGTTTTTGTGTAAGGTTGAAGGTTAGGATCTTGTCTCATACTTCTGATTCAAAGATCGAGTTTTCCCAGCATGTTTATTGAATATACTATCCGTTCTTCAAGGAGTGATTTTAGCTCATTTGTCAAAGATTGGTTGGTTGTGGGTTGATGGATTAGATTTTGGAGTTTCGATTTTGTTCCTTTTGTTCTGTTACCAGACTGTTATGATTATAACCTCCCTAGTATAGTATGTCTTAAAATTTAGTATTGTGATGCCCCCAGCTTTATTTTTATTGTTTTAAGATTGCTTTAGCTATTCAGGTGTCTCTGTGTTTCCATATTAATTTTGGATATTTTTTTTTAATCTTAGAAGAATGTCTTTGGTATTTTGATTGGGATGTCTTTGACTCTATATAGCACTTTGGGCAGTATGAACATTTTGATTAATTCCTCCAGTCCATAAGCATAGAAAGTTTGTCCATTTTTGTATGTATTTATTTCTTTTCTTAATGTTTTATAAATTTTCCTTGTAGAGATATTTCACACTGTTGATTAAATTTATCTCAAGACATTTATATACATTTTTGTAGCTATTGTGATTGGGTCTGACCTTACAAGTTCTTTCTCAGCTATGGTGTTATTTGTGTATATAAATGCTATTGATATTTGTGTGTTGATTTTATATCCTGAAACTTTACCAAACTCTTAGGAGTTCCAGTGGGCTATTAGTGGAGTCTTTTACTTTTCCTATATTAGTTCATGTCATCTGCAAACAAGGATAATTTGACTTTCTGCTTTCTAACTTGTATCCTTTGATTTCTTTTTTTTTTTTTTTTCCTTAATGGTTCTAGCTAAGACTTCAAGAGCTTTATGGAAAAATAATGGTGACAGTGAATATCCTTGTCTGGTTGCAGATATTAATTAGTTTGATTGGTTTCTTACTGAGTTTTTTGAGTTTTATATATATGGAATATACACACACACATGTATTTCAGAATTACTGTTGTACAGTAGTATCTATTTTCCTTAGGAGTTTAGCCTTTACCCAACAGGAAGAGCCTTTCTTCATTTCTTTCAGGATCCTTTGTGCTACAAATGCTGCAAGTCTGCCTAGTTGTCTCTTAGTTGGATAGTGGAAGGGTACCAGCTGTTTTTTTAAGTGATAATTTGAGGTTTTAAGATATCTTCTACTTTCTTTTTTATTGGGAGGTTAAATTATTAGTATATAGGAGTTTGAGCACATATGCAAATTCCTGAGACCCAAACCCTCTGTTTCATGTTTCAGTTTTTACAGGACATCCTGGATACACTCTTTGTGATTTTGGATGATAATACAGAGAAATATGGCCTGTTAGTTTTTCAGTCTTTGGTAAGTTACCTTTTTAACTTTTCATGTTTATTATTCCTGTCACTTTAAAAAATGTAAGGGAAACAGTTTATTAGACTCTAGTACTAGATATAAATATTTCCAATAAAAAGAAACTAAGCAGTGTCAACCAAGGAAGACCAAGCAATCAATCTTCCGTATAAATCCCACCAAGATAAAATTTGTATAAGTCAATGTGGTAGATGTAAACCTTGACTTTGTAGTTCTGTATCCTTGTTTTATTACCGTTATGGGATTGCCTATTCACTGAAATGCAGACCAGCAAGAAGACCAGAGACTAACAGAGGAAACCATATAGCCCATTTTTGTTTTTCATTTACTCAGTAGGATATAACCACCAGGAAGAGCAGAGACTCGTTCATGCTGATCTGTGAACAACTATGCAGTTCCAGAGATCTCTGGAAATTTTCTGTTTATGTAGTTGTTACAGCCAGAGTCTATGAAAATGCCTAGAGACAATGGACAGTTATTCAAATGTTTAGTACATTTTACATTATGTTCTATAAGGCTTTTTTCAAAAAGTCCATGGAAGGTAGAATCAAAAGATAAGTTTATTTTTGTGCAAAAAAAAATTTGAATCAGTTCATAATGTGAAGCTTTTAAAAGTTCATGAAAATGTATACTATGAAGAAACCATACATGGATTTCAAATTCTTTTCACCAAAGTAAACCTATTTTAATTCCATTTTTGAGGTAATCTTACATATCCAGTCCCATGAGAGGGGTGTATATTCAAAGAGAACCAGACACTGCAGCTATCTAGTAATAAATAGGGAACCGAGATGAGTGTTGAAAGCTTGCCTAGTTTGCTCCTCTGGCTTTTCTTATTTTTCATTTTCCTGGCTGTCAGCCCCATTTCTGATGGGTATAGGTTTTCATGGGCTGGTATAACTGACAAGACAGTATTTTTCTGCTCTAAATTTTCTAAGCTTAAATTGTCCCCTTAGTGTTTATGCCATCTATACACAGGTATCCCTGCATGTATGCCTGCCCTTACTCTATGTTTTGCTACTCAGCATTATTGTGAAATGAAAAACTCAAAGTAACACATGCCCAGATTGATGAGCTCTAGGTTTGTATTGAGAGGCTGTGGGGGTAGGAAGATAAAAGATAAAACAAACACAGACACAGGGTAGAAATCTCACATTCAGTACCCGCAGGGAGCACTAGAAGAAACACTGACAGTTTGCCATTCCCTGAAGAGAAACAGTCTGTTTCCTGGTAGGGATGATTCTAAGACCTCCAGAGAGCAGAGATCCTTAACGCCCTATTCTCCTTCTCTCCCAGGTGTTCATCATCAACCTGCTCCGAGACATCAAATATTTCCATTTCCGACCCGTGATGGACACATATATCCAGAAGCACTTTGCTGGAGCTTTAGCATACAAGTATGTTGCTTTTGGGTCTTTCTTTAGACTTGTATTTGAATATGAAAACAGACTTTAAAACCTTGATCCACAATCACTTTTCAACATTCAGCTGCTTTTTCAAACTGTTTCTTTAAATTGTGGTAACATATACATACATAACACTTACCATCTTACCCATTTTCTAGTATATAATTTAGTGACATCAAGTACATTGATGTTGTGTAGCCATCATCAGAATTCCATCAATTTCCAGAACTCTTTTCATCTTACAAAATTGAAATGCTAATGGTTAACAATAAATCTCATATCTCCATTTCTTCCATTGACACCATTTTTGTTTTCTGTTTATAAATTTGACTGCTGTATGTATCTTTTATAAGTGGAACCTTAAAGTATCTGTCTTTTTATGACTAGTTTGTTTCATTTAGCATAATGTCTTCAAGGTACATTGATGTTTTAGCATATGTTAGAATATTCTTTGTTTTGAGGCTGACTGATATTCCATAGTGTGTGTTTGTGTGTGTATGACATTATTTGTATTCATTTACTCATCCATTGATGGGCAGATTGAGTTGCTTCCATATTTTGGTAATCATGAGTAAGGTTGTTATTTTATGAATGTTCCCAAGAGAGTTTCTGTAGCACATGATAATTCTGTTTTGTTTTTGTTGTTGTTGTTTTAAATCATCATACTGGTTTTCACAGAAGCTGCATCCGTTTACTTTCCCACTAGCAGTGCATAAGTTTCATTTTCTCCACATCTTGCCTACATTTGCTTTTTAAAAAAAAAAAAACAAAAAGCAGTCATCCTAATGGGTTTAAAATAATATCTCATTGTAGTTTTATTTGCATTTTCCCAGTAATTAGAAATCTTGAGCATCTTTCATGTGCTTGTTGTCTAATTGTATGTATTCTTTGCAGAAATGTCTGTTGAAGTCTTTTGTTCATTTTTTTAAGTTTTCTTTTATTTGAAAGGCTAACAGACAGAAACAGGAGAGACAGAAGAAGTTTTCTGTCTTCTGGTTTACTCCCCAGATTTCTCACAACCAGAGCTGGGCCAGACCAAAACAAGGAGCACTGAACTCAATCCAGGTCTCCTATCTGGGTGACAGAGACTCAGATGCTTGAAATATCATTTATCACATCCTAGGGAGGCACACTAGCAGGAAGTTGGAATCAGAAGCTTATGTCAGAAGCTTAAATTTGAGCCCTGACTCAAACTTAAGTAGTCCATATGAGATGTAGGCATCCCAAGCAATATTTTAACCACTGTGCCAACACTTGCTCCACTTTATTCTTTTTTTTAAATGAGGCATTTTTGTATTTTTGTTCTTGAGTCATAGGAGTTCTTTCTGCCTTCTTGCTATTACCCCTTTTGACTTAACATGATTTGTAAATAGTTTTCCTATCTATGGATTGCCTATTCAGTGTGTTAATTATGTTCTTTGAAGTAGTTTTAAATTTTGGCATAGTCCAAATTATCTATTGTTTTCTTTTGCCTTTGATCGCATCAAAATAATAAATTATTGCCAAATCCAATGTTAATTAAAATATCTCCCTCTTTGTTTCTTGTAAATTTTGCAGTTTTAGCCTTTTTGTGTAGGTCTTGACTCCATTTTGAGTTAGTTGTTGTATATTGTGTAAGGTAAGTGTTCAACTTTATTCTTTTCACATGTGGACATCCAGTGTGGATATTCCCATTTGCTTAAGGCTGTATTTTCTCTTTGAATGATCTTGACACCAGTTGAAAATCATTTGGCCAATGTATGGGAGAGATTTATTTCTTGCCTAGTTTATTCAATTATTGTTTATTGTCTTTATATCATTAAACATTGCTTTAATTGTTTTATCCTTGTAATAAGTTTGGAATTCAGAAAAAGAACAATTATTGTTCTTTTTCACTTCTTGGACTGAACATTTTATATGAATCTTAGGACAGATTCTTTTTTAATTTCTGTAAAAATTATGTTGGAATTTTGATAGACTTCAATGAATGTTTGCTTTGGGGAGGTAGTTTTCACATTTACAATACTGTCTTCAATACTGTGAGCATCATGTCTTTCCATTTATTTGTGTCTTTGATTTTTTTCAGCAGCCTTGTATAGTTTTCAGTATGTAAGCCTTTTGCTTCCTTAGTTTCCTCCTAGGTATTTTATTGTTTTTGATGCTATTGTAAATAGAATTATTTTTGTTAATGTATAGAAATGGAATTTTGTGTGTGTGTTTTATTTCTGACAAATCTGCTGAATTCATTTACTAGTGCTAATAAGTTGTATGTTAAGGGTATAATTCTTAGAGTTTTCTACATATGAAATGTCCATCTAGGAAAAAAAGATAATTGTACTCTTTACTTTCCAATTTTATGCCATTTATTTCTTTTTCATGACTAATTGGCTAGGACTGGCTAGGCCTTCCAGGACTAGTTGAATAAAAGTGGCAAAAAGCAAGCATCTTTGTCTTGTTCCTAATCTTAGAGGTAAAGCTTTTAATCTTTCACCATTTAATATGATGTTAGCCATGGACTTTTCAAATAATAGTTTATAACATAATTGTTATATATTTTTTTCTTCTAAGAAATAAAGTAAAATTCTAAAAGTAGTCTTACTTCTTCCATGTGAAAAAATGAAGAGCTAACTATTGTCCCTACAAATCAGTGCTGAAAAAATAGATAATCCATGGAGATAATATAACTACTAAGCAAATATGAGAAATGCAGATAATCTAAGACCATTAAAGCAATAAGAAACAGTCATTCTCACTTTATACCATTTTCTAAACCTACAGTGCCAAGATACACTAAAATAGAAGAATGACAGAAGATTGATGGACTTGTGACTCTTATTAGGGATAAACTATAATAAAAATATAGGGGAAAATGGTGCTGGGGATTACGGTAGGGGAGGGTAGGAGGGAAAACCCCTGAGCCTAAGCAGCTATATTATGAAAAATATATTTTTTAAATTTATTAAATAAATAAATATTTTTAACAAAACATTTTCTTCTATAGAATTAGTGCAATTTTTTGAAATATTAAAGAAAACTGATAAAACTGTAAAGTTGTTGGAACAGTGAAAATGTGCTGTCACTCTCAAGCAGGTGCTGTGCTTGTATATGTCACCCTGTTAGTATTCAGAGTGACTTTGAGATGCATTATTATTTACTTCGTATTTTAGGTGAAGAGAATGAGGCAAAAAGAAATTAACTTCAGGGGTACAGAACCAAATTTTGATAGGCCCCAGAGGTGACCATGGTCTACACTCTTGACCTCAGTGCTCCGTACCTTACAAATGTGTAGAACTTCTGACCCAGTAATCCAATTCCTCTCAGGTGACTTCTTCCTAAGAAAATTAGGTAGACTATACATATTCAAAGCTATTTTTGTATTAGCATTGTTATGTTTTAGGTGCATAGCAACCTAAGACAAACAAAAATAGGCATTCAAATCTTTGGGGAAGGGAGAGTAGAAGAGTGATTGCAGCTGCTGATTAAAATGTGGCCAGCTTCTTACAGACACAGGGTGTTGTCTGCTCAGGATCTGAAAAGTTCACAGTTATACTGGGTCCATCATTCCATTCCGGCTCAGCAGAATGTTATTTCCTCTTTGGACTACAAACACTTGACTGCATTGCTTTTGGATTAAAGTGGGGTTTCTGGAACTGTTCTCTTTCTCAGGGAGCTCATTCGCTGTTTGAAATGGTATATGGACTGCTCAGCAGAACTGATTCGGCAGGATCACATTCAGGAAGCGATGCGGGTAATGTACTGAAGCTTACTTCACTTCAGAGTCCAATCCATACAGTTATTTGTGAATAGTGGCAGTGGTATGGTTTGCAGCATAAGCTAAAATAGTGCCCTGCTTCCAGGAATGACTGCCTTGATCCACATAATCCACATGTCCTCATCTCAGTTTTTACCCCTGAATTATTCCTAGTGATTTTATATTAAAACAAGAGAATAAGATGATGTACACATGGCTCCTGGCTTAAGGATACTGAAGAGGTCATGATAGAAAAAGCTGTTTTGTCATTTAAAAAGAAAATGTCTGTGTTGGTTGATACCTACTGTGCATCAGACATTCCATTAACCTCTGGGACTACAGCAGGGACCTCACCAGGGAAGTCCATGCCTTCATAAAATGTCCATCCTGGCCTGGTGTGATAGCCTAGTGTCTAAAGTCCTCATCTTGCACGTGCCAGAATCCCATATGAGCACCAGTTTGTGTCCTGGCAGCCTTACTTCCCATCCAGCTCCTTGTTTGTGACTTGGGAAAGCAACAAAACACAGCCCAAAGCCTTAGGATCCCACCCAAATGGGAGACCCAGAAGAAGCTTCTGGCTCCTGACTTCAGATCCGCTCAGCTCTGGCTGTTGTGGCCACTTAGGGAGTGAATAAGCTAATGGAAGAGTTTTGTCTCTGTCTCTCCTCCTCTCTGTATGTATCTGACTATCCAATAAAAATCAATAAATCTTAAAAAAACAAAAAAGAATATCCATCCAAGTCAGGAAAGACAGACAACAAACATATACAATAGATAAATATAAAAAGTAGGTAAAACAGCGTGGGACTGACATTATGGCCACCTAAAATATGTCATGGCATGTTAGAGCACCAATTCAAATCCTGGATGCTCCACTTCCAATCTCACTCCCTGCTCCTGCCAGCAGAGCCAGTAACTGATGCGGAGAGGGTCTGGGGATGAAGCACCACAGGAGACCAGTGATGGTGGGAGTTTCTGTGAAGTCTCCGTTTATTGCTCCTTCACCTTTGCTTATATACTCTTCCCCCCCACATCCTCATTTAGCAGGATATTGGATACAGATGAGTCCAATTAGTCCAGGTGTTTTTAGCCACAAACCCAGTTCCTATTCCTGCCCAGGCTAACTAGCATTATTCAACTCATTAGCCCACAACAACTCCCTGCTGATGTCATTGGGAAAACAGCAGAGGATAGCCCAAGTACTTGGGATTTTGCCAACCAGGTGGAAAACCCAGCTTGGGTTCCAGGTTCTCAGTTTTGGCTTGGCCCAACCCTGATCATTGCAGCCATTTGGGGAGTGAACTGGCAGATGGGAAATATCCCTCTTTCTGTAAATATGCCTTTCAAATAAATAAATGGGTTTTTTTTTTAACCAAACAAATGAGTACTGTGAAGGAAACAAACTGATGGGATAGATGGCAGGATCCAGGAGTTAGGGAAGACTTCTTTGAAGAGAGATATGAGCTGAACCACTGTTAAGAGCTGGAGGGTGAGCATGCCAGACTGAGGAAACAGCATTTTAAAATTCTAGAAAAAGTTTGGGTTTTCAAGGAACCAAAACCCAATTGCCAAGTCTAAAGCAGACATTCAAATGTTAGATGGGATGCTGGTTCTGAGAGTCTTTTTAGATCATCTGATTTGATGGCAGGATTATTTATGGAAGTGTAGAATTCTGGAGATCAGATTATGATATGGAAAAGAATGAGTTTCGTTTGAGGAAACTCTTTTCTGAGGTGCTTCAGATTTGTTCTTGCCATTTCAAGTTTGTTGCCTAAACAGCCATCATTAAGGCTATCAGGCCACTTACCTGTCTAAAAAAAATTTCAATTTGTAGTTTCCCGTGATGAAACATGGAAACTTTTCATCCTTCTCAGGATGTTTGCTCCTGGAAAGCATCCAACATGCATTTGTTTATCCCTGTCAGTACAGTATATCTTCCTGATCACAAACCCACTTTCAGAACCTTTGATAAAAAGTCTAGCCTGCAGAAAAGCTTATCCTTTATTTTTCTTACTTCATTACACCTTTTTCCCTTCTAAGTGACCTGTAGAGAGTAGCATTGTGGGTTTGAGTTCCAGAAACAGCACGTTTTTTATGACTGAACTGTGTCAGTTCCTTCTCAGGGAACCATGAGGAGGAAAAAGAGCATGGCGCATTTTCTTGTCAATAGAACTGATGTTAAAAACTTGTAGACTCTCTTCCTTTCAGGTGTCTTAACTTAAATGGAAAAGAACAAGGCTGCTGTTTTAGCCATGTTAAGTGCTCCATTGTTTCATACACAACATTGGGAGCATCCTTGGACTCTTAACAAATTCCTTCATTGTTTGCCCCACTCTCCTCCCTCAGCTGAGTCTGTCAGAGGTAGCTAGCATCACTTGGTCCTGGTCAAGCCAGTGCTGATTATAAAAATCAAGAGGCATAGATAAGGGTAGAGTTCAGCAGTGGATGACTAGAAGTGTGTTTTTCATGTTATCATTGCATGTGCACAGCCTTCTTTGACACTAGCCTTATACTCATCTGCAAGGTATTCTGTATTTTCAGAACCTAATAGAACTAAATCCTCTTGCCCAAAAGAAGTGAGCAACTTTGTTGTCTGTTCTACTTCCTCACAAACTGATGGACTTTTCAAGATAATTGATAAATCTCTCGGGGTAACTGTTCCAAACAGAAAAAGAAAAAAGTGATAGTGGTAATGAGGACAGCAATTTCCTTTTTGAAATTGGAGGAGTTTGTATCACACAATCAGATTATTCCACCTGTTGTGTATCCTAAGATTTCATGTTTTAAAAATGTAGCTTGTTTTCTGTCTTTGTTTCTAAGTAGTCCACATAGTTATGGATCCCTCCTGGGGTTAGCCATATGACTGCAATAAGGAGCTCAACAGTGTCATGCTTTTGTTTGTCTAGGTGACTTACATGTGCAGCCAATCTGACTTACATAGCCTGCTCCAAGTGTCAGTGGACATTGACTCTGTTTCTTTGTCACTTTAATCAAATAAAAACAAAATACCTGAGAAAGATCATATTTGATATCTGATCAAATGTTTGATGTAAAAATTTTATTTCCTTTATTATGATAGGAGGTACCTCCTACTTAAGTGACTTCAGATTGGCATAACCTAATAAATGAAGTTGGGCTTCAGAGTTGCGTGCTTTTCTGTTTCATGGAACTGAGAATCTCCACAATTGTAGACATACTAGAGCAAAGGCAGAGTCTTGCTTGCAAATGTCTAGACTTAGAAATTCATAAATTTTTTCGCATTGTTTATAGATAGTCCTGTGGAATTGAAGTCACACAGTGGAATTTCTTCTATAGGATTTTCCTTTATTGACCTTGTAAGACACAGATGTGTCTTAGAGAAACATAGTAACTTACACGTATGTCTAAACTAACATTCCCTAATGCCAACTGATTTCTGAGGGGGGGGCCCCACACAATATTAACCCTTACTTTGCCAAACTTTCTGGCAGATGGACAGATCATGAAAGGTAGCTCTGGAATTGTTTTATGTTGGTAAATGTATTTTAGTAACTGAGCTCCATTTGTTTCCTCTTTGGATAAGTTTTCCACCAGTGTTCCCACCTTTGCAGTTTCTGGTAAGTCTGTGGTGTTTCTTTAATTAAAAACAGTCTTGGGTCTTGAGTCTGTTCTCTTCAAAAAAGTATTGATCTGCTTGTAAGCATAAGCCAAACTTCAGGGACACCTCAGACCCCCATTCTGCTCCCACACCATTTTAAAGGAGCTGTGTTTTTAGTTTGTGAACTATTTATGGCAGATGCTCTGGGTAGAAGGAGTAAAAACTGGGTATGTCAGGCTCATCAGGTGCTCTCTGCAACCTGTGATGAATTTTCTCTAGGTTTTCGTCTTATTATTTATTTGAAAGAAATGCAGAAAAGAATATCCCACCCACCAGTTCACTCTCCAAATGCCCGCAGCAGCTGGGACTGTCCAGGCTGAAGCTAGGAGCTGCGGTTTCTCACATGGGTACCAGGGACCCAACTACTTGAACTACCACCTACTGCCTCCTGGGATGCACATGAGCAAGAAGCTGCGTCAGGAATGGGCCTCAAACCCAAACTTCTGTGTTTGCTTGGAAGAGGGCAAGCACTATGTCAGATGCCAGGGATATCTCAAAGATAAGGAAAACTCCTTAAAGACCATTCCTTCTTGTCATAAACTGCAAGTTGATTCCCACTTCCTTGCCTTTGCCTGTGTCTCAGACCCTGAAAGAAAATACAGAGAAGCCTGATTTTCTTTTGATGAATGCTCTTGAATGCAATTCTTTCCCTAACAGCATATGACTACTTAATTCCTAACATCAGAGAATACTTACAAAATCAATTGATGATTCTCTAAGAATATATAGCCTATGCTTCTTAATGATTTGTATTTTCAATAAGTTTTTAAAGGCATACATCTGCCTCCATAGTTGGCATTGCATCATCTGATTTTAATATAGTGCTTTTCCCCAGCTCCATGTTTTGTGAGTTCCTGATTATCTTCAATACCTCTCCATCACTTTTTCTGTTAACACCTCTAGGCCTTGGAGTATCTTTTCAAATTCATCGTGCAGTCACGGATCTTATACTCACGAGCCACCTGTGGAATGGAAGAAGAGCAATTCCGGTCCAGCATCCAAGAACTTTTCCAGTCCATCCGGTTTGTGCTCAGTCTGGACAGCAGAAACTCAGAAACACTCCTTTTCACTCAGGTCTGTGAGCTTCAGGGAATGAGTGTTGCTGGATCCCTTGTCTGTCTTAGCAGGTGGTTTCTTTGTCCTCTGGCACCCAGACCTGGAAAGACACCTGCCAGAATCCTGTCTGTTGGGTAAGGGATAATTGACAAGGACACGCCTTATAGAACAAAACATTACTTTTATTTCAAAGCCACCATCTCTCAGTTGCCAGATATTTCTGGTAGAGAAGCATACACTTACTCTTGTGAACCAAACCCTCTTTAGACCAAATTCGTTTAGCCATGATATTAATTTAGTTTTTTATAAGCATGTTATTCCTATGTATAATCAGAATACTTAGGGAATTTTTATTTCCTGATTAATGTGTTATCAGAAGAGCTTTTTATATTATTATGAATCCATTCCAGAAATTAAGAGTGAAATCTATTGAAAAACAGTAAAAATAGCTGGAAAGCTTTGGCTAAGATTTTGGATTACATTGTTAGGAAAAGCATTTTGGTAAGGCAGTTTGCTACTTTATGCTAAAGCTGTTTGACCAGCATTAGTTATCATCTTCTTCATGCAGTCTAATCCTAAAACAAATCCAAGATTTGTTACTCCAAGTCCCAAGAGGGCTATTTACTTTTATAAAGTTAATGTTGGAATCTTTCCTAGTGGATTACATATGGTTATGTTATTTTTTGAAACCAACTATTACATCGGCCTGTAATAACAAGTATATGTTTAAATTCTAACCCATTACAATTAGAACAACCTACATTTTTGGTTTTCTAGTTGTTTCTGTTGCCCATTGATTCCAGTCATCTGCAGGCCCCTTAGCCTAAAGGATCAGTTTTTGCTTGGAGTTAGACTCTGTAAGCATTTCCAGGTGCCTCTGAGAAAAGAAGGTGCCTTCCGAATCTCCTGTTAATTGCCCCAAGTAATTCTTCTCCCAACCTTGTCGCTCCCATAAACCTCCTATTCCTTCCACCAAGAATCAAGAATACCTGTTGTTACCTCTGGGGAGACTAGAGGTGGCTAGCAGAGCAAAGCAGATATATATGCTTTCTGGGAATTCAGCAGTGCCCATACTGAGTGGCACACTCCTACGTCCTCAGGATAAATAGCTTCAACCTGCTCACAACTTAGTGCCAAGGTCATGTTTCATGAGTTGCAAAACTCTCGGCAAAAACACTGTTAGTCTATATCTTTGATTATGATCACTGAAAGCCATAGGGTGCTGGTGTCCTGCTGCCTTATTGTATAAATATAGGGAATTTCACCATTTAAGAGGAAAATTATCTATTGTTTGTTATTAGTTATGAATCATCTGCTTTGTTTTTTGTATATAAGCTGCTAATGCCTTTGTACTGGTTCTGTTTATTACAAACCAATCACTGTGGTATTCCAGAGTTACAGATCTGAAAATAGGATTCATACAAGCTCCACAGTTTGGAGGAGCTTAACCTAAACACAGCCCATTGTATGACGGGCCTGTTCCCGTGGTTTAAATTTTCACTCACATTTGGTCACTGCCTTCTAGATGATACAATCAAAGAAAACAATCTCTCCTCTCCTATTTGCCTCACCTTCTTGTCTCAAGGTGTTGCTTCTATTTAACTTTGTAAGCCTTGCATTAATAATATAAGAGGACTAAGAAGAGGGTAAGCCTGCTTCAGGCAGCTTCCATTTAAACAAGAGCAGAACATGAGAACCAGCATTTACTGAAGGCCTTTTGTATTCCAGGCACTCTACTGGAAACTTTATGCACCTAATTTTTTTCCTCATACCAATATCAGGAGATAAGTAATAGCATCATCCCCATTATATAGATGAGAAAACTGAGGATTAGGCAGTAACTCGACAAAGTTTATGTGGCAGGTAAGTAGTAAAACTGGGATTTCAGTTCATGTCTTTCTAATTCCAAAGCTCATTCTCTTTCTCCTACAGTGATCTGCCTCCCTAAGGCTCTGGAACTATCACTTTATCAGATTGTCCTCCAGAATCCATCTTCATGGAGCTCAGATCTTAGAAGAAACTCAATATCTCTGTGTCTCTGTTTTTCTTTCTCTTTTCCCTACCCTTGCCTGAGCCATCTAGGTCACTGATCTCTAAAGCCATTGTCATCAACAATCTTCAAAAGTTCATGGCTAAGAAATATACACAAATCCCATCTTTTTTACTTTGTATGTGAGACTATGATCCATCACATAAGAAGGAAATAATTTACGAAGTCTTCAGATTTCCTTGCTGTAAATAAATCTCTTTTTCTGGGGGTAGTCCAGCTCTCAGAAGTCAGTTGCTGACTTGAGGGCTGTCAGTCAAGTTTAACCAATGCTGCTTGAAGGGATTTGGCTTTCCGAATCCCTGTTTGAGATCAAAACTGATATTGGGATGCCACAATCTTGATCATAGAGACAAAGAAACAAAAAATCTGAATGATTTTATGAGCAGCAGAGCTGTGAATCTTAAGCAACATTGAGCAAATTTCTTTTTATAACCCTCTGTGTCAAAAAATTTCTTGGCAAGTGATGAAAGCTTCAAGTGCCCGGTACCCCCAATAAATTATCCTGTTTTGCTTTCCTTTGGGGTTCTCCTATCTTCATGCCCTAGGAGTGCTTTGGGGCTGGATAGAGTCAAGGCCCAGAGAGGAGCTACTCAAACCCAGGGTGCCATGGCGCCTTTTCAGGCTCTCACCACATCGTGTCCTTGAGCATGCAAGACAAGATACACACCTAACTGAGCTAACCCAGCTTCATGTGATTCTGCAGGCTGCACTCCTCAATTCTTTTCCAACCATCTTTGATGAACTGCTGCAAATGTTCACTGTGCAAGAGGTGGCGGAGTTTGTGAGAGGAACCCTGGGGAGCATGCCCAGCACTGTGCACATTGGGCAGTCGATGGATGTTGTGAAGCTACAATCTATTGCCAGGACAGTAGACAGCCGCCTCTTTTCTTTCTCAGGTAAATCAGTTTTGTTAACCCTCATGCAAGAAAACAGTAACCTTGTTTGCAGGGTTTTTGGAAAACATAAACTTTGGAAAGTGTTGCCAAGACTTAGGCCTACTACCTCCTTTACGATTTATTCTAATGGATGTACAGCATTTTTCATATCCATAGCATGGTGTTTTAATCTGTTCAAGTATCTATAGCAAAATATTACGGTTTGGGTGACTGATAAACAGAAAACACTTATTCCTTCCAGTTCTGGGGGCTGAGAAGTCCAGGATCAGTGTATCGTCTTCCTGTGTCCTCATGTAGCAGAAGGGCAAGGGAGCTCCCTGAAGTCTCTAATTGCATTCGTGAGAGCCTACCCTCTGGACCTAACCACCTGCAAATGCTGTCATTTGGGGAATTAAGTTTCAACATACAAACTGGGGAGTAAGTGTTTGGCCTGTAAGTTTAAATGCCACATTGGACTGGCTAGTCTCAAGTCAGGGCTCTACTCTCTGAGTCCTTCCTGCTAATGTGCACCTTGAGAGACAGCAGATGATGACTCAAGTAATTGAGTCCCTCCTGCCCTACATGGAAGTGAGGGACCTGGATTGAGTTCCTGGATCCCAGTTTGTCAGCCTCAGCTTCAGCCAGCTGTTGTAATAATTTGTGAAGTGACCTCACAGATGGAAATGCTTTCTCTCTCTCTTTTCCTGAGAGAGAGAAGAAGAAAGAAGAAAGCCCATGAACTTAGGGGAGGCGAAGATAAGATCTAAATATTCAGTCTATAGCAGATGGCACCCTTGTGGGATCCATACCCACAAGTTCAACCAGCTACTAAAGATGGAACCTACCATACCCCAGCATGTTGAGAGGATAGAGGGAAAGGAAAGAAATCACAGGAGAAGTCTCCAACCCAGAAGGGTAAGCCAAGGAAATAAAATATGACTTGAAAGGAGACCCTGAGGACCTTGTACTTCTTGTCCTTTGCCTCACCATTCAGATAGACTCCCTTTCTTCTCTTTGGGAGAGCCACTTGGGTTAAAGGGACTGATAGTGAGCCCTCCACTCTCCCAAAGGGTTGGGGCAGTCTAACATCAGGCAGTCCAGGCTGCCTTTCAGAAAGAACCTCTGTGTTCGTTCCTCAAACCACATTGTATGTGATCAAGTTCAGCCTTGCCAAGGCACCACATACTCACTGCCAAACATTCAGATCTATATGAGCCTAATACTTTTTTTTAAAGATTTATTTTTATTATTTTTTTATTGGAAAGGCAGATATACAGAGAGGAGAGACAGAGAGGAAGATCTTCCGTCCAATGATTCACTCCCCAAGTGAGCACAACGGCCGATGCTATGCCAATCCGAAGCCAGGAGACTCTTCCGGGTCTCCCACGCGGGTGCAGGGTCCCGAAGCCTTGGGCTGTCCTTGACTGCTTTTCTGGGCCACAGGCAGGGAGTTGGATGGGAAGTGGAGCTGCCGGGATTAGAACCGGCGCCCATATGGGATCCCGGGTGTGCAAGGTGAGGACTTTAACCACTTGCGCCACCGCGCCGGGCCCCTGCACTGGTATTTTTAATCTATATGAACACACTGGAAATTTGGATCCACTCCATCACTTTTGTTTAGTAACTGATCACTGTTTTGTCTTCAAGTTAAATAGGTTGCTAAACATTCTAGTCAATTAGGATTTTAGTCTATAAAATATACTGTCAATTTTTCCTTTATCCATGTTCCCTTTGGAATATAGAGTAACATTATTCCATTCTATTTGAGCATGTTTTAAGGATTTTTTTTAATAAGGCAGTGGTTAACTTTCTGATGTAATTTGCCTTTGACTGAAAAAGATTTTTCTTTCTGCATTTCATATGACTCACTTAACTATAAGATCAAATATGAATAATAAATTAAATTTTTATTGTATTACTGGTAATGAGCCTGAATTGTACTAGCCAATTGTAATGGAACCTACATGGTCACAAGTCACTCAACCTCTTGGGATTTCAGGGCAGCAGAGGACATGCTCACCCTGTCCTTCATTTTGTTTTTCTAACTACCCTTGTGCAGTACATGGAGGAGTGGCCAGTAACATCCCACTCACAGGTGATGAAAATCAACTCGGTGGAAAGAGTCAGCCTGCCTTGGGTCTTAGAATTAATTAGTAAGGGAATTTGAGATGGGATTCAGCCCTCCTGAATTCAGAGTTCTAGACATTGTGACTTCCTGATGAAAATGCTATTCACATGACACTGGGAAGAAAATTTGAAAATAAATTTGAATGTGTGCAGTAGGACTGAAGCATTAGCTTATCACAGATGTGATGAGACAGAGCTGGTGCCTCTGTTCCCTGCATTGCTGCAGACATGCCAAGGGGCAATTGTACAAGCCTGAAAAGAGGAAGGAGACCTGATGGCTGTGGCCAGGTAAATGCTCACAGGGGTGAGAGTGCAGGCCCCTCAGCCAGGGCATGAAGAGGGATCATCTATAATCCATATCAAATCCTCAGATTCGGTCAGTGTAGGAGCTACATGTGACATTTAAGTGGCATTTTCACTGTCAACAGTGTTTTAAATTTTTTTTTTTAAGATTTTATTTTTATTGGAAAGGCGGATATACAGAGAGGAGAGACAGAGAGGAAGATCTTCCGTCCAATGATTCACTCCCCAAGTGAGCACAACGGCCGATGCTATGCCAATCCGAAGCCAGGAGACTCTTTCGGGTCTCCCACGCGGGTGCAGGGTCCCAAAGCTTTGGGCCGTCCTCGACTGCTTTCCCGGGCCACAGGCAGGGAGCTAGAAGGGAAGCTGGGCTGCCGGGATATGGGATCCTGGGTGTGCAAGGTGAGGACTTTAACCACTTGCGCCACCGCGCTGGGCCCAACAGTGTTTTTAATTTTGTCTTAGTCATGAAAGAGATTTCTGTTTGAAGGCAGGTTTCTAACATCCATCCTGCACAAAAAATACCTGGGGCTAGACATAAAAACAAAGAAGGGAGAATAGTATCATGGGATGGCTTCTAAGTTCCAGCCAGCAGGGACTTCTAAGCTGATGTAAGAAAAGGGACCTCCATCTTTGCTCCAGTCTCAACCACACCTATTTTGAGAGCAGCTGGCTCCCACCATGCCACTGGCTGCTGAGAATTGCCAGTACTCCTCTGAAGGCCTTCTCCTTTGTGTTTTCTTTCCCAGAATCCCGCCGCATCCTGCTTCCTGTGGTTCTCCATCACATTCACCTTCACCTGAGGCAGCAGAAAGAGCTGCTTATCTGCTCAGGAATTCTTGGCAGCATCTTCTCCATTGTCAAGACCAGCTCTCTGGTAGTGGCCCCACACCCACTGTGCCCTGCTCCACTCTGCCCTAGTCTTGTGTTACCGTAGCCAGTGGCAGACCAACAAAGGTCACTTTGTTCACCTCAGTCAGAGATGCTCTCATTAGTGACAGGAATGTGTCCAAGGAAAGGCAGTACTGTTGTTTCCAGCAGACTTCCCCTTACAACACATTCTTGCTATTTTTGAAAGTTGCACTGCTTTGAATCTGCCCAGAAACACAGTTATCTATGGTATCAGGAAACCCAGTACTTGCCAGGCTTGATCTCTATGAAAAGGTGTTAGTTCTAGGTTCCTGGGGGTTTTCTTAGGATGCTAGGCATGAACACAGAGAGGCAGATCCAGACTGAAAGACAGCTTGCTCATGCAGACTATTCTGTCAGCTTCCTGGCAGCCTGATTCCACCCATATGGCATTCCTACATGTGCCAGATGAGGTCAGGATACACAAGAAGTAAGTGTTGCCTGAAAGCTCTGAGCCTTGTGGAATGATAGAATTGTGCTCTAGAGGTCAAGTTTCAAGCAATAATTTCTTTTGCGTATTTTCTTTCCTCTTCATTTCTTCTTTTGAAAAGAGATCTGTGGTGGTAGGGGAGGGATTGAAATGAAGAAATGAAGTAAAGACATTTCAGGCATAAAGGAAGTTAGAAATCTTCATGATATTTGTTTTAGGTATTTAAGAAAATACTATAAATGTTTCTTTTAGAAAATTTAGAAACTATGGAAAGAGTAAAGATAAAAGAAAAATAAAAGTATGTTTTTATTATACTATTTTATCAAGTGATAGTGTTTACATGGTAAATTTCAAGTGTATTTAAAATGAAGGTCAGTTCCAGGTGCTAAAAATATATGAGACTATGAGCTATCCATGTGAAACAGGAGGGTATTTTTTTTTTTTTGAGCAGGATACAGAGACCCAATAGGGCATTCTAAGGTCTAGACTTAAATATAATCTAGTAACAGGGACCCAGCTTGGCACAGAGTAGCTGTGAGGGCAGTAGTAGCCTTGTTTACTCTTGATTTGAGGCAACACTTGGCAGCCCTCCTTCCATCAAGTCTCAGAGAAACCGCACCAAGCATATAAGATCTACTAGCAGTCTTAGGTCGTACCTGATGAAACAGGAAGCTTATTGCCAAAGGAGGCAGAAAACTTGAAGGCAAAAATGAAAAGGGAAAGACAGGAACCACTTAAACCTGAGGGGGGTGGTATTGTCTTATATATGGAATAGAGAGTCAAGGGTAAATAGCTACTTAAAACTACAATAAGATATGCAACAGATAAGAACATTATGATCACTTTGACAAAGGAAAGATAATTTGGCTGTAAGCTGCCCAAAGTATAATTATATCAAATGGATAAGTAAAGGTGATATTTAAATTCCATAAGAGCAGCAAGATTATCTCTCTTGTTTGCCTTTACATATATAGGTTCTCAAATAGTGACTGGTGAGTACCCAGTATTTAATGAGTGATATATTGATGAATGGCTGGTGGATGGACATCAGAGCCAGTCCTAATATAAAGATCTTAGAGAAGGCCAAGTGGATATCTATATGAGATTTAAACCAAGCCCACAGAATTCAAGGTGTGTGTGAGACATCCATAGAAGAATATCAGAGCTTTCCAGAATTCAGAGCCTGGTGTTCAGTAATCAGTGGTAAGGAGATGGACTTCATTGTTTTTGTGAGGCTGCCAGAGAAAGAAGCACTGAGAACCAGGGTTTGGGGTGGACAAGGGAACACAAGCAAGAAAGCTGAAGATCCAGGAATGGAACTTGGGCACACATAGGCAGGCAGCAGTCAGGGCCGGCAAAGACTGAGAACATCCCAGGAGACAACCCTGAGGAGAGAAGAGTATCCTCAGAAAAGGGAGTTACATCTGTGTGTATTACCACTAATGAAGGAACTGCCTCCATAGCCTGTCATGTATGGTTATCATTTCTGAGAGGAAATATTTAACTATGATCTTTGTTTCTACATTGTGTGTCAAATAATGTAACAAAATAAATTTATCTGCCTGAGATTCCAAGTAAGGACCCACCCAGCCACCATGCCTGGGCAGCAGTCGCAGGTGTACCTCACATCCTCACAGAGCCTTTGTGCTGAGTCCAATACACAGTGGTGAAGCTGAGAGCTAGGTGTGGAGAATCCAGTCAGAAGAGCATTTCTCCTGTGGCTGACTGAGTGCTGTCAGCTGCACACCAGCCTGACCTGGTGCTAACAATGCACTTTCTCGCTGCTCACTGCAGGAGGCAGATGTCATGGAAGAGATAGAGATGATGGTGGAGAGCCTCCTAGACGTGCTCTTGCAGACTCTGCTCACCATCATGAGCAAATCGCACGCTCAGGAGGCGGTAAGAGGGCAGCGGTGCCCGCAGTGCACAGCCGAGATCACTGTTAGTAACTAACAATCAGGTTTTCTTGCCTTCTTTTCTAACCTGGGGCTCCTCCACATCACCCACCATCTCATCTTCTACCACCTTCACCCCAGCCTTTCATCCTGCATGGTTGTCAGCATGTTGCCCTCTTCCCTTCCCAAACCTGATTGCCTTGCACTCTGAAAGTTCTAGGTTCATATGGCTAAGAATATACTTCAGAATGGGTTTAGGGGATGTTTCTCATCCTATTTTCCTGACACTTTCTCAGTTGGCCTTTGCTTTTGCCAAGATATTTTCTTTACAGTGGAGTGAAGTAAGGATGCAAGTAAGAGTGTAACAGTCTGAATGTAAGACAACAACAACAACAAAAAACAAACAAAAAACACAGCTATTCCTGTTAGGAGCTTGTTTTAAGTACCTCACCAACATGGGTTCATGTAGCAATATCAGTGACAGATTTTTTCATACAGATTGCAGCACAGTTTATTGAATGCTTCTTTATGTGCTGAACTTTGTACTTAAGTATTTTACATACATTAACTCATCTGACCCTCATAAGAAAGGAAATTATGGCATATGTTTATGCTAACTTTTCAGATAAAACTGAGATTCAATTATTCAACGTATATGTTTAGCATGCACATGAGGATGCTTTGAAAAGTTCATGAAGATGAAATGAAAAGTTCATTTCAGTACAGAATAATTTTGAAATTGTGCATAAAAGTGATATTCAAAAAGTTCATAGACAATGCATTTTTCAAAAAACTATATATTTTGCAACAAATTCACATCAAAGAAAACATCTTTTTTCTGTAAATGTTAAGGTAATCTTGTGTAGGTATAATAATCTCAAGGATCTAGAAAGGATTTGAAAATTTTAAAAAACTTAAATTCCTATGAGTTTAAAGACTTTTGAAAATTGTCCAAATGATTTTTTTTTTTTTATTCCTAGCTTCTGGGAAGGCCATTATTGACTTCTCAATTCCAAACATTGATCATGGTCTTTGGAGTCCTTCAAATGAGCCTTTTTTTCTATGGATTCTAGTTGGAACTTGAAGAAATACTGGAAACTTACATTCATCCTTAAATTTTAAGTTGTCTCAAAACCCATAATTTTTCCAAAAAAAGGTCAGTTTGCACTCCTGTACCTTTAAGGTGGTCAGGTTGATCTGTGTTCCATTTCCCTGTTCCAGGGCGATGCACAAACCCTGGGAATCTTCCAAAGAGGATCTTAAAAAATTTCTGTCCTGTCCCAGCAGGATGGGTAGAGTCTAAATTCTATTCAGAGAAACCCAAGTTCCATGTTCCAAGTAGCCCCTAGCAGTAATAGGACACTTTGTCTGCCAAGGGTCATTTGGGTCTTTATAATATCATTCATAGGCCATACAAAATTATCCTGCTATATACATTTATTGAAATTTGAGTCCTGCCTGCAGTTGCCTTGGAAGCGCCACACTAAATTATTTCACAGGACCAGACTTTCCCACCCCTGCTATGGCAACCTGACAACAAAGAATAATTTAACCAAAACTTCCCTAGGAAGGAGTGACAATATGAGTTTACCTTGTAGTATAACTTTGTTAGATGGTGGGATTTTTCAACAGCCTCAGGCAAAGGCCTTATCAAATCTCCTAAGCAAATTCTGGCTTTCCTTAGCAGAAAAGAAAGTTAATTTTCAAGGCAGAGTTGTCACCTTCCATGATCATTGGGGCCATCTCAGACCCTCCCTTCTTTCCTTGCCCTCTGTGGATTGTGGGAATACATTGCTTGTGATTGACCATGCTAAGTGTTTCGTTTTGTTTTTTGATTGATCTTCAGGGTGAGTATGTGTCCTGCCTTCTTTCACTACTCCGCCAGATGTGTGACACCCATTACCAGCACCTCCTGGACAATTTCCAGAGCAAAGATGAACTCAAGGTAGGCAGAAAAGCACTGAACTTTCACCAAGGAAAGGAAATGTAGAGCCAAGACTTCTCAGGGACTTCTTCCTTGTCAAGGGAACAAATACTAAGTGTCTAAGAGTGCCAAGGATGTTGGATTCACCAGTCCCACTTCACAGCTAAGTTCATGGCCTGTAAGCAGCCTTGTATTTGGCAACTTTTACCAGACTGGTAACAAACCTGTAACCATGTGCAAGCATTAGAGGCTTCTCCAGAACATGTTGATTGTTAGGAAACCAGCACTTCTCCCTTCCACAAGGCCTTGTGATTCTTACACAAGTCTTTTTGCCCTGTGAAAACCAGTTGTCACTGTTTGAATAACTGATGAAAATAATGGTAATAACTTTTCTTCATTCAAATGTGATTCTGGCAGATATCTGCCAAGAACAAAACTGTACGTTATCCCTTGGCTGCCAGATCCCGGATATATAAGCAATGAGGAACAGAGGGTACAGAGAATCGGGCCTAGAATTCAGACTGTAGGCAAAGATTGCCCAGGCTGAAAATGGCTTGGTGCTGCTAACAGATTTCTGGGGTTTCTGTCTTTGCATCATAGCATGGTGCTGAGGTCAGTTAAAGGACTATTGCAGAACTTGTCTGTGCACTGCCTTTAATCAGAGCCAAGGCATTTGCATTTCATAGTGATATGTTCCTCTGCTTTTCTTTGGTGTGATCTTTATTGATCAATGTCAGCTGTCATCTTCTGTTACATGGTCCTGCTGCCTTTGCATAGACATGGGTGTCTGTAAATTTATCTCATTAAGTCATTGTATTGAAGTGAGTCCATCATATTGATGAATCTTGGCAACCCTTGACATGAGTCGGAATTCAGTCAGAGTCCACGTCCAGGTCAGGCAATACTTGAGCTGGTCCACAAAATCCGAGTCAGTCCAGACTGAACTGTTCTAGACCTTTTTGAGCCTGTGTTTGATATACTAACTGATTCTTAATTAGGTTGGCATCATTCTCTTATTTTTTAATTAAATGTTTCTTTTTGTCATGGTAATATATGAACCCAATTTTAAAAAAGCAAAACATACTACAAAGCTTACAACATAAAGCGTTGATTCCCTGAATCACTCTGATTTATACCCAGCCCATATAATCTAAGCAACAGCCACTTGGAACTCTTCTTTTTTTAAAGGTACTAGTTTTTAATTTTTGTTTTCTTTTCTTTTTAAAAGATATGTTTATTTGCTTGATAGGCAAATGTACAGAGCAAAAGAAAAAGAGTCTTCCATTTGCTGGGCTACTCCCTAAATAGCCACAACTGCTATGGCTCAGCCATGTTGAATCCAGGATCCGGGAGCTTCTTCTGGGTCTCCCATTTGGGTGGCAGGGATCCAGTGACTTGGGCATTTTTAGCTGTTTCAGCTGCTTTCCCAAGCACAATAGCAGGGAATTGGATTGAAGTGGAGAAATCAGAACTCGAACCAGCAGCTATATGAGATGCTAGCATCACAGGCAGTGGTTCGACTTGCTATATCACAATTGTAGACCCATCTCTTGCTTCTGTTTGGAAGCCTCTACTGCTAATTTTTAGACATCGATTGTTAATTATTACTATCTTATCAAGGAAAATGACAGTGATTCTCCTTAATTATTCCTGTCTGACATTTAAGCTTTTCTTTCCAAAACTTTTCATCCCATTCTTTCAGTGTGCATTTCATGTATTTTTATTGAAATTTGTAGTTGGTTTTTCATTTTTATAGCAAGATAAGTACAGTGATGGGTCAAGAGCTGTGCCATAATTATATTATTTCTTTATATAACTTCTTTTTTATAGAAAGTAGTTATCTTTTCTTTCTTTCTTTTTTTTTTTTTTTTTTTGCCTTTATCTTAGCTTTCAAATTTAGCTAGGATTTCCCAATCTCAGTACCATTTTTCCAATATACCTCTTTCAACTTTTGTGTTCTTAAATCTAAAGTGTGTATCTTGTGGGCATAATTGGGTAATAATTTATTTTTTAATACAGGCTTACCAATTCTGCATTTTACTTAGAGAGTTTATCCATTTGACTTTATTATAGTTACTGATATAATGGATATATAGGTTTTCTGTTACCTTTGTTTCTCTGTTCTTTCATTACTCCTTACTACTTTGGTTGTGTATGTATATGGATGTGTTTTACTTTTTATTAGAATGATAGTTATAGAGAGAAAAGACAGAGAGAGAGAGAGAGAGAGGAATCTTTCACCCCAAATGGCCACAGTAGGCTGAGTTGGGCTGGTCTAAAGCTCTCAGCTGAGAGCCATGGCTCAAGCTTCTCCTGGGTCTCTGTGTGAATACAGGGACTGAGACCTTAGGCTAGCTTCCACTGCTGTCTCAGGCCATATGCAGAGAAGTGGATCAGAAATGGAGAAGCCAAGACTCTAACTGGTGCCCATATTGGATGCCAATATTACAAGCAGAGGCTTAACCTGTTATGCTACTGTGCCAGCCCCCTTTTTTGTGTTTTTTAGCATACCACTTTTCTTCTCTCATTATATATATGTTCATGTACAGATTTTTTTTTTTGGTCTTTTCTTTAAAAAAATTTTTTTTTTATTTGAAAGGCTACAAAAGTCAAGTAAGAGCCTAGCCAAAGCCAGGAGCTAGAAGCTTCTTACAGGTCTCGCCTGTAGGTGCAGGGGTCCAAGCATTTGAGCCTTCCTCCCTTGCTTCCTCAGACACTTTAATTGGGAGCTGGATTGGAAGAAGAACAGATGGGATATGTACTGGCACCCAACTTGGATACTGGCATCACAGGCAGCAGCTCAACAACACTGGCCCCAAAATTATTTTCTTAGTTATTGTTCTAGGGATTACAACTAACACCATAACCTAAAACAATATAGTTTGAATGAATATCAGTCTAATTTTAATAGCTTACAAAAATTTTGCTTCACTATCACTCTGTTTCTTCCCTCACTGCTTTGTACTGTTTTTACTATACATAATGTACCTTTTTATAGGTTCATTATTACATATTCCTATGTGTTCTATATTCTTCATGTGGATTCAAGTTATTGTCTAATATCCTTTTGTTTTAGTTGAAGGGTTTTCTTATAATGTCTCTTATTATAGGAAGACCTTGTAAGTAACAGATTGACTCAGCTCCATTTCTTCTTCATTTTTGACTACTGTTTTGATGGATATAGAATTCCTGTTTGATAATTTATCCTTAAGCTTTTGAGTATGTGTGCTTTCTGGCATTAATTACAGTTGCTGTTAATCTTATTGAGGATCATTTGTATAGGGTAAGAGATTAGTTTCTCTTTGTGTTTGGCATTTGACAGTTTGATGCTGGTAACATGAGTTTCTTAGATTTTTTTATCCCATTTGAAGTTCACCGAATCTTTTAGATACATACAGTAATAGTTTTCATTAAATTTGAGAAGGTTTTAGCCATTGTTTCTTCAAATATTAATTCTCCCCAACTTTTCTCCTTTTACACAATCTTGTTATGTGTGTATTTGTGTCATTAATTATTTTTGAGGCTTTGTTCATTTCTTATTCGTTACTTTTAAATTTCTGTTCCTCTGAGTAGTTGATTTCAATTAATTTATCTTCAAATTCACTGTGTCTTTCTTCTGCCAGCTTAAATTTGTTGCTGAGCTCCATTAATAAGTTTTTACATCAGTTATTGTACTGTCCAATCCTAAATTTCTAATTAGTACACTTTAAATTTTTTTTAATTTATTTTATTTGAAAGGCAGAGACAGAAATTCTCCATCTGCTAATTCATTCACCAAATGCCCACAGCAGCCAGGGCTGGGCCAGGCTAAAGCCAGAAGCTGAAGATGTAATCTAGATCTCCCATGTGGGTGGCAGGGACCCAAGGGTGAGCCATCCCCTGCTGCCTCTCAGGGTGCATATTAGCAGGATACCAGACCAGAAGCTGAATGGCAGTGTTCAAACCAGATTCTCATTACATGGAACACAAGCCTCCCGAGTGACAACCCCTCTCTGATTAGGTTTGATACTTTTATTGATATTCAGTGGTATTCAATATAAGACACTGTTCTTATTCTTTTCTTTAATTCTTTAGGCATCATTTTCTTTAGTTCCTTGAACATGTTTATAACAGTGGTGTTAAAACTTTAGCTATCGCAGGGAAAGCTTCTAATGATTCTTTTTTTCCTGTGTAAGAGTCATTTTCCTATTTGTTTTTTTTAAAGAAGATTTATTTATTTATTTAGAAAGTTGGATTTACAAAGAGAAGGAGAGACAGAAAGATCTTCTATCTGCTGGTTCACACCCCCAGTGGCTGCACACAGCTAGAGTGAGGCCAATCCAAAGACAGAAGCCAGGAGCCAGGAACTTCTTTCAAATCTCTGACATTGGCACTGGTACTAAGACCCTGGACCATCCTCTACTGTTTTCCCAGGCCACAAGCAGGGAGCTGCAAGAGAAGTGGAGCTGTTGGTATACAAACCAACACCCATATGGGACCCCAGTGTGTGCAAGTCAAGGACTTTAGCCACAAGGCTACTGTGCCAGGCCCTCTGGTTTATTTTTATGTCATAACTTTTTGTTGAAATCTGGACATTTTAAATAATACAGCAACCCTAGACATTATATTCCACCCTGAAATCCCCAGGATTTGTTGAGATTGCTTTTTACAGCTTTTGTTTATTGTTGATGTTTGTTTCTTTAGTGATTTTCTTAGTCCAAGTCTTATTTGGGGTTTTTTTTTTTTTAAGATTTTTTTCATGATACAGTTCCATGGGCATAGGACAAATCTTCCCACCATGCTTTCTCTCATATTATTACAAAGGTATAGTCCTTCAGCAGCATTCACAAGTCCACATTCTGCTGAGTATATCATAAAACTATAAGTATAGACAATGGTAGAAATTCCAGCATTCTACTGTAAAGATATATTTAGCAATTTATTTATTTGAAAGGCAGAGTTATAAAGAAAGGTAGTGAATGGGGAGACAGAGAATGAAATCTTCCAGCTGCTGATTCACTCTCCAGATGGTTGCAATAGCTGGAGCTCAGGCAGGTGGGAGCCAGGAATTTGGCACTTCTTCTGGGTCTCATACATGGGTGCAAGGGCCTAAGTATTTGAGCAAATGTGCTTTCCCAGGCACATTAGCAGGGTGCTGAATCAGACGTAGAACAGTCTGGACTTAAATCAGCACCCAAAAGAGATGCCAGTGTTGCAGATGGTGGCCTAATCCACTGTGCCAATACACCAACCCCTGGACCAAATCTTTCATAATTGAACTCTTTGTTATGTATAGCCACCAAAATCTCTGTTTTATTAGACTAGTGATAAACTAATAACTATATAAGGATTTTTTAAAATGCCTTAAGACAGTAAGTCACCATCCTTTGCCAAGGAGCTGCATGTGTACATGGTTGCCCACTTTTGGTAGTCCAGCAGTTTATAATTCTACCTGAGCCTCCTTCTTCTGCTTGCATAAAGCCTCAAGTTCAGCCAGAAGTGAGAGATTAGGGTTTCTCAAGTCTTCCCTAGGAGTGTGCACAGTCCTATACATAGACATTATCATCTAAACTCCCAGAATTATAATGAAGCTTTGCAAAACCCCCATGGATATCTCATTTCTTAGGTTTTTCTCTAAGTTTTTTTGACAGTTCTCTTGTTTTTCCCAACTATCATGTCTGCCTTACATAATTAGAGTTTTAAATTATGTGGCTGATTTTTTTTCCCTCAATACATGCCTTGGGAGTGGCTTCCCTTACTGGGTAATTGCTGAATCAGGTTATACACTTGATCTTAGCCATAAGACTGAGAATCCATCAATCAGGTTATAAAGATAAGTCCTAAAAATGGAACTTTTTTAAGGAGCTACCAACCAGATCAATAGTAACAATTCTGCTAGATAGGAGTTTGTTTTGGAGCTCCAAAACCAGAGAACTCACTATCAGAGATGAGCAGTCTGCTGGGTTTTTATGACTGCCATGGTTTCACAGCTGCTTGGTCTCAAAGTTACCATGCAGTTAAGAAATGCACCCTGTAGTGGTGGCATCTCATGCCAGCTTTTCCTTTGCAATCAGGAATTCTTGCTGAAGATTTTCTGTGTGTTCCGGAACCTAATGAAGATGAGTGTGTTCCCTCGGGACTGGATGGTGATGAGACTGCTCACAAGCAAGTGAGTAAGAATGGTCCTTATACCCACATCGGCAGCGCTGTTCCCAGATTAAAGGGGATATGTATGCGAGAATAAGAATGAGTAAGAGGGCAAGAGCAAGACCAGGGCCACGGCTATAGGAAGGGAGAATAGGCAAATATCTAGAAAGTACAATCATAAGAACGGCATTGGCAAGGACAGAGAAAATCTCAAAGATAATTCAGACGTGGGGTCTAAAAGCCTAAGATAGAAAAGGAAATGTTAAGAATGTAAAATATAACATCCAAAAAAGCTTCCTCCTTGAGGAAAGCCTATGCATTGGCCATTGACTTCTGCTGCTTTGTAGATAGTTTAGGCAGGGTCCCAAGCTCTCCTCCCGACTTGATTTGTGCTATCTGCCAGAAAGTGCTTGCCTCCTGTGGTTAGTGCTAATTACCTACTTGAGACCTGGCTCAAAGCTCTGACCACTTCTGCCTGCGGACACAGAATTATCTCTAAGACTGACCTAATTTGCTTTCTCCATTCATATTTCTACTCTGTGCTTCCTCTTGGCAAACCAAACGAGATACATGTGATAAGGGGCTGGTTCATTTGTCCTCCCTCTACACAGAACAAAACTCGACTTCTACTGAGGATTCTGCTGCCTCCTCCGACTAATCTGCTTTTCATATTGGTCTTGTACAGAATATAGTAAAATTATTTATGTTAAACATATGAGGGATCTTAAGTGTGTGGCAGAGTGGGATTTAAAATGTGACTTTTAAAACTAAAGAATGAGTTAACTTTGGTACGATGTGGGCATGTTTTTTCCCAAATATTAAGAAAATTTTGTGTGTTAGAAAGCTGTTCTGCACTAAGTTCATACTTGTGATTCAGTTTTTTTCATAAATATTTTGAAGTACCTGTGTGTTAGTGAGATACCAACATGATCTTTCTACTATGTATCTTTTATAGTACTCTTATTTCCACCCAAGTTACAAATATTTAGTATAGAATAGACAAATGGTTACAAACAACATTGCACAGGTAGTTTTTCCAGTAGCATATTTGCCATTTGAAATCCTGTTGTTTCTCTCTATTGGTTCAACCTCGGGTTTATTAGTCTGTCCTGTGGGAACAGCCTTTTCTTTCAAGACTTCTGTCCTTTAAATTGGTTGCCTCCTGTGCTAATAGACTAATCTCTGTAGTACAGTGGGTTTTTTGCGTAAGATTTTTATCAATCTTTTTTGGAAAGGTAGAGTTGAAGACAGAGAGAGACACAGAGAGACACAGAGAAAGAATCTTTCATTCAGTGGTTCATTCCCCAAATGGCCACAATGGCCAGAGTTGTTCCCCGGGTCTCCCATGTGGACACAGGTGCCCAAGGACCTGAGCCATCCTCCACTGATTTCCCAGGATGTCAACAGGAGCTGGAGGGAAGTAGAGTAGCTGGGATGCAGACCAACACCCAATGGAATGCTGGCACCTCAGGCAGAAGCCTAGACTGCTGCGCTACCACATTGACCCCTATAATACATTGGATGTGCTTTGTTCCTCCTTTCCACAAAAGCATTTGTGGTCACTAACAGCCATAATAAGTTCTTTTACTGAACTATCACCCTCTATAGTCAGACTAGTCAGACTCTCACCTACCTCTCCCATGCACTTGGTTCCAGCAAGGCCATCTTCCATTGTCCCTTATTATGCACCCAGTCTTAGGTTAAAAGTGAGATTCTAGACAAATGACACATGGATGAAAATATAAACAGGACCAGGCCAGAGCCAGGAGCCAGAAGTTTGATCTACGATTCCAATATGAGTGCTGAAGCATAACTGCTTGTGCTATCTTCTTCTGCTTTCTCAGTACAGGAAGATGGATTGGAAGTGAAGTAGCATTGGCATATGGGATGCCAATGCTGCAGGGAGTGACTTAACCCACTGTGCCATAGTTCTAGCCCCTATAGGCACAACTTACATGACAATAAGTTATAGTCAGGAAGTTTGCAGAGTTCATAGACAACTGGTTCCAAACTATGAGATGCCATTGTTGAGGTTTTAACTCACCAATACCTTATTTCCTTGCTTCAGTATTATAGTTACTACTGTCCAGTACCTGTCCTCTGCACTGCACAAGAATTTCACAGAGACAGACTTTGACTTCAAGGTAAGAATTCCTTAAATCCATCACTATCTTTGGAATCACAACAAAAAGAAAATAACCAAGCTCACTGACTTTTGCATTATTTTAGAATTCATAGAATCATAGAGCATCCAAGGTTGGTGATAATTAGGATTATGACCTGGGAGCATTGCAGACGTTGTAAGCCAGATACTCATGGATATACTTTCTAGTCAAGTTAACACTATTGCTTAAGAAAGAATCAAGAAAGGAAAAAGAAAAAGAATGCGTGTTTGCAAAGATATTTTTAAAAAGAGGGAAAAAAATCAAAATCTTAAGACTATAAATTGGGTTCTGCACTACATGAATGCATTTAGTAACTCTCCCTGCAAGGTTAATGACTCAGGCTGTCATGTTTCTTCTGTTTCTGCCTCTCTAGGTGTGGAATTCTTATTTTAGCCTGGCAGTTCTGTTCATAAATCAGCCAAGCCTTCAGCTAGAAATCATTACTTCAGCCAAGAGGAAGAAGATTCTAGATAAGTAAGACAGATGTCTCCTGTTCAACTCTCTACCACTCACCCAGATGGGGCTTTTTCCATGAGAGGCTCCTTCACAAGTCTACAAGGTTCTCACTGGGGTATTATCCCGAGGGGCCATGTGAGAGCTTATTCAAGAGCCAAATGGCTTAGCATTTGGGGAAGCATTCAAAACTAACAGTGCTAAAGTACTGGCCTGCTCAGGTTTGCAGCCCTGTCTACCTGAACCACCTTCTTCTAACAGCTGGCTCCTATGTTACTGTTCCCAGGTATGGGGACATGCGTGTGATGATGGCTTATGAACTGTTCAGCATGTGGCAGAATTTGGGTATGTCTTTGCTCCCTGTTCTTCTCTTCCACGTATTGCAGTGCCAAATAAAAAGTAACAAGACTAGTAGCATTCCCACAGGCTTTATGAATGTTAATCCAAATGCAAGAGATCCTTACATATCTTTAACATAACACCTCAGATGGATAGTGTAGCACATGCACAAAAAGCCCTTAGCAAGAAGAATTTGGCTGAGAAATAAGACCCCAGTAATACATATGCACAGTCCTTTTTTTTAATATAAAATGAAGTCAAAAAGGAAAAAAGGAGAACACTCCAGTTTTTTTTTTCTGACTTGAAACCAATACCTGTAAGGCTCTCTCTACTCTTCATGTCTCAATCTGAGTGTTATAGACTCAAAAACAGGTTTTAGAGATGCAAAAGAATGAGGAAAGATAACTATTAGTCTGTCTCCTAGATCTTCTCTATACATAGCTCTGAATCAGGTACCCAGCACCAGTTGAATGAAAGAACAGAGCAAGGAATTTTAGCCTCTGATTGAAACTGATTTCAGCCTTCCTTCTTTGCAAGCTTCTTCAGTAATTGCTGCTTTGCATTTAAACTGGTCTGATTGATGTTTTGGATAGAATCCTTGGGTTTTCGGTGTGGTTGGCTAGATCATCTGTGAATCTGTTATATTCTGAGTGATCTGTTAGGGTGCTAGAGAAGTTGGTAGTGCTGATGAAATCTGCTTTTAGCCAACCACATGGTTTTTTTATTTTTTTAAGATTTATTTATTTTTATTGAAAAGTCAGAGATACACAGAGAAGGAGAGACAGAGAGAAAGAGCTTTTACCTGCCAGTTCACTTCCCATTTGGCCAAAATGGCCAGAGCTGGGCCAATCTGAAGCCAGGAGCTTCTTCTGGGTCTCCCATGCAGGTACGGGTCCCAAGGCATTTGACCATTTTTGACTGCTTTCCCAGGGCACAAGCAGGGAGCTGCAAGGGAAAAGGAGCAGCCAGGGCACAAGCTGGTGTCTATATGGGATCCCAGAGCATACAAGGTAAAGAAGACATTAGCCACTAGGCTACACCACCAGGCCTGAGCTCATGGTTCTGAAGGCAAAGAAAAGTCCGATCATAAAATTTTATAGTCTTCTGTTAAGCATTGCCACAAAACAAGGTTTCCTGCCATTACTAAGACTGGACACATTATGCAAAGCAGATTTTCCAGCTTTGGTATTCTTGTTCCCTGCTAGCCAGCACAGTTTGGATATGTATTTTAACCCTGAAATTGATTCTGGGATTCTGGGATTACCATGAATATGAGACTGGCAACTAAACCAAGTACCAAAATCAGGATATGCAGGCTCTTCCTGAATGTTAATATATGCTTCTTAGGCAGATTTTCAGAAAAGAAGCGATCACAAGAAGATACTAGATTTACCCAAGAAAGCCATCCCTGTCACATTGCTTTTGGTGGAAATGACATTGTCTGGTCATTGATTTTACTTGACTGGAGCACTCAATCCAAAGGCCTCCTTCGTAAATCTATGAAGACTGAAAACAGGATGGTTCACTCTGTTTTCATCACTGCAAGAAAAAGAAGAGTGCTGCCTCATGGTCCTGGCCTGGCCTCTGGATACAGCTCCAAAGGGCAGACCAGTGAAAAGGAAACCTTCATAGCTCCCTTCCTATGGAAAAACCTCATTAAGGAAACTAAGGGATGAGCTGGTCTGATCTCAGTAGATGTAGAAATATTGTCAGAAATGCAATGTGAAGAGGGGATGAAGGCGGGAAAAGAGGGTCTAGTCTCTAAGCCAGCTTATCGGGTAAGTTAGGGTAAGGCTGTATAGGCAGCCCTTGCTAGCTCAGAAGGGGCCTCATTACTTAGATGCCTCTGGGATAGAGGTAAAAATCCCAGGGAGAGTAGGCAGTGTTTAAAGAGAAAGATACGGATTTTTTTTGCTAAACACTGTGAACAGACCATCTGAAACTACCCAAATTATTCTAAAAACACATGTTGTCCAGAATAGCAAACTTGATTCTTTTATCTCAGAGAGATTTTCAGATAGTTTGTAGAATTTCCAGGAAATTCCTTGGAAAAATAGTTTTGAGTCTGTTGATTTACTTTAATTGGACTGGACTAATTCTATTCATAAGTTGTATAAAGCCCTGAGAAAAGATTTAGAGAATTCTAAGCAGGAACGTCTTTTGCTTTCAGAATCTGTAGGTACAGATCGTAACATTCATACGCCACTTAGGAGGCTTCTGTGGAATGAGCAGAGTAGTGATGAATGTCTGTTGGGTTTTATTGTTCAGGTGAACATAAAATACACTTTATTCCGGGAATGATTGGTCCTTTCCTGGGTGTGACACTGGTTCCCCAGCCAGAAGTACGGAACATCATGATCCCCATTTTTCATGACATGATGGACTGGGAGCAGAGGAAAAATGGCAACTTCAAGCAGGTAAGATAACACTGACTTATCCAAGGTTCTGCTCAGGCAGGTGGCCAAAACTTCCTCATCAAGAACATGACTCAAACTAACCACATTTGATTCAGGAGAGAGTTCTGTTCACAGTGTATCCACTTCATGGACTGCACATTTCTAGGGCTGGGACCTATAACAGGTGACAGTTGACACCTCAGGGGAGCCTGGAATTTTACAGATGACAGTCTGATGGTTCACTCCCCAAGAGGCCGCAACAGCTGGAGCTGAGCCATTCTGAAGTCAGGAGCCAGGAGCTTGTTCCGGGTCTCCCACACGGGTGCAGGGTCCCAAGGTTTTGGCCATCCTCGACTGCCCTCCCAGGTCACAGGCAGGGAGCTGGATGGGAAGCAGGGCCACCGGGATTAGAACCTACACCCATGTGGGATCCCAGCACACTCAAGGCGAGGACTTTAGTTACTATGCTGTCGTGCTTGTCCCAAATTTCTAGGTTTTTGTGCAATAACAAATCATTATGATTTTTAAGATTTTTTCCAGTTCTTTTTTGTTAATATATAGGAATATGATTGAATTTTACTTTTTAGCATTATGTCACTTACCTTTTTTTGTACTCACTTGCTAGTACTAAAGCCTTTTTGTAGACCTTTGGGAGATTTTCTATTAGAGAGTCATGTTCCCTATGAATATACAGCTTTATTTTTTCCTTTGTAATCTATCTCATTTGGGAAGTATATAGCTCTAATGCCTTCAGACTTTAGGAAATGACAGCAGAAAAACAATTTTTGTTTTTCTGTGTTGTACAACATGTATGTTCTAGTTGTGCAAGATTAACACATGTCTGATGCAAAACTCTAGTCACTGGCAAGTGAATGGTTTCAGAGAACTGAAATGCGGGTCATCTTAAGTCTACTAAACCAGGGGCTGTACTGTATCCAACCACTGATAATGCTGAATCAAGAAATTTCACCTTGTAGAAGACTGAGTTGGAGCTCACATTTCAAGAATCAGATTATAAGTTGTTTTCACCAGTAAGACTGTCAGGAATAACCAATTAATATCCAGCAAATCAAGTAAATTTTGTTACCTCTGGTTAGAAAAACAAATATTACTGTTGCTTCCCTTTAGTATCAAATACTTTAAAAGACTGGTCTTCTTTTAAAGTATTCTCCACCCTCCTTCAGTTGTACTTAGTGTATAATTAACACATTGGTTGAAACTATTATCTTCAAGGTAACTCACCACCTTCCAATAACTGGAATCTAGTAACATTTTGATTTTGAATATCATTGTTTTCTTCAACTTTGTCTGTTAACTGCTTCCCTAATTCTTACCACTTGATAAAATATTTTTTGTAATTCTAAAAATAATTAACATGAAATTTTAAATGAAAATAAACAATTTAAAAATTTAACGCGTAATACTATTAGTATTAACTTATGAAGGGTCAACTCTGTACCCTTATGAGCCTTTTTTCCAGTACATACATTTTTTTAATTTTAAAAGAATTGCTTTAGATATTGGTTTTTAATCTTTTTTTTTTGGCATAGTAGCTTATCAGTTACTACTCCTCTGTAGTATATTGTTGATTCAGACACTACATGATATTCCATTCTATGGCTTAACCATGACATGTTTGTTTATTTAATCTCCTAGTTCTAGGAATTAGGTTTGTTCTAAATTTTTTTTTAATATTGAAAAAAGAACCATTCATTCTAGACAGTTTTCTTAGGTAAATTTATCAACCTGTAATCAATAGATCAAAGGGCAAAAACTCATTTCTTAAGTTTATAAAGTGCTGTTTCTTAAAACGTCATTGTCCGTTAATTTATCAAAACCCACACTTCTCTTTCTATATGTGCCCCACCTGAGCACCGAGCATGCCTGGCTGTGTCAGCTGTTGTCCCTGCCTCTGCTCCCAGAGGTGAACTCTCAGGAAACAGAATTGTTTTTTGTGCATTTTATTTCTCAACACCTTGCATGGTACCTGCAATTTAGTAGGCTCTTAAGAGATTTAAAAAAAAAAAAAAAAAAAAAAAAAAAAAAGGATGCTAACATTCACTGAGCATTTTCCAAGAGCCTGGGCATGGTGACAACCAAAAAGGAATGGTATCACACTTTCCATTTTATAAACAAGGAAATGTGAGCTTAGAAATAGGTACCCAGAACTACACTGGTTATGTGACAAGACAATGTTTTTTAAGCATTTAACAAAGTGTCATTTCAGTAGTAATTGTTTTATGGAATAAAGCTAACTGCACAAACCTGATGAGACAATATTACTAATTGTGATTTGACATATTTGGTGAACTTATTCTTTTGTTGGACACTGATTTTGCATACGTTAATCTTAAATATTACATTTTGTGTTAAATTTTCCTTCATCAGCCTTTGGAGTGATGAAGTAATGTGTCCCCTATCATTCTGTCACCAGCTACAAGCGTTCTAGCACTTGAATAGGTGTCAGGTCCACCTTGAGAGCTTATTAGAACACAGATATTTGACCCACCCTGAGTTACTGATCCAGCATGGTGGGATCTTTGGTGAGACTGACGCTGGTGACCCAGGAAGCCATTTTAAGAACTCTTTTGACTCCTAGATCCCTGTTTGCACAATCATGTTCTTGCTGTTCCAGGTACCCTCCCCACTTTTGCTGTGGGAAAGACACTCTGACTATACTTGTGTAGGTGAAAACAGATATCTTGTTGTATTTGCACCCCTCATCTCCTGAAAGTCTTGTGGCCATCTGGTTAGCCGAGTAAGGCAAGACAGACTCTGGACTAGGAGTGATACACCTTGTCTTTCAGACCTAGCTCTGCTTGATTTACATGGTCCCAATCAAGTTTCCACTGGTGCCTCTTCTTCACACAAAGAAATGTGATATTAATGCCTGAGGACCTCAGGTCTCAGATTTTTTATTTCCTCAGAAATATGTATTCAAGCAGCTGACTCATCAGGCCAGCCAGTGGATGTTTGACAGTCCCTGCCCTGGCCACCACACATAACAGACAGACAGAAACACACAAACACACACACATGCACACACACATTTTAAGTCCAAATGTATTCATTCTTATTTTCTGCTGGTAGGGCTTCAGAGGCCCTAAATGCCTTGATGAATTTACTTACTCAGTTATTCCTTATTACTTCTTTGACTTAGAATTATTTGATCCTAATATGGAGTGAGACATTTTTCTTCTACTATAGTAGATTACCAAATGTGCCTATGCTTTTTTGTTTATATGAAATATTTGTAATCAATTAATATTACAATACCATATTTAAAGCCTAATGAATTGTTAAAAATTCATATTAAATCCTTTGCAACTAGATTTTAGCCTCTAAGTAAGGCTGATGAGGCTTACTAGATAAGTGACTAAGCACTGCAGAGTGCCTTTGCAGGTCTGTAGGATAGAAAATAACATTTGTCCTAATGATTTAGCTACCAATAATAAATTCAGGGAGCCCAGTAACAGGGGACAGCAGCCACAAGAGTGTCAGGTCCTATGGACAAAAACAGCGGAAAGTTTGGTGAGGACCAGCCCATCAGTGAGCATGTTTTTTGACTGATTACAAGGTGAAGTTCTAGCCAAACGTGTTTGATAAATATACATTTTTGAATGAGTTTTCTTTTAAGAAAGAAAAATGATTGACAAAGACCTCTTTGTGATCCAGAAATACTTCTCCAGAAAATCCTAGTTTTATTTTTCCTTAGATTGGAGTAAAGGTACTTACGACTTTTAAATCTCATCTCTCCTTTAAACTGGAAGGGCAAGAAACAGGGTGGTTTCTTGGTGCTATGGATGAGATCCTATGTGTTGGAAATTGGATTTGCCAGTATTCCTCGAAGGTCAAGCTCAGGTTTACAGTTTCTGTTTCATTCCAGGTGGAAGCTGAGCTGATTGACAAGCTGGACAGCATGGTGTCAGAAGGGAAAGGTGACGAGAGCTACAGGGAACTCTTTGGCCTGCTGTAAGCTGCTTCATCCCCAGGCATCCCACATTCAGGGGTGGGTAGGTGGGTGAAGGGTGCCAACCAAGCAAGAATAGAGATGAAACCTGCTCTGGGCAGACTTCAGAGTTTGGGTAACAGGAGAGATCAAGGTTGTCGATGGTGGTAGCAACAAGCTTTCTTCCTTCAACAAGAAAGTAGGTGCTCTCAGGGATCACCATAATCGAATAGAAAAGTGGAGACAAGTGATCATTTGCTGGCGGGAAGAGGACCTTCTTATGTTGTTGTAGTGTGTGCTGCATTCATTCAGGCAAATAGCTGCTAAGGACACAACCAGTCTAGGGCCTAGTGCTTTCATGGGGGGGAGGGGTGAGTCCGGGTGGGGAGCAATGTATCTTCTCTGAAAGATTTTCTTCTATTTTCATTGCTTGATAAAAAGGTAAAACCAGCTTGAAGAGTGCTGCTGCAGGAGGCTCTAAAACAAGTCACACCTCCTCTCCAGGCTGGTTTTCTTTGTGTGAAATGGGGTTATTGTACTAAATGACATCAAGGTTCCCCCAGCTCCACCATTCCATGACTTCTTTCTTTAGCTTGGAAGCCAAGAGACATTACAGGACTTGCCATGGGGCTAAGTCCAAAGGAAGAATTCAGGAAACAATTGCTTTCTCAAGTAGAGAGTGGTGTTGATATGTTGTCAAATAGTAGGCATTGACAATTCTGAAATATCATCCCATCTCACTCATCATTTCTAGCTTTGACAATTTTTGTTTGTTTTAGTACCACTTTGAAAGCAAACCTTTAATGCACTTTTTCAGCATATTTGCTTAGAATTTAAGAGTGTACACTGTGTATTGACACTTCTTGTTTGATTCTCAAAACACCTCTCCAGGGTGGGCAGAATGGAGATTATCTTCCTTCCCACTCTAGTGGTGATGAAAATGGCCACGGGGAAGTGCTTGTTTGCCCTCAGTTGTGATTCTAGTAAGAAGCAGCTTTGGAAGAGAGCCCCAGTTCTTCCAGTGTCAAGATGGGAAAATCCTTCTGCCATGCTGTGCCCATTTTGTTTCTTGATGAGTTGGGAGAGAAAATGTGAACTTACTTGAAATTTAAATAATTATAATTTGTGAAAATGAATTTATCGTTAGGTATTTCTCTTTTAGCTCAAGTCATTTCTAATTGAAACAAGGCAGATAAACCACTCCCTTGACCACTAACAAATAACTTTGCTGCAAAGGAAGAGGTTCAGAAATAACCCACAATTATTAATTACCTGACCAAATAGTGTTCATAAACTCTTCTCAAATCACTGGAGATTGGGAGCCACTGATAACATGGAGCAGCATTTCCCACATTTTTGTTTTAGGAAAATGTTTATAGTTTTAAAAAAAAAGTGGAGAGCAGGTGTTCAGCCTAGGAATTAAGCTGCCCTCATCTCTCATCACAGCACCTGAGTTTAGGTCCCAGCTCCAGCTCCTAATTCTAGCTTCCTTCTTAATGAAGACCCTGGGAGGGAGAAGTGTAATGGAGTTCCTGCAACCTCTTATAAGAGATCTTTCTTCATAGGTCCTGGTGTGCAACCTGTGCCTAGACCTACCAGGCAGGCATATGGGGAGTGGAGCAGCAGATGGAACTGCTCTTGCTGTCTCTCCCTCTGTATGTGTGTGCATGGAGTTTGGGGATACTTTTCTCTTCGTTCCTCCCTCACATTCTCTTCTTCCCTAAAATATATTTTAGTATTTAGTAAATGTCTAATTTTTAATTTTAAGTGAGTCATTTGCTAATTAATTTAGAGAAGATTCAATTAAGCAAAGTTTATCCAGCCCCTTTATTGTAGGACTTCTCAAAGTGTTTAATGTGCAAAAGTGTGTGAAAATCTCTGAAAGGAGTATTTCCCATGCTGTGGGCTTTCCCAGTCCTTCAGTATAGCAGCACCCTATAGAATACAGTTGGAGAAATGCTGATTCAGTGGTTTTATCCACATTACATAAAGACCAGAGTCAGTGTTCTTGCCTTCTGTCTCTAACTCCATGAATCGCATGGGGAATTGTCTCTTCCCCAGAAGTCCTGTTCCAGCAGGTTGCCTGTGCATGGTGACTGCTGTTGTAACAGTTGCATGAGTAGCAGCTATGCTGAGGGTTTGAATCCCCAATGAAGGACCATCAGCTGGACCTACCTCTCCAGATGACTCTTATGACCTTGAAAAGCAGGAAACAGTACAGAAATGAGTCAGAAATAAAGTTGTGTGGAGTGAAATCTGAATCTGGGCTCATGACTTGCACAAGAAAAAAGATTTCAATTCACTGTCCCATAGAAAATACCTATAAAGTGGAAGAGGGTTTCAGAAACATGGATTTGAGGGGAAGCCAGAAGCTCTCCTGAGATCCCCGGAGCATTGCTGACAGTGGGGATGGCTAGATGCAGCCACCCCAGCTACCAGCTATAGTCACTCTCCTTCATGATGGGGCCCCCAGGCTGGCATGAATCCTTCCCTTGGTTTACATAAACAGGTTAGTTTGTGTGTTTGCTAGGATGCCTCTAGGTAGTAATAGGGGCAGTCAACCACCTGGCAAAAACCTGTGCTATTATACAGTCATGTCTTCAGAACAGATTTTACCACATAGACTTAAAGGGGTCTGAGACTTTGAGCCCTTCCCTCATTTCTACCTCAGTGTCCTCCTTAGCAACTCATTCAGGGAAATGAGAGATGTGCTCATTTGTGGCTGCCAGTTCAGTAACCTCCTTGTCTTTGCTTTCTGCTGCATGGAGTAGAACCCAGCTGTTTGGGCCCTACCCCAGGTAAGACTGCAGTGTGGTAAGTCTGCTGTCTCCAGACCCATCACAGCCCCCATGGGCTCTTGAACATCACTGTTGGGCCCAGGAAGGGCTCACAAATTGTGTTTTGTTTTTTTATTCCCTCCCCTTCCCCTCTAGTCTGTTGGAGAAGGTTGAACAGGAAACGTGGCGTGAGACTGGCATTTCCTTTGTGACTTCAGTCACCCGCCTCATGGAACGCCTTCTTGACTACAGGTATTTTCTTGGGTACCTACCTGAGCTCTTTGATAAGGATTCTCTGTCCATCAAGGGCATTCCTATGACCTTAAAATGAGGTCATGTGCCTTTCACAGAAAAGACTGTCCTGGTGTTGGGTGCCATAATTAGTCATTAGAATAACCAAGAAGAAAAGAGAGCCTTCTTTGAGGGGTGAGCTAGGACTTTCTAACATTTCCTGCTCCCCGCTCTGAGATATGGACACGTGTACCTACAAAGCATCCCAGTGACATTCATCTATCTGGCTTTTATTCAGAAAAAGCAAAATCAATGGGCATAGAAGTGCAGGAAGAGGAAAGCTCTCTAGAACAAGGCAGGAAACAGATGTAGATGATATTTAGTGCAGATCTTCCTCAGAGCCACATGGCAGATGAACAGGGAAATATCACTGAAGTATGACTTTCAGTCAGCGTTTCCAGAGATTGGTGCTATCACTTTCCCATGCCTATAGTCTTTGCTGGAAGTCAGTTTGTTTATGTCTGCTGATCCTGGCCACAAGAAGATTAAAGGAAAGCACCTATTAGCTTTATTTTATTTCCAGTCTTAAGAGTCTGTGTGGAATTAGGAATTTTTTATGAAAGCTTACCTTCCAAGTCATATGGCTTTCAAATGACTCCAAAAGTAACAGTACTACCTCTGCAGGGTTCAAGTGGTGGCCAAGAGTACTTTTTGGATGCCTAGATAAAGGTGCTAAGGTATGAGGAAACATGATCAAGAAATACAACCCATCTCCCAGCAATACTGTCTCCACTGTGCTGTAAGATGTACAGACACCAAGGAGGCACATTTCCCTCCTATGCCTCAGGAATTGAGTGTATGTAGGCCACATCCAGATGAAGATGCTGCTGTGCAAAGCCTCAAGTACCCGAAGCACTCACAAGTTTCTGGAGCAGTGTGCCTTGAACATGCCTCTGTCTATACACAGCTGTGCTTACATGAGCTTTGGTCCATCCTGTCTGAGCTTTATAAGAACAAATCTGATTTAGGGGGACTGCGTTTATAGCAGAGAATTCCTTTTTTAGGTCAAATCTCCAGCTGTCCCTGTACCTACCATCAAAAAAGAAAGAGAGGCAGGCAAAGCCCTGCATATTCCCCTAACTGCAACATTTTACTGACAGTCTTGTTTACTTTGGCTCCCAAAAAGAGCAGAAATTAACTTCTTAGGGTCCTGGGCTTAGTTCTAACTTCCTAATTGATTTCTTTAGCTAACTTCTGTAAGCTATTCAAACTCATTGCCAAAACCACTTTATCTTCTACAAAATAAAAACATGACATGACATTAAGGGCCCTTCCTGAACTGACCTTTGCCAGCCACCCTAACGTTTATCTTACAAACCTACAGTATTCACACCAGGCACTGGCACCTCCCAGTGTTTCTCCTTGTTAATATGAAAGAAAACACCATGATAACTCTCATAGCAGTCGTGAAGCACAAGGTGAGTTTGTGATTGCTCCCAACTGTTAAAGGTCTGCTGTAACGTTGTCTCTAATCGCATAACCACCACTATAGAGTTATCGTTTTTATCATTAAGGAAACATGAGTAGGAAGTGCCATAGCTAGAATTTGAACTCAGATTTAGCTAGCTCAAGAGATATGTATGCTCCATCTCCCAGTCCATGTTGTTACCACTCATATCCTTGCCTATAGACTCTGGCATGCTGTGGTCTCTCCTAAGAATGTCTTTCCAACCCAACCCCCTCAAGGAGACTCCCAAGTCAACAGCATACTTGACTTTCTGAGCACACCATGGATGATGATCATTTATCACATTTCTACTTCACTTGACAGAAGAGAGCCAGCTCCTTGTCCTTATCTCCCTCATCCCCTATGTGCCAACTGCTTCATGGCCCCTGGCAGATGCACAGTGATGAGTTAACTCATCACAAATGATGGCTGATGAGATTAACTCACTTGTAAAACCATCAGGAATAAAGGAAATCTTTTCTTTTATCGCAGTGCACTTTAGTTTAGCAAGAGCTGTTAAGAAAAAATAGTTGTTGAAAATATAAGTATACATATATTAATTATGCAAATAATCAAGACTGTATTCCACAGTCTTACACAAAAGATGAGACTGAATTTTAAACTAGCTAGCAAGAGATGGTAATCTGAGGGTGTGTCTTCATCTTTCGTGTTAGTTTCTTTTGTTTTTATATGAATCCCAGACACTCTGTGTCAAATATTAGAGACCTAGCTCATTGGTAGCAACTATTTGCCAGATTGGGGAATAACCTCCAAATTAGTTGCAGCTCCGGAAACAGGACAAAGCTTAGAGTCACCAAGTTCTTGGCTCTTAAGTGGATGCTGTGCCTGGTGGCTGGCATATGCTTTCCTTACCCAGGCCCCTTCAGTCACAGTGAGGGTTGCTCTTTCAGGGGAGTCTTCATGACTCACTCTCCAGAGGAAGAGTAAGGAGAGAACAACACTCAAAATATGTTCTCTCTCATGAGTAGCCATCTTGAAGTAGTGCAGGGCCACACAGAAGAGTGCTACTAGCAATGCAAAGAGAGGCAGCCATGGAGCTCAATGATGTGTCAGAACATCACTGATATCACAGTGTTTGAGAACAGTTCTGTTTAATTGACTTGGCTGTTTTGTAGAATATACAAACCAGCGAGTGCCCAAGTAGCTGGGTAAGACCTCTCTGCCTTCCATGGCACCAACTTACTGGGGAGACAGATGTTTCCTGCCACCTCACGGGTTGGTATTGGCCCTTAGGTTCTCTCCTCCCAGCAGTCCTGGTTCTGCTAACACAAAAGAACAGGTTCCAGAGAAGGATGTTCAGAACCCCCGTGTTTGCCTATGCAGGACCAAAATACTGCATGTGGGAAATGTTCTGATAGACAAACCCCAGAGGTCAGTAGATCCAAATCTCTCAGAGATGCTGACTCTGACAATGGCCAGAGGATACTTGGCTGCTTTGCAGAATGCCATTGACAGTGGTGTAGATTTCCAACATCTCTCCTTAGAAGAAGTCATCTCAGGGTCTCCCTTTTGCATGCTGGGCAAGTAGAGGAGAACTCAGTTTACCAAATGACCATGCAGAGCCTCAGACTTGACCTGAACTTCTCATTCCCAGCTATGTTGCTCCTCACTGGGTCCTGTGCCTATCCATCAGATAAAGCCAAGATACATGCTCTACTCTGCCCTACTAGTACAAAACTGCAGCTTTCCCCCAGAGCTGCTAACATACAGTAGCACAAGAAATTAGATCTTCTGCAGAATGGTGTGGAGTCCTCTGGAAGGAGGCACCACAAGGTTGGACTCTGACTGGCTGTTTGTATAGGAGACCTCTTGTGAGATTCACTGCTCCAGTTCTCTTTATTCTTAGTTTTTATGTTCTAGGTCTTTGCTCCTGCCCAAAGCAGCCAGGCTTTGGCTAGCCTCCTGTCTCTCTCAGAAGGATCCAGGCTCAATATATCTATTGTACTGCCTCTCACCAGCCAGCCATGATCCATTCCAATACCCAGACCCTGCTAGGTACAAATATAGTCCTGTGCTGGCTAAAGCTGCCTCTGAATCAGAAAGAACTAGATCGCCTACTTCTGGTGAAGGATAGTTCCAAAGACCAGTACCCAGGAAGGAGCATACAGGGAAAAAGGTTACTTAGATGGGAAACATGTCAGCTATGCCATTGTTGCTATGGTCACAGTATCCTAAACCTAAATTCCTTTGACTAGAGGGTCTTGGATTTTGCTCAGTACTTTTCCAGAAAATGATACCTGTCATTTAAGGAAAACTATGTCTTCCTTCTTTGAACTTGAGTGTTTGGCTTTCCACTCTACTGAAAACACCCTTCTATGCCAAGGACATTGGTGATAGAGCATTTGTCTCTGCACTTTCCCTCCAGAACAAGACCAGTTAAACATAGATCTTTGAACCTTAGAAGCAGGTCCACACTTGTAGCTCAAAAGACCATCCTCATCTCTGAAAGCAGTCTATACTATAGAACATCTTTGCGGCTTTTTGTAATAGCACTCCAGTGATAGTGCAGTTCTATGTACTGTTCCAGAAGTACCACTTCATATCATACATGTTCATCTCTGCTCCTTCTTCCAGGGACTGCATGAAAGGAGAAGAAACGGAGAATAAGAAGATTGGCTGCACTGTTAACCTAATGGTGAGAGTCTGCCTGCTGGAATAGTTCTGTCCAAAATTGTGATTGGTTTGACCTTCTAAAGTTGAGAGCTGTAATGAGGATTTGAGTTGGAACAGCAGCTCTGTTACTAGTATGTTAGAGACCTGATTCTCACAGTCAGATTCCCACTTGGGAAAGGATTGGTAGGAGCTTCTCTCTGGGCAGTACTCTAGCCTGACCCCTTTCTAATGTCCTGCCAACCCTAACCTTCTCCAACTCAGCCCTCGCTGATCCACAATCTGCCCTGTCACTCTTGCTCTTTCCCACTGCTCACAGCCCCTTGGTACCTGCTTATGCTGCCCATGATTCCACCCTAGCAGATGCTGTTTCTGTCTGGTCTTTTTTTTTTTTTAGTACTGTCTGCCTCCAAAGCCATCCTTCTCCTCCTGCCAAGCACACCCAGGGCTTTTGTTGGCTACCTGGAGTTTAAGTATGGCCTCTTCATATGGTAGATGCTCTCATCTTTATTCATGTTTCCTTCTCTACCTTTCAGAACTTCTACAAATCTGAGATTAACAAAGAAGAGATGTATATTCGCTATATCCATAAGCTTTGTGACATGCACTTGCAGGCCGAAAACTACACTGGTGAGTGAAGAGAAGTGAGAGCCACCTATGCCCTTAAAGAAGCAGAGAAAGTCTCCAGGCTGGGGGCCTATGTTTTGCTCTCAGCTCCCTTGTAACATGTGTTGGAAAAAAACAGAACTTCCACTGTCCTCTACTTGCCCAAGGCTGTTCTGTTTTCCTACTGCCCACCCCTCCCTCTGAGACCTCAAGGGTGACCACCAAATTCTGGTGTACCAAGTTTAAAGCGTCCTGTCCTCCTAACAGAGCTTTTCTTAGAAACAAGTGATAGTACAATAAAGGAATACCCGCTAATCCTTGGACTCCAATAGGTCACAGACATTGAAATCTGTTCTCTTGTTACATATCAACCCCACATTGAGCTCCAGGTGGAGAGTATGAAAATTCATCTTCTTGACTGGCCAGGCAAGGGCTCTTTCGTATATCTGCAATTTAAAGCATTACTAAGACCTTTCTAACCAGAACAAATTTCAAAGCCTTTCAGGGTGTTTGTCATTCCCTGTTTACACAGTTACACTGAATCAGTATATGTGCTATGCATAGTTCCCTCAAAGTACCCATCTTTTCTGCTGTGGTGACCAGATACTACTTCTTGACCCCAAGGATAAAGGGCTTGAATTTGTGTGACTCGCCCAGAAATTCAAGCTGTCCTAGTCTGCAGGTAGGACTAGTGTCAGGTAGATTTGCAGAAACTGACTCTGCCATCCTTCCCTGAAGATGTCAGGATGTTAGGGATTGCTTGGCTCAGATGATACCTCTCTTGATAGCACAACTTAATAAGAATTAAATCTAAAATAACTGACTAGATCTACCATTTTCTGCACCCATTTCCACCTATGATGCCAACAATTGTTTAAGAGAACAATGGAGAGACTCTGATAAGTAGAGGCATTTGCTAAATTTCTAGAGGTCTGGGCCTGGACTAAGAGGCTGGATCAGGAGTTTAGGTGGAGAGAGGGAGCTAAGCCTTGTCTCTGGTGACGCCAGTAAAGACACCTGCAGAGAATATGGACAAGATTGTATATGGGAAGCAAGATTTCACATGGTTTCCAAAGTTCAAAGGGAAGGCCCAGAGTGCCACAAAGAGAAAAGTCTCTTTTGCCCTCTGGAGGAAAAGACTTCCCAGATTTGACCCAGCAAGAAGGAATGGGCTTCCTTGCAAGGACACAGACAAGGCAGGATGAGGATCCTGGAGAGTCCTCAGACAGGTGAGCCTGGCTAAAAATAGATGTGGGTCACAAATGGTTAGGAACAAAATTCTTTATAGCCATGAGGAACAAGTTTGAGAGAGGCCTTGAAAGCCAAAGGGAAGCTAGAACTAATTAACTTGCCAGCAGGAGGTATCCAAGAAAATTAGCTAATAGAACAAAAAAAGAGGAGATTGTATAATTAGGACTCTAAGCAGTGGCTACCACTCATTGTGACTTAGCTCCTAGAATTCAGGAAGCCACAATACCAGTTGCTGTGCTCTTGCCTCACCCTCTCTAACCGTTCCACAACTAAAGTGGCTGGACTTCCACTCTGGGTGTTTTTCAATTTAGTTTCCTCCAAGAATGGAGCCTCTGCTCCAGGCCCATCACACAGTTACACTTTGTTTCTTTTACAGACAGTGGAGAAAAGAGAGGATCATTCCCAGGGCCATGCTGTGAATGGAAAATGGAGGTGGAGCCAGTGAGGATGGCTTAGAGAGGGCTGTGGAAAGCCTTGGGTAGTACTAATCCCTGAGTGCCAGCCAGGTCTGAGGAAGTTGAAAGGGAAGCTGAACAGAAAGGTACTTAAGTCAGACACCCCAGTCTCTCCCAAAGCAAGATAACCTGTACACAGACTCCGGTCACTGAGCCATTATTGTTTTCTTTATTTATTATTTTTTTAATCTGGAACAAAAAAGAGGTGAGCAGGTCCAGATTGTCTGCCAGGATCTTTGATGTCTTCATGCTATGGACAAGAGTCATTGGCTTATCTCATTATCTGATTTTTGATGTTCATTTCCCTGGCTTGAGCTGCACTTGCCTTGCCTGGGCATTTGCTCAGCACAGTCCCCTGGGACCAGGCTGGTTCTGGACCCTGAGAGGAAGCTGCCTGTCCCCCCAACAGAGGCTGCATTCACTTTGCTCCTCTACTGTGAGCTGCTGCAGTGGGAGGACCGGCCGCTGCGAGAATTCCTCCACTACCCATCTCAGACAGAGTGGCAGCGGAAAGAGGGATTGTGCCGGAAGATCATCCACTATTTCAACAAAGGCAAGGTAAGTGTCATTAGGCAGACCTTTAGTCCTTTGGCTTTTGCTATAATGCACAAATGGCATCTTGATAGTACAGGATTGTAGCAACTGCAGAGGATAAAAGTAGGTTGGTCAGTGGGTGGGTGCCCATGCATGCATCAGGTTTATTTTCTCTGGAGAAGAAAAAAAGGTTTAATTCTATAATTTGGAAGGCATTCTATTCCAGATTGCATGTGTAAGAGAAAACCCCACACACCAGCTTTACAATCAGTAACTGCTAAGGCTGCTATAGCAGAGGCTCCTTGAACTTCATGTAAGTTTATTAGATTTTCGTAAAGAATCCAGGCAACTTTCTAATCTGCTGCCATAGAAAATGTGAATAGTAGCAGTGAACAGGTTTTAACCATGGCCAAAGGAGACCCTGTACCACCTTATATTGGTGCTTGATCTTACCTCGGGTTTTCCTTCCCTAGTGCACAGTCTGACCTTCTCATATTGAGGTCCTCTTCCTCAAACTTGCTACACTGGGGTTGGCAGCATTGGTCAGTGTTGGTTCCGTCTTTCTAGGCACTTCCTAGTCATCCACCTCACATCTCTGGTAGAACTCTCTGTGAAGTCCTCTGACCACTAACTACTGGGTGTGGCCCAGGAAATGATTGGAAAGCTGAAGGTGTGTAACTCATTGAAGCCATTCTACTCATCCTTAAGCACACTTTGAAAAGCTCAAGTGGAGTCATTCATGGATCTGTATTGATGGAGCCTCTTACACAAATGAATCAAAATTGTTTAAGAATCTTTTCATTATCGGGCCCAGTGCGATGGCGCAGTGGTTAAGGTCCTCGCCTTGCACACCCGGGATCCCATATGGGCGCCGGTTCTAATCCTGGCGGCCCCGCTTCCCATCCAGCTCCCTGCCTGTGGCCCAGAAAAGCAGTTGAGGACAGCCCAAAACTTTGGGACCCGGCACCCGTGTGGGAGACCCGGAAAAGGCTCCTGGCTTCAGATCGGCATAGCATTGGCCGTTGCGCTCACTTGGGAAGTGAATCATCGGACAGAAGGTCTTCCTCTCTGTCTCTCCTCTCTGTATATCTTGCATTCCAATAAAAATAAAATAAATCTTTTAAAAAAAAGAAAAAAGAATCTTTTCATTATCAAAAAAATATATATTTAAACATGAATGGCTCTTGCCTGTAAATCAGAAAACTTCTTCAGTTTTACGTAATGTAGGAGACTTCTGTGTTTGTTAATATTCACTGAGAAAACATTTACTCTTACAGAATTCAAATGCACAAGCAAGCCAGAACTCTTCCAAAACCATAGTTCTTTATAACAGCCCAGAAGGAAGGTCTGTGGTCAGTGTCAGCCTTAATGATTGTGCCTCTCCTTGACAGTAAGGGCCTGACATAGGCTACTCATCGGCACAGTCTTCATGGACTGACCTTCATAGCACCTAGCTGACCTGGAGCTTCCACTTGCCCACAAAGCCTTTCTAACACAGAGCAAATGCCACAAACGTGGTGTGAGTGTTCATAGTTGTTTTTAGTGTTAGTCCTCTTTTTTTTTAATTCAGCACAGAGAGGAGACTTGTCCAAATATGATTAAGCTTCCTAACAGGACCTCTGAGCAAGAATGGCCCCCTCTTCATCCTACACTGATAATGCATAGAAATATAGAACTAACCCTTCGTATGGACTAGGGAGTACGAAGATAGGCAGGAAGGCAGAAGGACTGGAAGACTGTGTAGACCCTGAAGGTTCAGAGTCTATATGGGACCTAGACCACTAAGTGAGCCCTTGTTAGGTTCTTCCTCGAAGGGCCATTTATCAGAGCCACTCTCCTAGGCTCATACAGAAGGTCCACTTTCTCTGTTTCTGTGCCTCAGCTCCTGATGGAACCATTAGTGAGACTGACCAGTTCTCCAAAGAATTCTGATTTTTTAAATGGCTCCAGAAAAAGCAAAATTTGGCCAAGATGTTTGGCACTGGGCGGGGGTGGGGGGTTGCAGAAAAGGAAAGAACTCAGAAGGTCAGGTTAAGGGTTCTAAACTATCCACACTGCCAACACACCTGTCTCAAAAACCAAACCTGCCCCCTGACATTTCTTCCATACCTCCGAGCATCCCCATAATCTACTTTAGATAACCCAGTCAGCTTTGGTCCCATATTCATCACCTGGGTACCCCAGATGTCTCATGACAGTAATGAAGGCCTGGGAAGTTCTTGGGAAGTTATCTAGTTAACCTAGGAAGCTTCTACAAGGTGAACTGAGGTACATTCCACAGAGAATCATTTCTCCCAAGAAGAGGGAAATTTCAAATAACGGGAGTGTGGTAGCGTGAGAATTAAAAGAAAGGGGCCGGGGATATTGGGAACTGGTATGCTACCCCAGGCAGAGGAACAAACAGGGGGGAAGGCTGCACCTCTGGTCCCTGTTCATCTGTCATGTGAGCCATCAGGGCTGCCTGTTCCATGGTGATGAGCTTGGACTCTTTCCTAAGGGTTCACTGTGGCAGCCCATGTGTCTCTGAAGGAGACTGGTGATTCAGCCCTCTAAAGCCCTTGTTTTGCTATTAGATTAAATCACTGCAACTTTCTGTGTCATCCCAGAGAGGGTAACAGGGTTATATGCCAAACTACATATCTGCCAGAACTGATAAAAAAAATTACTAGATTTCAGACACCAGTAAAGAGTTTGCTTTGCCTACTGCTTGAAGGAGAAGACACACATGATATTGCACTGAACCTGCAGAACCATTTTGCCTAGGTGCAGAGGTAGTTCTTGCTGCTGTCAGAGCCACTCTGTATTCCAGCAGACAATCTCAAGGCTGGTACAATATCTTAAAACTTGCTCCTGTTTCTTGCTAAAGATAATTGGGGAAGGGATAGCCTTGTAACAGAGGGTTACAAAGTAGAACAAAAGGTAACACCAAGACTGATGAGTATTGACCCCAGTAGAATAGACCTGTTTACTGGGAGCTACATTGCCAGCAGGCAGAGGCCCTCCATGGGACCCTCCTTGCCCAAATGAACAGTCCCCCATGGGGCAGATCTTGGCAGGTGGGCCAAAAATGTGTGTACAGCTCAGCAGCTGAGCCAGCCCCCCTGGAGCTGCCTGCCCGGCAGAACCTGTTGTAAGTCCTTGGCTGAAATCTACTCAAGCAGCCCTTGGTGCTAGAGAGAGGGCTGACATGTGCTCCCTTGGAATCTGCAATGCAGGGGCACAAGAGATTTTCTAGCTCACCAAAGGAAGGCATTAGCCAGGGTCTGTTTAAAATTTTCTTTGGTTTGTTTCAGTCTTTTTAATTTGTTATGTAATTTCAATGCATACAGCATTAATTTCTTCTAAGGAAGAAAATAATATGTTCTTTTGGAGAAACACTATCCCAAATGAAATTGTTTTTCTTCTCCCTAATGCTAATTCAGATACGAGAACATATTTACTGGTGAAACTATATGATGCCTGAGATTTGCTTTAGAAACTATGGGGAGGTCTAAGTAGATGGGGTATGAATGCTGCAAGATTGGTTATGAGTTAGTCATTGTTGAGGCTGCACAATTATCTAGGGATTTATTATTTTCTCTCCACTTTTTCATGTATTTTAAATTTCCTATGATAAAAAAATTAATTAATATTGAGCAAAACATCAAGTATACAATTACTCCCAGTCTACATGATAGAAAAAAAAAACTGCATTCAAAGGAAAAGAAAGGGGCCAGCATTGTGGCATAGCAGGTAAAGCTGACTCAGGTGCTGAAGCCCTGTTCTTAGTTCCAGTACAGAGCTGGGGTTTCGGGATCCCACTAGGCAGGGAGCTTGCATGTCAGTACGAGAGCCTCTATGAATATCAGAGCCTTCCCTGGCATTCACTTCCCATACCGTTTCTTGCTGTGGCCTGGGAAAATCAGAGGAAGATGATCTGAGTACTTGAGACCCTGCCCTGCAATCCATGTGGGAGACTGGGAGAAGTTCCTGCTTCCTGCTTCCTGGCTTCGGCCTGACCTGGCCTGGCCCCAGCCGTTGCAGCTATCTGGATAGTAAACAAAATGGAACATCATTCTCTCTCCATCTCTACCTCTGTAACTCTGACTTTCAAATAAATAAATATTTTTAAATGTTAAATTAAAAATTTATTTTTATTGGAAAGGTAGATTTACGGAAAGAAGAAACAGAAACATCTTCTATCCACTGGTTCAATCTACAATAGATTGAATGCCCAAATGATCACAATGACCAGAGTTGAGCTGATCCAAAGCCAGGAACCAGGAGCCTCCTCAGGGTCTCTCACATGGGTGCAGAGTCCCAAGGTCATGGGCCATCCTTCACTGCTTCCCCAGGCCATAAGCAGGAAACTGGATGGGAAGTGGAGCAGCCAGGATAGGAACCAATACCCATATGGGATCCAAGTGCTTGCAAGGAGAAGATTAGCCAACTGAACCATCACATCAGCCCTGTAAACATGTGTGTATGTATTTATATTTTTTTAAGAAAAAGGAGGAAAGATTCAATATTGCCCCTTAGTGAAGGTCACTGCAGCTTTCCTCAAGCACCTGTGAGATAGACCTGTCATTTGTCACCATAATGCCTATACCAAAATGATAGCCTGGGGTCCAAACAGTCAAGAATCAGCTGAAGCCTAACTCAGGGCTGAAACACACACACAGGAAAGAAGAGGAGAGGAGAGGAGAGGGGAGAGAAAGGGAGGGGAGGGCAGGGCAGGGCAGGCGGAGGGAAGGGAAGGGAAATCAGTGTTTCATTAACTCATCAAATAAATACTAGTTATATGATTAGCATTGTTCTCTGCTCTGAAAATAAACTGGTTTTTTTTTTGTCCTCATACAGATTATTATCTAATCGAGATTAGTACAAGAAAAAAGTTAAATATTTCTGAAAGGTTCATTTATGTATATAAAAGGTAGAGTTGCAGAGAGAAATCTTCTATCCACTGGTTCATTCCCCAAATGGCTACAATGGCCAGGGATGGGCTAGGCCAAAACCAGGAACTTAAAACCCCTTCTGTCTCCCACATGGATGCAGGGAGCTCAAGGTCTTGGGCCATCTTTCACTGCTTTCCCTTCATTAGCAGGGGCTGGGTAAGAAGTGGACCAGCTGGTACTTGAACCAGCACCCATATGAAATGTCAGCATTGCAGATAGCAGCTTAACCCACTGAAATATAACACCCAGCCCTAATTTTTTTTTTAAGTAACAAAATTTCAGGGAGCAGGCATTTAGCCTAGTATTTAAGATACTCATGTCCCACACCAGAGTACTAAGATTTAATTCCTAGAATCTGACTCCTGACAGTACAGACTGGGAGACAATAGTGGTAGTTCACCAAGGAGACCTGGATTGAGTTCTTGATTGCTGGTTTGAAACCCACACCCATGTCATGTGGATACTTTGGGTGTAAATCAATAGATTAGTGTCTCTCTCTCTCTCTCTCTCTCTCTTCTCTCTCTCTCTCTCTCTCACACACACACACAAATACATACAGAAAAAGTAATTTTAAATTTTTTTAGTGAATTCAAAGTAACAAACAGAAATGGACAAAGAAAATACCTATTCTTGACACCATAGTTCTAAGACACCTCTTAGAAATGATGACATTATAGCAGAGACCTGAAAACTGTGCTCAGGCTAGAAAGCCACCAAGATGTGTGTCGTGCTCTACACACTGATTTAGAGGCACGTGTTCTTTGTGCTATGTAAGTTGGAGACCAAGGAAATTTTTTATTGTGTTTTCTGTGTGTTTGATGTGGGTATTGGCCATTCTGGAGTTGCCTGAGGTGCTGAAGCCCTGTTCTTATTTCTGATACAGAGCTGGGAGTTTGGGATACCACTGTGCAGGGAGCTGGCATGTCAGTACGAGAGCCTCTATGACTATCAGAGCCTCAGCTGGATTCGGGTGAGCTCAGCCCCTTTCCCAACCCTTGCCCCAACCAGACATGCCAGGATCTTCCCGGTCAGTTCTGAGTGAGCACTCCCAGTTGGCCTCACCTTTATTTTAGTGCTTCATAGAAGAAGAGGCCAAGGATCCTTCCTGTGAAGCACTTATAGTCTGACTGGGGAGCCAAAAAACACACCTGACAAGTGATTGTGTAATCTGGACCCCAAGGACCCCTGTTACTTGGGGCAGGGGAGAAGCCAACACAGGCAGAATATGATGGGAGTCTCAAAGGGGAAGTGTTTTTGTTTAATATTGATATGTTCAAGAATTATTTCTTGAAAAAATTTACAAGAACTTTTCCCCACTTTGGCTTATAGTCGCTTTTTAGTACCCATCCTTGTTTTCATATTGGAGCAAAATACTGAAAGATTAAGTCAGATGTACCATGGACTTTAAAAGGCCACTAAATTTTTCATACTTGGTGGTTCTGAGTTATGAACCAAAGTAGCTGCTAATCTCCTCAGCTAAAAGAAGCCAGCAGTCTCAGCTCATCCTGCCCAGCATCCCCTTCATGCTGCACTTATCTCCTCTGTGCTCTGATCTAGATCAGAGTTTTACTATGGCCTTTTACCAAAAGTCCTTGACTAGTCTGTGTAGGTCGCTGCTCCTTAACAGGCTTCTTGATTGACAACATTACAGCTATCTTCCCAAGAAAAGTTTCAGTCAGTTTTGTTTTGTTTTCTGAAAGCAAAAGCCAAGTTGGCCAAGACTAAACTTGGTAATACTAGACATAATGGATATTAATTAACTTTCCAAGTTTAATATCTAAACTGAAACTAGTACCAATGATGATGACAACTGAGCCTTCCTCAATGTGGTTGTTAGCATCTTAGATGATAGACAAACAAGAATGGATCATGGGAAGTGATATTGAGAATTGCTAGTAGTTGTGCCAAGTCAGGGATCAGCTCACGTAATGCATGTCAGTCGAAACCAAAAATCCTCAGACAGAAAACATCAATGGAAAATATGTATCCAACAAATGCAAGCCCATTTCTCCGTCAGGCTAGACCCAACCCAACAAGGGTACTCGAGGCATCTGTACAGGGCTGCAGAGAGTGGGCCAGTCCTGAGCCCATCATCAGACAGCTTTGGAGAAGGACTTCCTCTTGTGTGATGCAACTCCCTGGAGATAAGTTAGCCATGGTTAGGCACTCACTTCATCCTTACATAGAGCAAGTTACCTAGGAGAACCTGCTCTGGGCACCAGCAGCAGCCAAGCCAACCTGAAGGTAGTCGTCTTTCTGGTTCACAGAAAATGGAGGCCAGCTACTATGACAACATTATGGAGCAACAGCGTCTGGAGCCCGAGTTCTTCCGTGTTGGCTTCTATGGCAGGAAGTTTCCTTTCTTCCTTCGGGTGAGTCCCAGCAGGATTACAAGAATTTGTATTGTACACATAATTCACTTAAAATTTGTGTTCTTTTTGTCTATTCTACTAAATACTTCTTTCCACAGGACTAACTTGTCAACAAAAGGCATTTGGCTGGCAACTCCAGACTATTTTAGTCTACTGTTTTTTGGTGTTTTATTTTTGTTTTTGTTTTGTAGCTACCACAAATGAGTGACCGTAGTTTAATCTGTTAAGTTCCTTCAGGATGTGACCAGGTTCTAGGAACATCCTGTAGCTGACTTTCTGCATCTGCTTTTAATGGCTGGATTTTCCATGTCACTCCTCTCTTTTGGACACTGACCTCAGCAGCAGGCTGGCTCCCCAGGTCTGTCCACTAAGGTGGTGTTCTTCCTCCTATGTACACTGGACCTTGCCCAGCCATAATGGAGTACTACTGGTTTGAGAACACCAGTCTCTGCAAAAGCTGCTAAGACTATGGGAGGTCTCTTCCAGGCAGCCACTTCTCTGACCCATGATGACTACAACATTCCCTAGTAGGCTGAGCTAGAATATAGGCAGCACGGACAAAGTGACCAACCTCAGAGTTGCAGCAAGTTAAGCAGTTGTGATTTTCTTACTCTCCACAACCCATGAGCTACATGAATAGTTAACCTGGGCCTGAAGGCTGTACCCCAGAGATGTGTTGTTGTTATATGACCTAGAAGAAGCAGTCTACGTATGAGCCCAGGAGCTAACGCTAAGGCCATCTCTGATTGCCTCAATATCAGGAGCTCACTAAAGTCCAGAGTCCACAAATCTCAGCAAGCAGCTAGAAAAGTTCATGGCTTTGTTCATAGTATTGATAAGTTTGGGATCCTGTATTATTGAAGAAGCTGCTTTATCCTTGAGCCACAAAAAGCTTAGTCTACTGGGCTTATTGCCCTAAGACACAAAATCCAATCTGCCAGCAGCAAAAGTCAGGATAATCACATTTCAAATCTAAGACAGGTCAACTTGTACTTTTCCTGAGTGATAATCATTCTAGGCTAAACAAATAAATGATCTCTGGAAACTGGTAAGCAACAGAACAGCAAGCTCTCTCTGCCTAACTGCTATCCCCAGGAAGGCTCCAGCTTTGTTCCACAGCAGCGTTCCTCATAACAGAAAGGGACTGAGTAGAGAGGCTTACTTAGGAGGACCAGATGTCCTTCACATACGGTGACCGTCCTCCCATTTTGAAAGCAGTCTGATTGTTTAATAACAGTGGATGTGGAGGTCAGCAAAAGAAATGGAAGGGAAAAGTGAAACCAAAAGCCACTCCCAAATTCAATGTCCAGATGTGGTATCAAAGGCTCTTGTAAAAGAAAAATAGCAAAGAGTATAAAGTGCTAAAAATCAGTTCATCCCCAACTCCATGCAAGGGCAAGCCTCTAGGAGCTGTGATTCCTGCATGCAAATTTTCCTAGCCTTCACTTCTATCTGTGGGAAATGGAATAAATCCCAATGAGAGTAGCTGTTTCCCTTGTATATGGGAAGCAGTACGAAGCAGGGGCAGCCAGTTCTGTCTTGTTTGGGGATGCTGGGGCTCCTGAATGAATGAACCTGAGAGCAATAACTAGTCTCAGGGTCAGCACTGTATTCTGCTGTCTTCCTGTAGTCCTTTACCTCCCATGAACACAGATCATCTATTACTACAGCTCTGTCAGCTTGATTTCTCTGGACCATCTGTGTGACTTCCCTCACAAATGTGATTATCTACTAATCTTAAATGGGACTGGAAATCATTCAGCCCTCCCTCCCTTCTTAGAGAGATTTCTGTTTCCCCTCATGTCACCTTTGAACAGATCCTGGTGAGGGTTTTATATATATGGGCGAACATGAAAGATCAATGTTTGTACAGTGATACTTTATCTTCTAATTCTTTTTGTTAAATAAGAGACTTAAAATGTCTCTGTCCTTTGGTATTAGCCTGGCCAGCCTTTTCTTCCTGACCTTGACTTCCCCTCTGGTATTGCCCTTCCAGTCTGATTCATCTGGGCACACAGCCCAGCCTTAGCTGAGTACTCTCATCATAGGAGAAGTAAAGGAGGGGAGGCAGGAGAAACATCCTATTCTGAAAAGCTTGATGTCTTCCATCAAGGCCTGTAATTGGGCCTATCTGGGAAGCATATGGCTGGCTCTGTGGAGCCCCTCTCTGTTTCTTCCTCTGAAGACATATCCTGGAAGGGCTGATACTGATACCTGTTTGGTGAAATGGACCTGATGAGACAGCAGGGTGGGCAGTGTCACTAGCCAGTTTCAGAGGTACTTTCTTTTCTTTTAAGATTTATTTATTCTTATTGGAAAGTCAGATATACAGAGTGGAGGAGAGACAGAGAGGAAGATCTTCCATCTGCTGATTCATTCCCCAAGTGACCACAACAGCCAAAGCTACGCTAATCTGAAGCTAGGAGCCTGGAGCCTCTTCCAGGTCTCTCACATGGGTGCAGGGTCCCAAGGCTTTGGGGCCATTCTTGACTGCTTTCCCAGGTCACAAGCAGGGAGCTGGATGGGAAGTGGGGCGGCCAGGATTAGAACTGGCACCCACAGAGGATCCTGGCATGTGTAAGGTGAGGGCTTTAGCCACTAGGCTACTGAGCCAGGCCCTCAGAGGAACGTTCTTTAGCCATCCACTCCTGACCAGCTTCCAGGTAGGCAGCACAGCAGAGAGGAGAAGATGCAGGATGCGGGGGAGGAGTGCCTTGACTACAAAACACTTCAGTCCACAGCGAGGAAAACTGAGACCTAATCCAAACCAAAAATATAACATTTTAAGAAATGTGTAGTTCAGATGATGTTGATTTATTCTGCTAACACATTTGCATAAGAATTTACTGTCAAAGAGGCTGACAATTACTGAATAGTTACTGGGAACTGGGCAATATTTAGACTGTTTGGTCCAGCTGATCAAAGTGATCCTTCAAAAGCACGTACATGGTTACCTCTTCCCCTATTTAAAATTCTTTGGTGGCTGTCCCAGCAGTTACATCTTGGGAATCTGCTGGGCTCTGTGGCCCCCATCCTGTCAGATGTGTGTACACACACACACATACACACACACATACCCTACCTTTCCTTTTCTTGTATTGACTGTTGTTGCCATGGTTGTTGTTATACCTCATTGTCCTTCCCCACTGCTACCTACTAACCTAATCTATGTGAACCTTTGAGGAGTTGTTTGGTTTGTTCTGTTTTGTTTATTTTTGTAAACAAGAAGTTTCCAAGATTCCATCCTCCCATCTTGCTTCCCTTTCTGGGTAAGATGTTTAGGTGTCCCAAAGCCTGGACATCACCCCCAGGACTGCCGTGCCACAATCCAATTCTCCTTCCATCTGTCTCTTTTCCTCCTTGACTCTCATTCCCCTTAAGACAGGGACTCAGCATTGTGCCCATGGCTGCCTGAGAGCCGAGGACAGAAGAGACCCCTGGGATATGTTTTATGGGATGATTAACTACTGACTTCAAGATTGAGGTGAGGGATTTCATACAAGGTATGGAGTTTGCTCTCATGTTTGTGGCAGAACAAAGAATATGTGTGCCGTGGCCATGACTACGAGAGGCTGGAGGCCTTCCAACAGCGGATGCTCAGCGAATTTCCCCAGGCTGTCGCCATGCAGCACCCCAATCATCCTGATGACGCCATCCTGCAGTGTGATGCACAGTGTATCTTTCGACACTTGTGGGGGGTAGGAGGGCTGGGCCCTGGGTGGGGAGTCCTACTCAGCAGACTACCCTTCTACCATGTTATTGGCTTCACAGGCCAAGTTATCCATAGTCCTGAACCTGAGTGTGTCCTTATAACTAAATCTATATTTGGCAAGCTGCTCATGCCTCACGGAGGAAAGGAAGCAATAGCATGCCCTTGCCCATGGGAGGTCTTGTGGGTACCCATCAGCAAGACTTCAGAGGGGCCTTAATCCCTTAACTGGCTGCCACTGACAACTTAGTCCTCAGCCTGCCCTGTGAGGGGCTTGTCCTGACAGCCAGGAGTAATCACTGTGCAGAGCGGACCAAGGCTCTTGTCACAGGGAGAACAGCTGTGTGTCTTGGTCCATTCCCTTGTACACTATCCCTTATCTTTGTCAAAGACCGAGGCATGCAGGGAGCAGAAGGAAGTGGAATTTCTGTGGTTTGATAGCACTTGGAAAGTGAATGCTAATATTGGTCTGCCCCTCACCCTTTCTCATGTACAACTTTCCTGGAGACTGTGTGATAGTCACCATGACTATGACAAGCTGGTTTCAGAAAGGGGACAGCAAGCAGACTCCCATCTCCTTTCTTTCCATCAGTACTCCAAATAGTATTTTACTTACAAGTTGTTTCATAATAAATATAGTTGTGTCAAAGGAGGGAGAGGCAGACCCAGAGCCTTTTAACCTTTTCTCATTTCTGTAGGGTGGAGACCTACTTCTGACTTTGTTCCACTTATTTTTTAAAGGGCACCCGAGAGCACTGAGCTGGTGGTGTGTCCCTGTGATAGGATGCGCATAAGGCTCACTGCAGAAATAGGCTGGGAAAGGGGTGGAGAAAGATTTTCTGATTGTGCTTGGGCCCTGTTTTGCCTGTTGAAATGCTGGTGCCTCCACTTCCATTTCCATCAGGGAACAGGGCAGTGTGTTCTGCTGTCCTTACAGGAGATGACAAGGGTCAGCAACTTAGGTCCCTTTCTTTGGAATGTCTGGGTTTCCCCTTCACTTCCTGCCCAGACTTGCAGATCTATGCAGTGACGCCTATTCCAGATTATGTGGATGTTCTGCAGATGGATAGGGTCCCAGACCGTGTCAAGAGCTTCTACCGTGTCAACAATGTGAGGAAGTTCCGGTACGACAGGCCTTTTCACAAAGGCCCCAAGGACAAGGAGAATGAATTCAAGGTAAACAAATCTAAGAAAGCAGGGGTAGAGGGATGTGGGAGGGGTGGGGGGAATCCCCAGTGCCTATAAAACTGTATCACATAATACAATGTTAATAACAATAAAAAAAAAAAAGAAAAAAGAAAAAAAAAAGAAAGCAGGGGTAGAACTCACAGCAAGTCTGGGGGAAAACCCACATTCTTGGGTACTGTCACTGTTGCATCCCTCAGGTAGGAATGGTATGGTAAAACTTGCCTCTACTTGCCTGTGCCCTCCTTTGCAGAGCCTGTGGATCGAACGTACCACACTGACCCTGACCCACAGCTTGCCTGGCATCTCTCGATGGTTTGAAGTGGAAAGGCGGGAACTGGTGAGATAAGACTCAAATGGGGAGAGTGTCACACTGCTCCTTCAGCCTTAGCTTCAGGGAACTTTCACAGAGGGCAAAGACCACTTCAGCCACTTGCCTGGCCTAGGTCCATCCTGTGCTGCCCTACGTGCTTCTCTTAGCCAAAGCACACAACATCCCTAGACAGCAACTGTTTTTAACATCCCATTCTACAAATAAGAATACCATTCTCTTGAGATTAAGGAAGCCAGAGCTGATTGCAGAACTGATGATTTTTGTTATTTACTATAATTTCAAGTACCCATGAATTAGAAAAGAAAGCTATACAGGGCCAACAAATCTCAAATCCCTAGGAGCAAGGAACAGGATTCAGCATCAGAGATCTTAGATCCTTGCTCTCAGGAACATGATGAGTCCTGGGTGACATTGTTCTATGTGCTCCAGGTGGAGGTGAGCCCTCTGGAGAATGCCATCCAAGTGGTTGAGAATAAGAATCAGGAGCTGCGGGCCCTGATCAGCCAGTATCAGCACAAGCAAGTACATGGCAACATCAACCTGCTCAGCATGTGCCTGAATGGCGTCATAGATGCAGCTGTCAATGGAGGCATTGCACGCTATCAGGAGGTGAGTTGGGGCCCAAATGCATGCAGGCAGCCTGGCTGGGAAGATGGTGTGCAGGCTTCTCTTGTTAAGATTTAAGACTCCTTGGACAGCCTTCCCAACCAGCCCTCTCCTAACTAAGCTAACTTGGCATGGCCCCAGAGTGAGGTCCACAGCTCTCTGCTGTTTCTGTGGCACAGCTCCTTGGTGAAGCCTTTTCTTCATTTTTATTCTGTGAACCCTGATAAATGTGTAATCTGTCTGATTCTGAAAGGGTGTTAAATGGCCTCCTAGAGGAGTCCTAAAGCCCACCCCTTTATGAAAAATGAGTTGTAAGTTGGCTAAAAAGCTAGGCTTTGGTCCCAGGACACTAATCCTGCTCATCCTTCCCAGGCTATCTAGGTTCTGTGGGACGTGACTACCTTCAATCCTTCTCAGACACTAAAAACAACATCTCTGATGGCCAGGTGTTCAAATGGGCTAGCCTAGAGGTGCTTGTATATATGCCTATAGAGGCGACCTGGCTGCCTTTTAGTGGCACCTTTGTACTCAAGCCTCCTGATTGGTCCATCTAAGTGGTAGTCCTGAGAAGTCTTCCTGATTTACTGGTTCCTTTCACAGGCCTTCTTTGATAAAGATTACATCATCAAGCACCCAGCAGATGCTGAGAAAATCACCCAGCTCAAGGAGCTCATGCAGGAGCAGGTATGGCTTGCAGGACTTGGAGGCCAGTGGCCTGTGGGAAAGGCCATGCGCTGCAGCCTGTAGGTAATCCTCAGAGACTCCTTCCTGATTGGTAGAGCAGCCTCGTTTGTCACCCTTACAGGTCCATGTCCTTGGAGTTGGACTAGCAGTTCATGAGAAGTTCGTGCACCCAGAAATGCGGCCTTTGCATAAGAAGCTGATTGATCAGTTCCAGATGATGCGGGCCAGCCTCTACCATGTAAGCTGATCCAGTTCTGCTCCTCCTGCAGAACCAGCTGTCATTTCTTCTAAACCTGTACCATAAACCAAAGGAAAGTAGAAGGGCAGAGTTATCCCCACCACAGAGGGGAGGAAGGCGGGAGCGATGTGCATGATCTTCTCATTCACTCTCGAAAGGAAGAGTGTCCCCTGCCATGTGTTTAAGATTTCTGCTTCTCTGCCCTCTGCTGCATGAAGACTTCACTATCACAAGGAGGTAGCCCAGGCAAGCAAGAGTCAGGCCACAGAGCAGGTTGTCCACCATGCCAATAATCAGGTCACTTCAGCAAAAACCACAAAAATACATACCTATGAGCATTAAGGTCTCTGCTGTGCACATGAAGGTGTCCTCTTAGACTGCAGAAACATATTGCAGCCCTCTGTGTGCTTTGGGAAAAGAGGTTGAAAAATCTGCCACTGCTTCAGGCAGACCTCAGAAATATCCTTGTGGAGTTGGAGCTCCTGGCTGCACAGATGACGAAGGGCTTGAGGAAACTTTGCAGAGCTGTGTTTTATTTCCTCAGTGCTGCAAACAGGGACACAAACAAAATGGTGAAATCCAGGAGGGTTTGAAATGAGAAATTTCTGCCAAGAAGTCAACTTACTTAATAAGAACTTAATTATGTTAAAATCTAACTATTCTGCTTTGTGCCCTGGCTCCCCATAGACTGCCATAGACAGCATAGTCCAAGTCTCTTAAGAGCCTGGCCATTTCACAATCCAAGGGATTGGCCCAACCCCAATCCTTACATGAGATGTACTACCCACTGACTGACTGCCATTCAACTCTTCCTGTCTTCCTTTACAGATCTTGTGCTTACTCTGTAATGGCAAAGCCTGTTAACATTATGTCGGGAATCGGATCAGCATCAATGTAGTCCAGATGTGCTTTTCTCAGCCCAGCATGTCATGGCTTCTAGTCTGAATTCCAGTGCAGTTAGGAGAGTCTCTTAGTGCTGAAACGGTCATTGTGCACAGAAATTGACAGTTCTGGCTCAGCCAGCTCCTCCCTCCTACCCCTTAATTACTTACCTATTCTTTACTCTGTGTGAACAGGCCTTCATTTCTCAACAGGAATTTCCAGGCTTGGATAAGCTAAGCCCTGCATGTTCAGGCACCAGCACTCCACGGGGAAATGTTCTGGCATCCCATAGCCCCATGAGCCCCGAGAACATCAAGATGACCCACCGGCACAGGTATGGCCTTAGGGGCAGGAGAGGGTTCTCTCCAAGGAGGTAAGTCAGAGTGTGAGGGGCCTGAAGAAGGGAGTTCCAGAAGGTGCTTGTGTCATTCCCTCACACTCCCTCAAACCCAAGTGCCACACACACAGCTCCTGCCACAGGACTCACATTGCTTCCAGTCAGTCACTGTCCTGGCTGACAGAGGCATAGCCCTGCTGTTGAAAGAACTTGGAAGAAGAGGTCTTGATGTAAAGTGTTAAAGATATAAAAGACTGCTAGGAGAAAAGAATTGGGATTAGGTTGTTGATGAGGTGAGATCTAGGCAAAATGAATGAATGTGCAGAAGCCTCAAAGGGTGAACAAGCTAGCCGGGTCAGTGCTGCCAGAAAAACCAATGGCTGGAATACAAGATTCTAGGGCATAAAAGGGAGCCAGGGCCAGCTCTGAATGGGCCTTGTTTGTACAGACCTTTGAACTTGATCCCAAGGAGAAATTACCAATTGGTTTTAAGGAAAAGAACAGCCTGGTGGTGTGGCCATTCATGATGTGACCAGACTGAACTCAGAAGTCCTAGCTTGTCTGGGCTCAACTGAGGAAACTCCAGGCCTCTAGGGCAGTAAGATCAGTTTGAAAGAGGCTAGTGAAATGAGCACCTTGTGTAGGTTCCTTTCCCAGGGTGAGTAACAGCTCAACACTGAATGGAAACTTAGTACATGAGAAGGAAGAGATGCAAGGGAGTCATTCTGATGTTATTAGAGGAGAGCTGTTAGTAAACCCATGGCCACAGATAAGGAAGGCTGTCCACGGTAGCTCACAGCCAGCTATTTTAGTAGTGTTTTCCTTCCAGGAGATACCGCTTCTAGGAACAGATCCCATCATAGGATCAGGCAGCAGGAGGCACTGGCTCATTTCTCCCCCTTTCATTTCTCCTGATAAATTGTTAATATTGTATTGAGTAGCCGTAAAGCACATAATTCTAGGTGAAGGCTATGCTAGTCCACTGTAACTCCTCAAAGACCAGAGAGGGCTGTGTGAGCAGCACAGTGGGGCTCAGGAATGCCACAGAGCTCAAATATCTATGAACTCTGGCAGTGAAACTTCCCCAGTGGTGACTGAGGCTGAGATGACCACTATACAGGCTCCCTCTTCTGTCCCTCTGCCTCCCAGCATGGCTTGTCAACCATGGGTCTGACTACTCCCTATTTCCCATTCTCGCTCACAGCCCCATGAACTTGATGGGCACAGGCCGCCATTCATCATCCTCTCTCTCCTCACATGCGTCTAGTGAAGCAGGAAATGTGGCGATGATGGGCGACAACTCCATGGGCGAGGCACCTGAGGACCTGTACCACCACATGCAGGTATCAGAGATGTCCAAGGAGAATGGCCTGGGCACCCTACCTAGAAGAATCAATGTTCTGTTGGGAGACAAGGAGGGTCTGTTTGAGATCTGAATTCAGAACACCCCTCATCATAGCCAGCAAAACTTCCTTCCACACACCATCCCAAGTCAGTTCTTAGACTGTTTCCCGCAAAGAAAATCCAGATACCATCCTGCTGACTCAGAGAGAGCCCATAGGAAAGATCCTCTATTAAATTGTGCTCCTTGAGGGCTAAATCCTGCTTCCTCCATGGGTACCATATTAGGACCAACCCAACAGTCATGCTCTAGCTAGATGGCATAGGTGGCCCCTGATGTTGACCATCAGCATGGCCTCTGTCAGGTGCCAAGGTACAGTGTCAGGTGCTGGGACAGGGGCACCTCAGAGCATTAAGGCAACTCTGGTTGAGCCCTTGTAGGCCTGGCAATTCAGAACTCTATCCTGCTGATTTTTCTCCTTTTGCAGCTCGCGTATCCCAACCCCAGGTACCAGGGCTCAATCACCAACGTCTCTGTTCTGTCCTCGTCCCAGGCAAGCCCTTCTTCCTCCAGCTTGAGTTCCACTCACTCAGCACCGTCCCAGATGATTACCTCTGCCCCTTCCAGTGCCCGAGGTAAGGATGGCAGGGTGCTGCTTGCAGAAGGGAGAGGCGAGGGCTTCACGAACCCTACTAGTCCTCCTCTTGTCTGTGACTTTGTCTTTGAGAGCAGCCCTGTGACTTAGAGAATGTGCATCTGTGCTTTCAGCACTAAAGACTTCAGAGTTCCTACCTCTGGACCTTTCTCCCTTCATCTCTATCTCTATCTCTCTCTCTCTCTCTCTCTCTCTCTCTCTCTCTCTCTCTCTCTCTCTCTCTCTCTCCGCTCCCTTTCTCCCCCTCTCCCTCTCTGGCTTTAGATCTTGTTCTGAGCATCGGCTGCTACTTTGCTGCCAGCCATTGCATCTCTACCTCAGTAAGAAAAACACAGCCTAGAAAAAAGCTCATTTCTTTCCCATTGAAATGTTTGCCAGAAGAAAGATCAAAGGGAAGGCAAAAATGAGTTTATTGTCTTGAGAAATCGAGCATCATGACAAAATAAGGGAAGAAAATTTGAAGGCTAAACTGAACCCTGCATTGTGATGTTCTAAAAGAGTCATACCAAAACCCTTTTATTCGGTTGGGAAAGACACAATCAGGAGTGATAGCTCTGTAAAAGCCTATTTATTTTGCCAATTACTGCTTGATTTCTCATTCGATTGAATAAAAATATTGTTTTCTGAAAGCTAGCATGTTTGTCCTATTCTGATCCTAGTCCACATAATGAGGGTTGCTTCTGTTGTGTCAGATGGAAGCATTCTCAGTGGAATGGAAACTGGCTGTGGTGAATAAGCTTGATGATTCCCAGGGATAGCTGCACAGGACAGGAACAGTGGACCAAGCCTTTTTGCTGGTCTGGTTGTTGCCTCAAGACTGCAGAAGGAACAGATCTCTTTTTTCCCATTACTACAAAGACAAAGAAAAATAGCATAAACCTATGACCTGAAAAGCCAGTAAGGAAATAATTGCTCTAAAGTACACAAACTTATGAGGCCTGTAATAACAGTGATGGAGAGAATAGGAGCCTTGTGGCATGGTGGAAAGGTGCTGTGGCCAGAAGGGAAATGGTTTGACTAAGAATGGAGGCAAGAGGGATAAGGTTACAACAGGGAAGTCTAGACCTTCACCTTAGTATCCAGACCAACCCTCATTTCTTGGGGGAAACAGGAGAGGAGCTTCAATACACCTAGCCAGTCCATGAGCAAACAGAATTTGGTCATTGCACTTACCGTTCCTCAGTCTGGTATCCATTCTGCCAGCCATGTTCCTTCTTAACCTGGAATGTGGGATTCAGAAAATAGGAGCCAACGTTTAGAAGCAAACGGTTCCAGTGTTAAATAAGACAAAAGAACCAACACATTCAGTACATACTGAAGAACTGTCAACATGTGAAGGCTTTGGACACAGAGAAGGAGCGCTGACTTGTATTCCAGTGAAGGCATCCTGATCATGGCTTTGGAAGGAAAAGGAAGGATAGTCTGAGAAGTTAGCCGAGAATGCTGTAGTGATGGTCGGCATGAAACAGTGTCTTCAGGTAAATGCTCCTGGTTTGAGCTGCAGAAACAGACCTTATTATTCAATCTACTTGGGTTTTCCCCTGACCTGAGGTGTCTGTAGGATATGCTTAGCTGTATATAGCCTTTTATCTAACGTTAGATAAATCTAACACTGAGTATTCTTGCTCAAGGCATATCTCTGAAACATGATTGATGATAAAGACAGAAGGCTACAAAGGATGGACATTTTAACTCTGTTCCATTCTGGCATTGTTCACACACTTCCTACAGGCTGTGCCTGGTGTTCATTGCCCTGGAGAGCAAAGGGGAAGAACAAGCAGCAGGTCCTGCTGTCAGTGACCTCACAGACTGGCTGTTACACCTGTGTCCTCCCAGCTGTTTACTCGTTTATTCACTCATCGAGCTTTTCCTGAGCCCTCAGTGAGGAAGCTGCGTGGGTCTCAGGGAACACTACATCAGAGTTGAATGGAGAAATTCTTTTCTCCTTGTTTGGAAACACCCTCTTTATTTTACATGGCTTGGTTATATGTTGCTACACAATAAACCACATCCAAAACTTAGTGTCTTAAATCATCTCTCAGCATTTTGTGGATTACTAGGACTCACTTTAGGACTGAAATCATCTCAAGGTTCCACTTGACTGGGTGTCTGAGATGGCTGACTCGCGTGGTTGGCAGTGGATGGTGCCTGTCATCTGGGGCTGTCCACTTGAACCTCTGTATGTGATCTTTCCATGTGGCTTAGGCTTCTTACAGCATGGTGGTGGCTGAGTTTCCTCAGAGCAAGCATCCCAAGAGGCTCCGGCAGAAGCTGCAAGATGCTTTATTACCCTACCTTGGATATCCCAGCAAGTTCCCTTTACCATATCTGTTAAATGGTTGAAACATCAGGTCCAATGTAGATGCCAGAGAGTGGCGTGAGACTGCACTTCATGTTATAAGGAGTGACATTGTGTTTAGGGAGGGAAGCCTTTAATAATCATCATTTTGGGAGATAATCCAGGATGGCAAGACTACAGACTATTGAGAAAAACCAATTTCCTTTCTGGACAATAAGTGCAAAACTAGACAAAATGACTAAATAACTGGGCCCAAAGTAGGGAATGATGACAAGGGCAGAAGAAAAGATGAGAGAAAGTTGCTTCTAGACCACCACATTCATACAGTCCACGTGTGGGCCCATCTGGAGAAAGTCACAGTCCTGGTATCTATTGGGTGTGGTGTTAGGTCTGTGAAGAAAGATAGGAAACCATGTGTGATGTGGCATTGTAGAGGAAGACATGATTTCCAACACACATGGTAAATGTAGTCTGGGCAGAGACGGGAGAGAGCAGTCCAGTCAGCAGGGCTTATGTTTGGTGTTACCAGTGAGGGAAAGCTTTCATGGACAGTATGAAGTGGGAGTCTTTAGAGTTACTTCCCCTGCACCCAAGAGGAGTATGAGACAACCACTGGCTGTCTGCTGTGGTTCCTCTTCTTGGGAAACCTCTATGTTGAATGACCTGCAGAGCAGTTTAAATACTTGTAAGTCAGCAGCTCCCCCTGGCGGTCACAAGAATGATCGGGGCTAGGAGACCAGAGGGTTTTTGTTTTAAGGCTTTTTTATTTGAAAGGCAGAACTATAGAAAAAAAGGGAGAGATCTTCTATTTGCTGGTTCTCTCCCCAAATAGCTGCAGTGGCCAGAGTTGGACCAGTCCAAAACTGGAAGCCAGGTTCTGGGTCTCCATGTGGGCCCAGGAGCCCAAGCATTTGCGTTATCTCCACTGCTTTAAAACATTAAAACAAGGAGCTGGATTGGAAATGGAGCAGCTAGAATTCAAACCGGAGCCTGTATGGGCTGCAGATGAAGACCTAACTACACCACAGCGCCAAACTCTTCCTTAAATAACTCAGTCATGCCAAAAATGAGTCTCCCTGTGGTTTACCAGATGACTACAACTCAAACCTGTGGATATAACAGCCCTTAGTCACATACATTTAAATGTTTTCAAGAAAATCAGTTGTCACTGTTCCTACAATGGGGCCACCGGCAGGGGTGGGGGAGTGGGAATGCAAAGGATAATGGAAGAGAAGTGAGGCTGAGGCAGTAGAGCTGAAAACATCAATGTCACCACAGAGCGCCCCTTGTTATAGTACCAGAGGTGCCTATGACATGAATCTAAATCCTTCATGGAGTTCCTGGGCCCTGTCTGGGACCTGAAGGTTACTCTCCTCTCAGGATGGGATCAGGATAAAAGAACACAGATGTGGGCTTGGCCTTGTGAACCAGCCTGAGAGCTCTGTGAGGTGAGGGAACAGGGACAGTCTGTACACAGCAGTGTACCAGGATCTAACAAGACACCTGGGGTGGACTGAGCATTTACTGTAAAATTGTGAGGTAATTGGCTCAATATAAAGACTTTGTGTGTCTGTGCATGCTCACTATTGAGCAGCCTGACCAGAACTATGACCCTCAAGGAATTCTAAGTTTCTTGCTAGGAAGGCACCATACAAATCAATAGGTTACAGCTGGTTGGTTTCTTTGTTTTGTTTTTGTTCTTGTTTTTCTTTACATACCTATCTTCATGAAGTTTCCTAAGAGTACAAATTCTAAAAAGAATATAGGGGCCTGGCACGATGGCTCAGTTGTTAAATCCTTGCCTTGCATGCTCTGGGATCCTGTATGGGCACTGGCTCCTGTCCTGGCTGCTCCACTTCCCATCCAGCTCCTTGCTTGTGGCCTGGGAAGGCAGTCAAGGATGGCCCAATGCCTTTGGACCCTGAACCCACGTGGGAAACCTGGAAAAAGCTCCTTGATCTTGGCTTCAGATCAGCACAACTCCAGCCATTGTGGCCACTTGGGGAGTAAACCAGCAGACGGTAGATATGTCTATCCTTTCTGTGAATCTACTTTTCTAATAAAAAAATAATCTTTGAAAGAGAGACAGACAGAGAGAGGTTGAATATAGGATTCAGTAAAATTGCCAAGTTAGAAAAAAAAGTCCAGATGCAGATTGTTAAAGTCATGCTTTGCTCATTCCTTTATCAATGAGTGAGATTTTGAAGACTAGGTTTGAAAGCCATCCCTGAGACTAAGCAAACAGGATTGCTCAGCCCAGTAATAGAGGAAGTCACATGAGTAATAACTGGAAGAAGTTATGTGATGTAACCAGAATTTATTATACTGAATTTTGCAACTATATAAGCTTCAACTTCTTGGACCAAAGTGAATACAAGAGAAATTTCTCTCAAGGACTTCTGCCTGGGGCAAGCTGGCTAAAGAAGACCATATTCTGAGTCCTACCATTGCTGGTTCTGCCATCTCAAAAGAAAGCACCAGAGAACCCTGGCTTTCAGGAATACAGATTCACCCCCCCAGCTGGAGCCCAGGAGTGGTCTCAACCCTCCAGCTTTAGTGGGAGCCCACCAAAGAGATTTTAACCACTTGAGCCAGCCAGAGGCACTGGGGTCCTGGTAACCTCCACTGATGGGGTATGGCGCCCCCAGTGGTTTCTCATGGATATGCTGGAGTCTGGCACAAGGAGTGGCTTATATTCAGAAGATTTTCTAAGTCCTCCATCCCCTAAGAAAGCCAGCCAGTTAGTCTAATTATGTGTGTATGTGTGTGTGTGTGTGTTTTGTCTGTGTGTGTGTGTGTCTGTGTGGAAGGTATTCTCTAAAACCAAGGGCTTACAAATTTATGGACCTGTAGTTGTGTCACAAATCCACAAGGACTGGGTCACAGCTCATTTGGTGTGGACTGGCTCCATCACATCCTCCACTCAGAAGAAAACGGACCAAGTCAACTTAAGAATCTGGGTTGGGTTAAAACGCCCCACAACTTCCAAATTAGTGCTGTGACCCCCCAACTTCACTGAAAGGGCAAGTTTCAGAGTGGTCCCGGTATCCTGTGTGCAGGACCCTGGGCCCCAGCCGGCCTGGCCCTCAGGCTGCCATAGAACTGGCAGCAAGGCAAAGGCCAGTGCTGGGGGTCTAGAACTGGGAAGAAGAAACCTCTGGATAAAGGTGGTCAGGGGCAAGCTGAGAACAGGGCCACTGGTGTTGGGAGAAGGTAAGTGTGCAGAGATACAGTATGTCGAGAAAAAAGTCTGTGTAGCCATGTTACTTGCCTTGTCTCTGTCTCAATGTGATGGCTCCATTGCAAGCTGGGCTGTGCCCATGCCTGTAATCCCTGAGGGAGCCCAGCATCCAGATCACACCCATTCCCTGGGAGCACTGGATGTGGGGGCCTCTCACCCCTCTGCTCTAGTCCTCAACTCTGCCTCCGAGCATGGTGGGGAGCTCTGTCAATGGGTCCACGTCACCCCAGCCTGCAGTGTCTGCCTCGACTGGATACCATATTTGTATCCCCACCTCCATCATTGAACCACTAGGCTCTGCTTCATTCCCCGTGTGCTTGTTGAGCTCATCCTCATCCCAAATGCAAGGGCCATGTACCCTGGTTCCCCAGACGCTGGGCCTTCCATCTGTGGCTTGTCATCTGTGCGTGATTGTTCTCACTTGGTTACAGGCTCTCCCTCTCTGCCAGATAAGTACCGCCACGCCCGGGAAATGATGTTGCTGTTGCCCACACACCGGGACCGCCCCAGCAGTGCCATGTACCCAGCAGCTATCCTGGAGAATGGACAGGTAGTAGACAATTGTGTTGGCCTGGGCTGCCCTCATTTCATTTGCTGGGCCTCCTACATTGTTCTGCAAGCCTCCTTGACTCTCCCCTAAGATCTCCCAGAAGGCTGCTAGGTTGGATGAGGAGCACGGTGAATTGGCTGACCAGCAGTTGTGGCAGAGAGAAAGTGTAGGTAGAATGGCAGCAGGGTTAGAACCACCATTGCGCATGTGACTTATTCTAACCAGCTTCCTGGATGCCTCTTCAGTAAACAGTCTGGCAAAGGAAATGGTCTTTGCAGCCTGTCCCAAGAAGATAGTGGTGAACATGGGTCTGGAGGAAATCCTTCCTAATGTGTGTGAAGGACATCAGTGGGGAAAGCTCTGCATCATTTATCCATCCATCCACCCATCCACCCAAGGCCCTGTGTTGCAGTTCTCCCCACACTGTTTGAACAACAATCCAAATACCCAGCCTGGGCACCTGGACTAAGAGACTGCAGGAATTAACCCCTGCCCTGCACAGTCTGTTCCTGTCCTCCTATCAGAGCCCATAAGTCACATTCAGGTGGTCAGTATCTGGTCCCAGAGAGAGCACATCTCATCTTATCAAAACAGGTTGTCTGTGACCAGGCTTGGATACTGCCCTTCCTCTGTCCTCACTTCTCCCACAGGCCTGTGCTGCGCCTCTCTAGGAGGTTAATGCTGCTGTCTGTGCTCATAGGGGAAGGTCTCTAAAGTCTTCATTCTTTTATTCATTCTTATTTATTTATTCACTGTTATTTGAAAGGCAGAGAGAGACCCTATCATCTTGTTCACTCCTAAAGTGCCTGCATGTCTGGGACTTGGCCAGACTGGATCCAGGAGCCCAGAACTCAATCTGGTCCTCTCCCATGTGTAGCAGGATCCTAAATATTTGAGCCATCACCTGCTACCTCCAGGGCACACATTAGCAGGGAGCTAGGATCTAAAACAGAGCCTAAACTCAGTTGGAATGCTAGCATCCTAACTGCTGCACCAGAAACCCACCCCTCTCTAAATCCTTTCTGTCAGTGGGTCTCTCTAGCCAGAACAATGTGGACAGTTAAGATACTATCACATACCTTTGACCTTTTTCTTGGGCCCTGTACAAGACAGCCTGGGTCCCAGCAGCTACTGGAGGTATACATGGAAGCACTCAGAACTAGACACCTCAGGTGGTTGTCCTTGGAAATACTGCTTTGAAATCCCCTCTGATCTTGATATGTCCTGGATCTATGGCCCACAGCACTGCCTCCCAAAATGTAATAGGTGGTTTCTACATTCTGATGATTTTCTCCTTCCTTCAGCCACCAAATTTCCAGCGGGCTCTGTTCCAGCAAGTGGTTGGAGCCTGCAAACCCTGCAGTGATCCTAATCTGTCTGTGGCCGAAAAAGGTATGGTAACCCCTCTCCAAATGACCTCCCCACATTTATCCTGTCCTGTATGTCTGACTCTCATTCCTGAGCACAGCTGGCCAGGACTGAGCCACACACCAGCACTCAGGTCTGTTTGTTCGTCCTGCATCCTGACCAATTCCTGTGCTTTCTGTCTAACCTACATCTGACCCGGTGCTAAGATTTGGGTCCTGTTAGTTTTTCACTGTCTCTCCCTTTCCAGGGCACTGATACTCAAAGGGGTACCACTGCCACCTGCCTTGAACCCAACTTTATGGAAACTCAGGCTGCTATGTGCAAACCAGGCAACCATTCCCTTTAGCTCTTCCCAACTATCCCAGGATCCAACAGGTCCTGTGGTCCCCCTTGGTTCCTCTCATCTTGAGTCCTCAAGGACCTCTTCTTAAAACTTAGAATAGACCTGTGGCCAAATAATCCTCAAGAGGAATGGGAAGTATGTACCACAGCAACATGGATATCCCAAATACCAGCTTCTCTTTGTGAACCTTTGGGTACCTCCCAAAGGGCCACAGTCCTCCTGCTGTGAGTTTTTTCCACATTGAATGATGCCATTAGTCATACCATGAGACTCAACAGTCCTCCTTAAGCCAAAGACTGCTTACCATGTCATGCTCCTGTAAGGTGATGGGAGAATTGGCCTCAGACCCTTGTGACCCTGACCTGAAGCTCCAGACACACAGACCTGAAAGTAATATCGAATGGGGACAGGGCTGTGCCCTCCTGCCACTCAGAACATGGCCCCAAATCAGCACCTCACCCTCTATGTTCTCCTCCATATGCTGACATTTAGGGCACATTCAGTTCCTACCAGCACAGCCTGGATGTTCCCTATCCCACCAGACCATGTCCCTCCAATGCTGTCATCATGTTCCTGTACCTGCACACCAAATGCTGTCTGCTGTCCCCACTGACATTGTTCCTCCTTTGCTCATCATGAGAAATAAACTTCAAAGAGACCAGAGGGTTCATGACATTTGTGCCTGACTGGCACTGGCCTCAAAGTACTCAGCCAACATGGGGCCTGGAGATTCTCGCTGAAGATGCCTTCCTAGTTTCAAAGCCTCATGGAACTGAAAATATCGGGTTCCTTGGAGGTTTTGACCCTTTGCCTCAAACAAAGCATCCTTTTAGCTTTGAATGTTAGAGTGCACCTGACTTTTCTTCCCCTACGGTGCAGACCAATCTCAAAACTAGTCAAAAGTGAGGACAGGCTCAGAGTTGAACAAGGTATTGGTGGCCAGACCAGGATGCTTCACAGGAGGCCCAACAAAGGAGTGCTTCAGGCCTCAAGCCAGGCAGCAGCAACAAGTTGGACATGCCTACCTTTCAGCATGGGAAGGAAGAAGAGTCGTATCAACTGAAGCTGAGGCCAAAGCCAGCATTATCCACTCCACAAGGCCAGCCTTTCCTGGGCAGCAAACTAAACATTTGCCCAGTGGCAATACACAGGCCAAAGTGATAACTTCCTAAGGTTCTTCTCGGATCCCCCAGGGCAGGAGCTTCACATACTTGTCACATGCTCTAGGCAGCCAGGGCCCAGGAATCTCCTGAGGACTCCACTTTCACTTGTAGGTAGGATTCCACTTTCACTTCTTGTTTGGTCAGTTGGTAACAAGAGAGAAGACAGAACATGAAGACTGCCCATCTTCTCCTGGGGCAAGTCATTCCATCTCAGCCCTTCCACTAGCTGCAGGGCAGCTGTACTGCATGGTAGGGGCCTGCTGACCACATTGCTTAGACATCAAGCTCAAAGCCAGCTTCATGGCTTCTGGCTCTGGTGGAGCAGCTTCGGTGGGCACACTTTTGTCAACCATGGCAGCCTTACCATCTTTCTTTTCCCATAGCCTTCCTGCTCTAAGTTCCTAAAGGCCCTTGTAGGTTAACATTGGTATCATCACAATTGCAGGTACCACGTGTGCATCTGAGACCTTGGACTGTTAGGTTCCAGGGAGAACTGGCCACACACTTTCCCTAAGCTTCTGTTTACCCTTAGAGTTGATGGCTTCTTTTAGAGAAGGTGCTTTCTTTCTGAAGGGGGTGGGAGATGGGGGCAAGGTTCAGTGCCAAGGACCAGAAAGTCACACAGCATCTTAGGGACTGGGTGAAGTTGCACCTGTTCTCACGCTCTGAGAGGAGGCCATCCAGTGGAATCAGCCCATGAGGGTCAGAATTCCTTCCTCACTGCAGTACAGCCAAGTGCCTGCTCACTGTCCAGTTACTATCTCCCTACTGCCAGCTGTCAGCTGTAGCATGGGCCTGGGCACTCCTCCCTAGAACTAAGGCTATGTAGCTAGTGGGAATTTCACCAATGAATAGGAAGAGTTCATCAGCACCTCACCCATGGGGCCCAGCTCCTCCCCAAAGACCAGACTCCAACTTCTTCAGTTCCAGCTCCCATTAGGGCCTGGAATTTCCCCCCTCCCCCCCACATGCTGGCTCTGCCAGAAGGAACCCAAACTCCAAGCACTTCAGGCTCATGCTAGCTACCACTGTGGTGGTTGGGCACCTGTAGTCTGCGCTTCTGTCCTGTTGTTTGGTTCCCACAAGAAAGGGTATATTTCTTCTGTTTGTTTGTTTTTCTGGAGGGTTTAGCCAAGAAAAGTCCCAGTGGCAACACCTCAGGGTCCAGCCATTGTGCTCTTCCCCTCTCCATGCTAAGTCTCTCTCTCCAGTTGTGGCGGGGTTTGAGGGGAGGTGCAGGCAGTATCCTGGCATTGGACTCCTTCCTTAGTGTAAAAGGACGACACTCTGCATTCCTGCATTCCTAACTCAGGAGGCCAGTAACTGGCCCTCTCCAGATGTCCCAAAGTATTATGGGTCCACAGCCCCCCCACTCTCCCCACAAGCAGTGAGTTCTGCTGGGCCTGGCTATCACTGTTAGGCTTTATAGGTTTTCTAGCAGGTACATCTGCCCTTGCCTAGGGAAACTTCCTGTGCTTCTCAAGTCCAGCAGCTATGCCCAGAAGCACCAGGGATGCAGCCCAGGTTGAATGTTCACCTCTAGCTCTTTGGAGCCAATTAGGGGAACAGTTGCTGTCCGTTCCCTAGCCATATGTTGGGAGCTCTGCAAGGATGCAGTCTCTGCCTCCTCTCTTTTCCACTCCATGCTGTTCCCACTGGACTTGGGCAGCACTGGAGCCCTGACTTCACCTTGGGCAGGTCCTATAGTGTGCACACACCTGTGTTCTCTCAGTGTCAGCCTTTTCTACTGTGCTCTTCTGCTCGCTGTGCTCCTGGAAAATCCCAGGCTGTATACGTGGACCCCTTGCACAGTTTGTCTCAGCTGGTCTCATCCTGTATCTCTTCAAACATCAGCTCACTGATTCTTGTCATCCTCTTCAGCCACTGGCCATACTCCACTGTGGGCCTCAGTGCCTTGCTTGGCCAGTATTTTTAGTTCCAGGAGCTTTCATGCCATTCCTGTGTGTGCTATTTAAGCACAGCTGGCACAGCCACTGACCATGGGATGGTCTTCTCCCAGAGGGTTGCTTGAAAAGTAACCTGCCTTCACCCCATCTCTTTCCACCCTTCAGCGGTGCCAGCAGCCCCCAGCAGCTGGAGCCTGGATAGCGGAGCCCGAGAGGCCCAGCCCTTCATGTCTGCTCATATGGGGCACATCCTGGCTCCCCCAGTGCCTCCCCGAAGCCTGCTGCATGGTAAGAAGACCTCCAGCGGGTCCTCCAAATATTTTCTCATCGCTTACTGCTCAATGGCTAGAGCAATAACCACCCAGGCTGAGAAGATTAGCCAGACTCAGGAAACTGTCTTCAGCTCAGGAAGGTGCTGGGCCTTGGGTCGGTCAGTGAGCTTTCTGAGTACTGCAGGTTAGCTCGGGGAGGCTGAAGACAACACAGCTGACTATCTGGGATGCAGCTTGCCAACTTCCCATCACCCAGGAATGGGCCAGAGGTGCCGCTGCTGCAGCTTGGTATCTTACTGTTCTCTGAAGCACTTGACTTCCTGATTTCCTGTGTGGAGTTTCTGTTGTTACCCCAGCAGCCTGTGTCTTGCAGAACACCAATACAGAGAAGTTGTTCTATGACCCTCCTTGCTGATAGATCCCCAGAGGACTCTTGTCATGCCTACTCAGTTGGCCCAGTGAGATGGTGCTGGCATGTAGGTGATGCCTAGGGGCAGGGCCTCCAGCTGAGGCTTTACTTCTGTTCCTTTACAGGTCATTACTCCCTCCACTTTGATGCCTTCCACCACCCCCTGGGGGATGCTCCTCCAGCCCTGCCTGCCCGGACCCTGCGCAAGGTATGTGCTAAACTAAGATGAGTCAGATCCTCTCCTGTGAATCACCCAGAATCTATTGAGGAACCTGAGCTTTGTTCTCCATCTGTCCATGGGGACTCATTCTGGCAGAAGCTGAGGGCTAGCCAGGGCCACTCCTACAACCAACGTGATGAGGGCAGGGAGACCAGAGGACCCTGCACATGCCAGCACATACAGGTGTGGGCTACAGACACTGAGAAACCTGAGGGCTCTCTGCCCACACCGTAGTCCAACAGCTAACTAAAGCATTACTTAGTAAGTATGAACTAGAGCCCAGTGAAACCAGAAGCTTCAGGACCCAAAATGTTTAAGAAAACCTCCTAGGAGCATACTGGAAATCCTGCTATTAAGATTTTCATTTTTCTGATCAGAAAAAACTATAGCTATCATAGATTTTAGCAGCAGAACATATCTACCTGCTTCATGGGTCACTACGGTTCTTTGTCCCCTCTCCAGCTGGCAGTCAGAACACGATACAGTAGCTCAGGATCCAGTGCAGAGGGCACCACTACTGGGTAGTCAGCTTAGGGGCATATTCTGGCCCACAGAAAATGCAGATGATTCTGGTTTGCTTGAGGGTAGGGGAAGAACAGAGAGGTGGGGAAGGCTGCTGAACAAACAAGAAGTATGCTGTTTATGAGGGTCATTTTATATTTATTATAAGTCCTCTTGATGTCCTAACATGCCTACTCTTTCCTTTGCACAGTCCCCCCTCCATCCTATCCCAGCCTCCCCAACAAGCCCCCAGTCGGGCCTGGATGGCAGCAACTCTACGCTCTCTGGCAGTGCCAGCAGTGGCGTATCCTCCCTAAGTGAGAGTAACTTTGGGCACTCCTCGGAAGCCCCACCTCGCACTGACACCATGGACTCCATGCCGAGCCAGGCCTGGAATGGTGATGAAGATCTCGAGCCACCCTACCTCCCAGTCCACTACAGCCTCTCCGAGTCTGCTGTCCTGGATTCTATCAAGACCCAGCCATGCCGAAGCCACTCAGCCCCAGGGTGTGTCATCCCACAGGACCCCATGGACCCACCTGCGCTGCCGCCCAAACCCTACCACCCCCGCCTGCCAGCCCTGGAGCATGACGATGGCGTGCTACTGCGTGAAGAGGCTGAGAGACCTCGGGGCCTGCACCGCAAGGCCTCACTGCCTCCTGGGAGCACCAAGGAGGAACAGGCCCGCATGGCCTGGGAACATGGCCGAGGGGAACAATAAGAGACAGGGAGGCGGCTGGGACACCGTCTTCAGTAAGCAGCTTGCCTGACCACTCCAGGTCTGAAAAGCAAGTCCCCCATCCCCGCCCCCCAGGGAGCCAGAGCGGCTTGGCACTCAGGAGAGAACCACCCCAAGTCTCCGTTCTACTGCCGTGAACTCCTGTTTTGCCATGTGCAGAGGCCGCAGCAGCATGAAGGCTTGTGGCTTCTCTTTTTATTTCATTTTTTACGTTCCCATTTCTATGGTTTTCCTTTCCTTTATGCAGTAGATGCTTTCTTTCTCCTGCAGTTCCAGGTCATGTGGAACTGTGTGGAGATATTGCACAGACAGAATCGCTTTGCAGCACTGCAGGGCCCAGGAATTCAGGCCCTTCCTCCAGGGTAGAGATGCACAGAGAATGGAAATTGCACTAGGAGCCTCTTCCTTTGTTATGTGGACAGAAGAGTTCATGGTTGTATTCAGGGATTGCAGGGACCACATGGACTACATGCCATGGGTGGATAAAGGGGCCACAAGCTGTTTTGCACAAATGCCTGCCTACCTGCGCACTCTTCCATCTAGGAGTGTGCAGCTAAGGAGCTGGTTGGGCCAACCTGTTGGCCCAGGAATGTGACTGGTCTAGCTGCGTACCCAGGGCACACTGCCAGGCTTCCACAGGCCAGCCCTGTCTGCCACTCCACCTTGGAATTTTCTCTCCATCACTTTTATTTCTATTTGCTTCCTTCCACTCTTGATAACACCTCTTGCCCTGCAGAAGACCCTGTGGGAAATGGATCTGCTAGGGTGATCTCCCACTCTGGGGCTTGAGTGGAAGAGTAGAGCCAGAGGGGCTTAGCCTAACCACCTCCCTCTGGGAAGCTGAGCTGCTTCCATTGTGTTAGCTGGTCTAAGAGTGAGGATGGGCGTGGCAGGGGCTGGAAATCCTCGTAGCGGCCTGAATGCCTGCCCTCAGCTCTGAATCAGGGATTTTCAGCACTACCTCCGAGCCGTGGGGTTGGCTGCCCAGCCAGGCTTCCAGGCCCTGAGGACACATGAGCAGGTTCAGCCAGACAGTGCAGGAGCTTCTCCTTTTGGAAGCAGAGAGCCATGCAGGTAGAGCTGTCATCTCCCAAGTGGCCAAGTACAGCACTCCACTCCAGGCCCATGGGGACTGCCACTCAGGGTTTGGGGCGGCAGGAGGACAGCTTCTCCAGCTTCCTCAGTGTGTGGGGCAGAGCGCAGCAGTGTTTTCACAGGAAATGCTTTATAGGGTGGGGTGGGTTATTAATGGTATTTTACCAGGGTGCTTCTAAGTTACTTTAAAAAAAAAACAAAAACAAAAAAAACTTGTCTTTGGACATTTTTTTCTTTCATTTGCCTGAGTTCACATTAGTGATGGTTACAACTTTGATGGTCACCAGGCTGCCTTTTTGTCAAACAGGTGTGTTGTCCCCTCTCCCCGCAGTTCCACTTCTGCTGGCCTGTCTGACCTCGGTGGCCAGACCCTGGACCCTAACCTTCAACCCTTCTCTTAGGATGTTTTTCTCTTGTGAACAGACAACGGAAAGGACAGTAAGCAACATACTGGAAAAGAAAGATCCAGGTGGTGTGTCCTCTGCGGGCGTCCTTCCCAATACCATCAGGATTCCTCCAGGCAGGATGAGCCTGTCATGGCAGCCCCTGCTGTAGCCTAAGATTCACTTGCAAGCTTTGGTTGGGACCGCCAAGGGTCAACAGATGTTAAGAGTCAGAGCCTTGGGCTGGACTGTTCGGGTGAAGAATCTGTGACCTTCAGACACTTGGGAACCTCCATCCCTGGGTGAGGCAGTTATCAGCGAAGTCATCTATCTTCTCCACTTTGTGGCACTGAAGGCAATGATGGGAGTGTGGGTCTGCTGGCTTCGCTTTAGGTGAGGCAGATCTGTGCTGACTCTCCATTTCCCCTAACTGGATGAAAAGGACCCAGCCCAAGCTCCTCCAGTTGGAGAATCGACCAGCCATGCCCAGGGGGAATAAGACCAGAGATAAGACCCCTTTGAGAAGATTGTGAAATACCGGTTCTAATTCTTTGAAGCTTATTTGTAAATACCTATTTGAATGCTGTGTATTTGTACAGGAATTTGAGCAAAAAATGTATAGAGTGTGATGTCCAATTGGTATTAAGCCCTATAAATGTGTTTTTAACCCCTGGCATTCTGTGCTTATTTAAAACAAGACAACTTCTAACCATTTCTTTTATGTATCCATGTTTAAGAAAAAGGTTATTTACAAATGATCTTACCTGTACCAGAAAAGCAAAGTTTAAAAGGAAAAAAATTTGTACTAGTGTCCCAAAAGGTATTTTAGTGTATATATTGTGGTAGCATGTTCTAAAATCCAGCAAGTAATGTGAATTTTAGATGTAAATATCTACCACTTGATCTCCCCACTTTCGCCTCCCTTGACTGCTGTGATGTGAATTAAAGATGAAAACCTGATACCGATCCAGTGAATTCACTGAATGGGAGAAGCGCAGGTGTCACCGGGCTCCAAGCCGTGGTAGCACTGCGGACATTTCCCTGCCGCACTGAGCGTGCTGCCTTCACGGAGTAGGGGCCAAACTGCACGTGACCAAGGGGGACCCCGTTCAGGAGGAGCCCCCTCGGCAGCCGGGGGCCTGGGGGCGTGCCCGGGCAGCGGGAGTCCGCGAGCTCGCCGCCTAAGCCACGCTTCCGGGGCTGGCGAGGGATGCGGAGCCCTTCCAAAAGCAAGAGAAACCCCGCGCCAACCCGCCGACCTGCTCCCTCAACTGCGGGGCGATCCCCAAGCGGTGCTTTCGGAGGCCCCGGACGGCAGCCCGGCCAGCCCCAGCCAGGACAGCTGCCCGTTCCGCGGGTCTCTTAAGGCACCTGGGCCTCGGCAGACATTCCCAAAGGTTGGGTCTCCCGCCTACTGACTGGAAAAAAAGGAACCGCTTCCCGAGCCTTGCTCTGCGCCGCCCGCGCGCTCAGCCTGGCTTAGAAGGTCTCTGCTGACCTCAGAACGCCTGACCCACGCCGCGAGTCGGGGCCCCGGACGGAGAGATCTGATGGGATTTTCAGGGAGACTTGACAGTTCATCTGACGGGAGGAAGCCCAAGCCGGCTTGAGCGTCCCGCGACCGACTTCCGCCAGAGTGATTGCCCCTACCCAAGATGGCAGCGCCTGCAGCTTCCGTCGCAGCCTCCGTGCTTCCTGCGGACGGCCTGGGTTCAATCAGCGGCCGACAACTGTCTAGGGCTAAGGAACCGCCAGCCAATGGGGAAGGGCAGCGTGGAGCCGCCCGTCTGGGCTCCGGGGCTCGTGGACCAATGGGAACGTGGTGTGTGGGAGGGCGCGGGGAGCTTCCCGCCAATGGAGAGCTACGGCGCGCGGCCGGGACCTGGAGGCGGTGCGGCGGCGCGGGTGCGGTTCAGTCGGTCGGCGGCGGCGGCGGCGGCGGAGGATGTGGGCCACGCACGGGCTGGCGGTGGCGCTGGCCCTGAGCGTGCTGCCGGGCGGCCGAGCGCTGCGGCCGGGCGACTGCGAAGGTGCGAGGGCCCGTGCTCCCGTGGCCGGCGCTGGACTCGGCAAAGGCCGCCCGCGACGTCCCGGCGGGATCCGCCTGCCGCCGGCCTGGAGAACGCCGGCCCCTTGAGAGAAAGTTGGGACGAGGGCGCGCTGAAAACTTGGCCCGAAAGCCCCATCGGGCCGGCGTGTTTTGTCCTTCGTCGTCCCTGACCGGACGCCCCTCCGGGGAGCGGCGCGAGGGCCGCCCTGGGCACCGCGCCCCGTCTGTTGGGGTCGCGCGGCGGCCTGTCGGGGTGCGGGGTTGTGCTTCGGCCATGGTCGCGTCCGTCTCCGAAGCCTCCGCTGTATCCGTTTGTGGGGTCACAGTGAGTCCCGCCTCAAGGACGCATGTGCACTTGGCCCTTAAACCTGAGGGAGCAGGTCGTTGGGGAGGGACAGGCTCGTGCACCGTGAGGCCTGGGGCAGGAGGGGGACCAGCGTACCCCGGCAGCCCGGAGCTGGGTTCTGTCCACCTGTGCGCACCTGAGAAAGTCACTGGTGGCAAAATCTCGGGTGGTCCGTCTCCGTGTCAGCTGTTAAAAATTGCTGACAAGTGCTAACCCTGCTGGGCTGGCGACAGCTTGCTGAGCGCTGAGATGGACTCCCTGTCTTCTCCTCTTTTCCAGTTTGTATTTCTTACCTGGGAAGATTTTACCAGGATCTCAAAGACAGAGATGTCACTTTCTCACCAGCCAGTATTGAGAAAGAACTGGTCAAGTTCTGCCGGGAAGCCAGAGGCAAAGAGAATCGGCTGGTGAGTAGCTGGAGGCCCCCGGAACCCTCAGGCAGGACCCTGGGACCTCCTTCACTCGCTGTCAGCTGAAGCAGGGCAGAGATGCTCTCACCACCTCCCTCTGCCAGGTGGTGGGTTTAGTTGTGTTGTTTTCTATCCTGTTAGTGTTTATTAAGCATCTGCTGTATACTGGCACTGGGAATATGGAGATGGAGAGGGGGTGGAGAAAAAAGTGATTGGCCAGCAGCACAGTGGGTGCGGTTGTCATGAAAACACATCCCGCATGTTGGGTGAAGGGGGTGGGTACAGATTTAGGAGTGGTCAGTTGCAATGAGGTAAGGGCATCCCAGACAGAAAGAGACAGCTCGCACGAATCCCCAGAGGCCAGGAGCGTTCGGGGTGCCCACGGGGCAGGCCAGGGCTCAGTGGGGTCAGCGGCCCTGGCTTCTGTGGCTATAGTTGCCCTGGAAGTCTGCGGCTTGCCCTTCTGTTAAAGGCTCAGACCCTGGCAGCTTTGGGACTCAGCACCTGCTTAGAGAGCAGGGCTTACCTGGACTGGGCATGGCTCCCCGCACAGGCCAGAGCCCGCAGAGAGGCTTCTTGAAGAGCCAGTGGCACCTGCTGAAGCTGTTGTCCTTTATTGCCTTGCTGCAGTGTTACTACATCGGGGCCACCGATGATGCGGCCACCAAGATCATCAACGAGGTGTCAAAGCCACTAGCCCACCACATCCCCGTGGAGAAGATCTGTGAGAAGCTCAAGAAGAAAGACAGCCAGATCTGTGAGCTCAAGTATGGTAAGTAAGGTGGGGACAGGAGCAGCTGGGTCCTGCATGGGCATTACAGGCAGTGCGAACCCAGCGGGCAGCTAAGGGAGTGCACACGGGCTGGGTGGCATGACCGCAGGCAGGTGGGCAGATGACCGAGTGCCTTGAAAGTTTGTGGGGGCTTGGGCTTTGGGTGGACTAACGTGGGGGTGGCATGAGTGTTTGGGGGAAGGGCTTGGAGCTGCCTGGTGAGGTGGCTCCCTCAGGTCACAGGCCTGAGGCTGCCGTGTTCCGGTGACTGTAAGAGGCACTGCGGCATGAGAGCCATGTCCCTCCTTCAGGGGCGTGCGGCCTCTGTCCTGCAACTGGCTTCCCACTCCAGCAACTGGCCGTGTGGGGGTGGCCATGCTGTGACCTGCGGGTGTGGGGTCGTGGCTACACCCACCCAGCCAGCGACTCTTGCCTCCTTCCGCAGACAAGCAGATCGACCTGAGCACAGTGGACCTCAAGAAGCTCCGTGTGAAAGAGCTGAAGAAGATCCTGGATGACTGGGGGGAGACGTGCAAAGGCTGTGCGGAGAAGTCGGACTACATCCGCAAAATCAACGAACTGATGCCCAAATACGCACCCAAGGCTGCCAATGCACGGACTGATTTGTAGTCTGCCCTCTGCCCGATCCCTTCCGCGCCTGGGGGGCGGGTAACAGTTCAGCTGTCTCTTCCCAAGATAGCCTTTTTGTAATTTATTTTTTAAGTGGGCTCCTGACAACATCGGATGGGAAGCCTGGAGTGTGGCCGACCAGGCTCACGGCAGTGGCCCCCGCAGGGGTCACTCTCTTCTGTTGCTGGTTTACTCTAGGACTTCTAAGTGTGTCTGGGATTTTTTTATTAAAAGAGAAAAAAATTCTAGCTGTCCTTGGAGAATTAATGTGAATACTCAACAGCAGTACTGCCCTGTAAGGGTCTTACTGGTTTACGCTTTCTAGTTTGCCAAGAGTGTTCGGTATTTTGCCATTTGTCCCTCAAGTACTCAGCAGTGCCAAAAAAAAAAAAATGCCAGGGCAGGACCTGGCTTAGGGCCAGCGGTCGTTTATGGCTCTCAGACCTTGAGCTGCCTGAGGGCACCTCAGCAAGCCAGACCCTGGCTGCAGTGTCCGCGGATGGCTCTCGGGACCATGGGAGGGCCTTCCGTGGGACCAGCCACAGGCAGAACTGTGGGCATATGAAACAGGGTTGTCACCATGGTGCCTGATCCTGCCCAGGATGTTTGGTACTGACATCTGAAAGATGATGCCCATTAGCCCGGCCACCTGCTTGCACGGGCTTGAGGTCTGGTGGCCAGCCCAGCCGCTGGTGTCTGCAGCTGTTTCCGCCGGGCCTGCAGCAGCCTGCGCTTTGTCCAGAGGATGCTTGTCCGGCGTCTCCATCCTCCAGATGCGTTGCGCGGGAGACCCGGTTGTCGAGGCGAGCTGTGGCTCCAGGAAGACACCTGCCGCTGCGGCCCGTGGAGCACCTGAACACTGGCCACCTCATCCGTGGGCTTTCTCTGTTCGCATCGTCGGTGAGGGGGGTCCCCGCTGCCGGTTCTTCCAAGACTTTTTGAACCTGCTGGACCTGCTCCAGTGGCTGCCTGCCAGTGGCAGGAGAAAGGGGCTGGGCGTTCCTCAAGTGGGCTCACCCCGGTTCCAGCAACTGCCCTGGGAAGATGAAGGTGGGCACCTGGAGACCCCGTCCCAAGAGGGCCTGGAGGAGGACGGGGGGCACAGCGAGCTCTTGGCGCTGTGACCCTGCGCTTCCAGCCTGCTCGATACCTGGATGTGTACGGTAGCATCAAGGTTCGTGGACTGCGATTTCCACACCTGGCCCCGGCTGGGTCTCATGCAGGGACCTCAGCAGGTGCACCCGAGGGCCGAGGATGCGCAGGAGCCAAGCGTGGGAACCGGCCGGCCTGAAGACGGGCGCGCACCTGCCCTGGGCCATCGACGCCGCACCCCAGGGAGGGGACCGCGGCGGGGATGGGGGTAAACAACCACGTGAGAAGACCACCGGGTCAAGCCCTGGACACCGATGCTCCTACTGCAGCAGCGCAGGCAGCAGCTATCCGGACCCGGGATCCCGGCGCTCTCCCGGGAGTCGGGCAGCGCGAGGTTCCCGGAGACGCGGCGGCCACGAGGTGGCGCTGCTCGCGCACGGAGGCCGGCCCAGGGTCACGTGAGTGCGGGGCGGCGCACGCGGATGACGCATGCCCACCACGCAGCCCTCGCCCCGCCTGCCTCGGTCACGTGACGACGCCGACGCACCTAAATAACGCAGCGCCGGCACCTGGGCGCCGCCCCGCCCCGATTCCTTTTGTCCAAGATGGCGGCGCCGGGGGCGCTGCCTCCTGGGCTTCCGCTGCCGCCGCCGCCGCCGTCGTCCGAGTGAGGAGCCCGCGGCCCGCCCGCCCGCCCGCCCGCCGCGCCGGCGCCATGAAGCGGCAGAGCGAACGCGACTCGAGCCCGAGCGGACGCGGCTCCTCGTCGTCGGCCAAGCGACCGCGGGAGCGCGAACGGGAAGTCGAGGCGGGCGGGCGGCGGGCGGCGCACAAGGCCTCCGGCGGCGGCGGCGGCGCCAAGCACCCGGGCCCCGCGCGGCCCCGCGACAAGCCCCGCGGCAGCAGCGGGGGCGGACACCGCGACGGCCGCGGCGCCGGAGACGCGAACCACCGCGCGGGCAGCGGCCGCTCCTCGGGCGCCGGCGGCGGGGGGCGCGGCGGCAAGGCCTCGGGGGACCCGGGCGCGTCGCCCCGCGCGTCTCCGCTGCCGCCGCCGCCTCCCCCGCCGCCGCCGCCCGGGGCCGAGCCCGCAGCGCCCGGCTCGTCGGCCGGCGCGCCCGAGTACAAGACGCTGCTCATCAGCAGCCTGAGCCCCGCGCTGCCCGCCGAGCACCTGGAGGATCGGCTCTTCCACCAGTTCAAGCGCTTCGGCGAGATCAGCCTGCGCCTGTCGCACACGCCGGAGCTCGGCCGCGTGGCCTACGTGAACTTCCGACACCCGCAGGACGCGCGCGAGGCCCGCCAGCACGCCCTGGCCCGCCAGCTGCTGCTCTACGACCGGCCGCTCAAGGTGGAGCCGGTGTACCTGCGCGGCGGCGGCGGCGGCGGCGGGAGCAGCCGGAGGGGCAGCAGCAGCAGCGCCGCCGCCTCCACGCCGCCCCCGGGGCCGCCGGCGCCCGCCGACCCGCTCGGCTACCTGCCGCTGCACGGAGGCTACCCGTACAAGCAGCGCTCGCTGTCCCCCGTGGCCGCCGCGCCCCTGCGGGAGCCCCGCGCCCGGCACGCCGCCGCCGCCGCCGCCGCCTTCGCGCTGGATGCGGCCGCCCTCGCCGCCGCGGGGCTGTCCCGGGAGCGCGCGCTCGACTACTACGGGCTCTACGACGAGCGCGGGCGCCCCTACGGCCACCCGGCCGCGTGCGAGGAGGAGCTGATGCCCGAGGACGACCAGCGGGCCACGCGCAACCTCTTCATCGGGAACCTGGACCACAGCGTGTCGGAGGTGGAGCTGCGCCGCGCCTTCGAGAAGTACGGCATGATCGAGGAGGTGGTCATCAAGCGGCCGGCGCGGGGCCAGGGCGGCGCCTACGCCTTCCTCAAGTTCCAGAACCTCGACATGGCGCACAGGGCCAAGGTGGCCATGTCCGGCCGGGTCATCGGCCGCAACCCCATCAAGATCGGCTACGGCAAAGCCAACCCCACCACCCGCCTCTGGGTGGGCGGCCTGGGACCCAACACCTCGCTGGCCGCCCTGGCCCGGGAGTTCGACCGCTTCGGGAGCATCCGCACCATCGACCACGTCAAAGGCGACAGCTTCGCCTACATCCAGTACGAGAGCTTGGACGCGGCGCAGGCCGCCTGTGCCAAGATGCGGGGCTTCCCGCTGGGGGGCCCGGACCGCAGGCTGCGGGTGGATTTTGCCAAAGCGGAGGAGACGCGGTACCCGCCGCAGTACCAGCCCCCGCCGCTCCCCGTGCATTACGAGCTGCTCGCCGACGGATACGCGCGTCACCGGAACCTGGACGCGGACCTTCGGGTGCGGGACCGGACCCCTCCGCACCTGCTGTACTCGGACCGGGACCGGGCCTTCCTGGAGGGGGATTGGGGCAGCCCGGGCGCCGGGAAGGGCTCGGAGCGCAGGAACAGCCTGGAGGGCTATGGCCGCGCCGTGCGCAGTCGCAGCGGCGAGCGCTGGGGCGGCGACGGGGAGCGCGGGGCGGCCAAGGCCTGGGACGAGCGGCGGAAGCGGCGGAGCCTTTCCAGTGAGCGCGGACGGGCCGCCCACTCCCCGTACGAGGAGCGGAGCAGGACCAAGGGGGGCGGGCAGCCCTCGGAGCGGACCCCGGAGCGCAGTCGCAAGGAGAACCACTCCGGGGAAGGGAGCAAGGAGGCCGGGGGCAGCGCCCTGAGCAACAGCCGGCACGGGGCGGAGGAGCGGGGCCACCACCATCACCACCACCACGAGCCCGCCGACTCTGGCCACGGGAAGAAGGCCAGGGAGAGCGAGCGCAACCACCGGACCACCGAGGCCGAGCCCAAGGCTCCGGAAGAGCCAAAACCCGAGACCAAAAAGCTGAAGACACTCGCCGAGTACGCGCAGACGTTGCAGCTCGGGTGGAACGGGCTTCTGGTGTTGAAAAACAGCTGCTTCCCAACATCTATGCACATCCTGGAGGGGGACCAGGGCGTCCTCAGCGGGCTCCTCAAAGACCACACCTCGGGCAGCAAGCTGACCCAGCTGAAGATCGCCCAGCGCCTGCGGCTGGACCAGCCCAAGCTGGACGAGGTGACCCGGCGCATCAAGCAGGGGAGCCCCAACGGCTATGCGGTGCTCCTGGCCACGCAGGCCGCCGCTGGGCCCGGCCCGGAGGGCGCGCCCGCGGTGGAGCCCGGCCTGCAGAGGCGCCTGCTCAGGAACCTGGTCTCCTACCTGAAACAGAAGCAGGCGGCGGGTGTGATCAGCCTGCCGGTGGGGGGGTCCAAGGGCAGAGACAGCACGGGCATGCTCTACGCCTTCCCGCCCTGCGCCTTCTCCCAGCAGTACCTGCAGTCCGCCCTGCGGACCCTGGGCCGGCTGGAGGAGGAGCACATGGTGATCGTGATCGTCCGAGACAGCGCGTAGGGCGCCCGGGGCCTCTTGGTTTGACCCTCCCTGCTGGGTTATTTTATTTGGTGGGGATCAAAGTCCTGTCCCCCACTAAAACTAAGTTCTTAGCTTTTTGAGGATTTTTTTTTTTTTACAACAATGAGAAGGGACTCGGTTATGTTGATTTCTAGTGTATGAGATACTGTCTGCTGTGTTCTGTATTTTTTTTTTTAATTTTTTGACTGTATGGAAAGTTGTCAGTAAAGCCTTTGTCAGAGGATCAATTTTTAATCCTGTTCCGAGTCCTGGTTTAATCAAGTTTTCTCTTAAAGAGTGGACGACTCCCCAGTGCATGCACACAAATGCCCCACGCCATCCTCCAGCTCCACCACCTGCAGAAGCGCGGCCCGGCCCGGCCCGGCGGCGGCTCTCGGCTCGCAGGGCTGTCGGGACCCTCACGCGTGTCGCAGGCCTCACAGCTGGGCTTGGAACCCGGCTGCACTGGCGTGAGTAGAGCCCAAGCAAATGCAAGCAGCAAGCCGCCCTGCTGACCAACAGCGACCCGCAGTTTGGGGCTTTGCTCTTCCCACCTGCCCCAAACTGTGTGTCCGCCAGTTTCAGCTGCGGCTGCTGGACAGTGTGCCCAGTCCTGTGGCCAGTTTGCCAATGGGGGAGGGGCGGTACAAGCATGCCAAGTGGTCCCAGGGCCACTGACCTGTCCAGCCACCCACTCGGCCCAGGAATAGCCTCAATGGTTAATTCTTGGACTTGACTGTTGGTTGTGACTTCCAGCGTGTTAACAGTGAGCGCCTGTGCCGTTGCATCGAGCCCTGGCCAGAGGTGCTCATAAGCAAGTGCAGTGGGCGAGGGCAATGCCCTTGGTATCTGAAGTGGTTTCCTCTTTCCCAGGTGCAGTGGAGCAGCTGTGCCTGGACCTCTTGCCCCGGTGCTGAGAAGGTGGGGACCACTGAGGAAAAAGGTACTTCTCGGAGGGGGGCGGACAAACAAGGTCACAGTAGCTAAGATGTTGGCAGAGGACAGCTGGAAGCCATTCAAGCCAGGCAAGGGAGGTAAAGGAGGTGAAGGCATCCAATGGTTGGGAAGAAAGGCGGCCTACAGGTCTGCGACTCCTGTCTCTGGTCTAATAAGGTGGTGCAGTCAGGACTGGGGGAAGACCAGAGCCATGGTCACCACAGCACATGCCCACATGCCCTTCAGGGTTTGGAGTGGCATCTTGGTGCCCTCAAGGGGATGGATGGTTGTTAGGACTGAGACCAAAGCTGTGGGAGGAGCAGTGAGCCCCAAGATGGCCAGGAACTCCCAGATCTGCTGGTCATACCATCCCCCCCTCTGGGTCCAGCCCACTACCCCAGGCATGAGGCAGGGCGGAGGCTGGCGTGGAGGACATGCCTGCCCACACAGACCCTAGCTGTCCACCAGAGCTGAGGCAAGGGGTTTCCGGGGAAGCAGCACAGAGCTGCAGCTGGCACCCACAGGACCACAAACATCCCAAAGGAAACTTCCGTGGGAAGTGTTGAACAGGATTTTTTTCTCCGTGTGACAGCTCCAGGTGTCCAGGTCAGTCAGGCACCACAGGACACAACTGCACCATTCAAGCTCTGGTGTTGCCAGAAGCAAGTGGGCCTCATCTTGTTGGCACACTGGCAGGTTCTGCAGACACAGCTGTCTGTCAGGATCAGGACCAGGGGATGCATCTCTGCTTTCCTAGATCAGTGCACCTGGGAAAGGGGAGGATCCTTTAGTCATCACTGTGTCCCCCAAAAGAATGTGAGTTTTGGTTTACAGCCACATCCTACCGTGAAGTCTTTGTCCTCCCTTCTCAGCCACTTCCTTCCTTTGGTTCTTAGGGACACGGCAGGTTGTGTGACCTCAGGAAGGCCCTGGCCAGCGCTAGTGAAGGTAGGTCAGGTGGTGGGGGCCTTGGTTGCTTTGGGACTTTGGTCCAGGAAGAAAACTTCACTGCAGGTGTCAGGTTCCCACCCCTGGGGTCACTCCCTGGAGTGACAGGCTGGCTGGGGCTCCAGAGCCTCCCCCACTTCCCTGAGGGCGTCATCAAGGCAGTGAGGGACTCTGCTTTCCTGTCTTGTCCCAGAGCTGCAGCCCTAGAGGCTCCTGGCTCCCCACAGGTGGCAGTGCTAGTTCTGCTTCTACGGGCCAGCTGTCAGCCTGTCAGCTGAGGCCTCTGCTCAGCAGAGGACAAGGAATTGGTGGCCTGGGGGCACTCCAGGCATGAGGGCCTCACAGGTTCCTGAACCCAGCAGGCCACCCTAGGCTGCTTGCTACCCAGTGTATCCACGCCCTACCTAACAGCAGCCAGGAAACTTATTTGGGCAAAATCCAAGGAAGAGAGAGAGGAAGATCTTACCCTTTTTTGGGGGGAGAGAGGACAAGGGCTGGGGTGAGCTGCTTGCTCTGTCAGGCAGTATTCATAGGGCATGCCACAGCAGCTTCCTGCAAACTGGCCTGACCAAGTCCCTGCTGTCCCCTTAGCTGCCCGGGAAAGAGGTAGCACAGGGGGGGTGCTGTCCAAGGGCATGTTCCCCTCAGCACCAGCCAGGAGCCTTTTGGGGGCCAGACTGGGACACGTTCCCTCTGGGGCTAGATACCCGGGAAAGGCCATGAACAAAGACAGACTTGTAGTTTATTTTGTATTTTTTTTTTAAATAAATACACTTTACATTAAAGAAAAAGGCCTTTGATTTGTAATTTCCACATTGGGGAGAAAGGGAAGAAAACAAGATTCTTGAAAAACTGAATCACAAAGAAAAAATATAGAGGGAGTGAACTTATATCCTAAGTTACTTCAAATCCACAAAACTAGCATCCACTTGTCAGTGCTGCCCCCATGACACGGGCAATGCGGCCCCGATTTGGCCGACAAGCAGTGTCACCCTCCCCCGCTCTGGCACAAAGGAAAACAAATTACTATGACTGCATGAGGCAACAAAACAGGTTTAAAAATCATATATTATATTTATAATAAAATATTCTTAATCCTTATCAATTTAAGAAACCACGATTTTCCTTTTCATTTAAATATGTATGTAAAAATGCCTCTAGATTGTTCTTTAGACTCTTCTTCCAAAGAAAATGAAGTGCCAGGGATAAGAGACCTGCTGGATATAAGTTCACACCCTCGGTTATAAATGCTTGTTGGTTTTTTTTTTCTTCATTTTTAAGTTTTGTAAAAAACTATTTTTTGTTCTTTAAAGAACGTTATACAAAGAAAATATATTGTGAAATACCCCAGAGACATGTTTTTGTTGTTTTTTTTTTTCCCCTTGAGGAAAGCTGTCCATCCTAGGACAGGAGGGAAGCAGACAGAGTAGGGCCTAATCTCTGCTGTCTCTCACGGTTGTTTCTGGAAGGCCCCACACATTCCAGGCAGCCTCTGACCCATGGCCCCTGGAAGGCAGGGCCTACAGTTCCTTCAGAGACAGCCCCGTGAGAAGGGGAAGGGAACGTATTCTGAATTCATTTAACTCAGTCTCTCGCCTGCCAACATCTTCCAAGTGGAGCTTGCTCCTCACTCGTTCAGAGATAAGATGATGTCATCTTCCAGATCGGAGTTGTCAGAGCTGTCAGCTGCAAGGGGAGAAAGAGTATAGGTGACACTTTCAGGAAGCAAGCACTGCATTCACATCCACTTAGGCCTGGACAGAGTTAATGTTAATTGTAAGTTTTGAGAAAGAAGAAAACAGGGCAATTAACTCCTTGGAGCTGGCTCTAGAGAATACACACCTGTTGTTGGCAACAGTGATCACACCCCTGGGACCTCCTGCTGTCTTACTTTTGGAAGGGCTGGCCACATGGTCTTCAGCGTTGGGGGCTCTGCCAGGAAGTGCTGGCCCAAAGGACAAGTGGGCATGCTCTGAAGTTGCCACCGTGACATTTTAAATGGCTTTCAAGGGGCAGAGTCAAGGTGAGCAGTAAAGGAGCCTACAGTACACTTGGTCTCTGAGATTCTTCAGGGCATCTGACCTCAAGGCACCACCAAAAACAAAACAAAACAAAAAGTACCAGTAGGTTCAATCAAGCAGGAGAAATCTTTCTGAAACTCCTTAGCCAGCTCCTGTCACCATACCGCAGAAGACCACAGGGAGGCTGAGCCAGCCAGCCTAGGGCTCATCTCTCATTTTTGACTATTGTGCAGGAGGAAATCTCGGGGTGGAGCCAGCAAGTCTGCAGCAACATCAGCTCGGGATCTAGCAGTGTGCTTGCTGACCACAATCAGAAAAATAGGTGATCTGGCTGATAAAAGATTAACAGTTGCTAAGCAAAGGAAAAAGGCAGGCAGGTCTCTGTTCCCACCATGATTAGCTAAGAAGACATTTTCACAAGGTCCCTAGGCAAGGAGACAGACCCACTGCTCTGAGGTTCTCAAGGGGCAGAAGCGCCTGCTGGTTGCAAAGAGTCCCTTCCTCAGCCATCCCAGGTCCTGAGAGTGCCAGTGCTTGAGCACTAAGGAAGACCTGCATCTTCCCAAACCTGTCTCCAGTACACACACTGTCAGGGCCAGCCCTGAAGTGAACAGGACCAGCACAGCAGTGATGCACCAAGTCCCTGAGGGAGCAAGTGCTCCTGCATCTCCACAGGCAGCAAGTGCCTGCTCATGTTGAAGGAGTCACAAAACCCACCTAACGCACTTCCTTGTGTGGCAGGCAGACATCTGAAAAACATCCCTCTGTGCCCACACACTGTGAGCCATCCGTGCCAGAACTGCCTACTATGAGCCACAGAGAGCACGACAAAGACTACAGCATGCTAATAGACTGTCAAGGACAGCATCGTGAGGATCACAGGCCACTCCTCCATAGGCAAGTAGCCATCGGGCTCTGGACCAGGCTCTGCATCTGGAGTCAGGCAGTAGGTCCCTATGGGACCCACACGTGTGGATTTCTGTAGTTTTAGCCTTCTCATCAGGTCCAGCAAGCACACAACCACCCCAAAAAGGTTAAGAGCTACTGCTCCAGAGGACTCCTGGAGGCACACTGAGAGCTGCTCAGGCTCCTATGAGGCCCAGGAAAAGGACGAGTGCACAGTGCAGGTTCCAGCTCTGCATCTCTCCACAGCCTACAGCCCATGCTGAAATGCTCATCAGCTGTCATGTTTCACATCACAAATACACCCAAAGTAAAGAAACAATATTCTAGTGAGAGAAATGAAGTCTCTGGCATTACCCCTGCCCGAGGAGGACTCTACTATAGGACACAGTTATTTTGTAGGCCCAACACAGTGGTTTGATATGTAAGAATGGAGACTTTGGAGGCAGTGATCCATCTCGGGGAGCGCTACAGTGCTGGCCCCCGAGAACCATGTGCTGGTTTGCCCTGTTCTTGTGGAAAATTGTAAACTCAAGCTTGTTCATGATTCAGGAAAAGCAGGTGAGCAGAAGCCAAGGAGAACTGCATCTGTCCTGGCCATGCAGAGGGATAGGTAAGAGGCAGGGGCTGCTCAGAGGAGGGCCTGTAGGCCACCCTAACTTCAGAATAGCAGCACCCCAGGAATTGCTTTTGATCCCAGCTCGACCCCCAAGGGGGAGAGCGATGCTTTTACCCAAGGGTTGATCCTCCAAACTGGCTAACAAACTGCACAGCCATCACTTAATTTTGGAAGTCACTTTCATTAGTGCACAACCGCAATGATTTCATTTACATGCTGTTTCTAATTACAGCAGCAGGCAAGAAATATTTACTGTCTGGCTGAACCCTGCTTGAAAGGTAAGAGGCACTAGTGACTTGGTTTGGCTACATATAGTTCAAGGGGAGAACAGGGTACCAGAGATGGGAAAGTGCTTCCCCAAAGGGGCCAGAGTGAAGCAACAGTTACACAGCATGGAGGCCTGGCACAAAGAAAGGACCCTGCTCTGAATGCCAACACTCAGTCTAAACCCTGCCTCATACTTACTGTCCCCCAGGATCAGTTCCACTTCTTCGTCTGCATCCGAGTCTTCATCCTCGCCATCCTCTCCCTCCTCCAGGAGGTTTGCCAGCTCCTCATCAGAGGGAGAGAAGTCGTTGTCTCCATCCTCGCCTGCATTTTCGTTGTTGTCATCTTCCTCCAGCTCTGCCTCCAGCAGCTGATCTGTGTCAAGCTCATCCAGATCATCAGTGTCATCATCATCTTCATCATCATCTTCTTCCTCCTGTTCTTCCTCTTCCTGGTAAAAGGGCAGTAGTTCCATTAGGGCAAACACAGAGGACTAACTCATGGGCCACGTGGTGAGTGCTGCCCAAAGGGACAGACACTGTCAGCAGAGAGGGTGTTGACCGATAGCACACACTGCATCTGCCAGTTGCGTCCCTTGGCACTTGAAGTACCTTTCCTACAAGAATCACTGGTCATTCCCCAGAGGCATCACTGACGCAGCCCTCGTCACCCAAGGAAACAAACAATTCACCCCACAGAACTCTGCCATCCATCTTCGGAGCCCCAGGGAGCTCCTTTCCTGCATCAGCTACAACTAGCAAAGCCAGCTGATGTGCTAGGACACACCACTTCCCTTAGTCTCAGAGGCAAAGCTTTACAAGTTAGAGGAAGAACTCTGCTGCTGGGGTGTCCGCTCCCATGCTCCTAAAGCACCTGTCCTGGATTCTCTAACCACAATGTGGACAAACCACTGCCGGTGCTATCTCACATATCTGCTGATCTGGATACTGCAGCAAGATTTGTAACGAGCTCACTGACAGACACAGCAAGTACACTGGAAAATGCCAGAGACAGCCCATCACGCTATCCTTAGAATTTCCCTGAGGCAGGAAGCTACTTAGCCACTCAGCTTTGGGAAATACATTCGGACATCTGTCACAGATTGCATCTTTACATTAGAATCCAAATTGTTTCCTCTTTGAAGGAAGGAGGACACCAACAGCTCTCCCACAGTAAGAAAGACAAGACATTCCCACACAAGTGCAACCAACATCCACACATTCATCTTCCCAAACATAAGCTGTCATTCTGGCCAGTAACCAAGCATTCTAACCCCTGCAGTAATAAAAATACATTTAATACATCAGCCTGATAAATGCTGGGACAAAACAACAGATTTAAAGCTTTTCTATTTTTCATTTGAAGATGCTACTGCCTTCCAGTCACTTAAAGGGCCAACAACTGTGTGCCCAGCCCCCACTCCCAGCAGAGCAGCTCTGTGTTAGAGATGGATACTTCTGGAACCCACAAAGACTCTGGATGGCCTGCTTGATCCAATGGAGCCTTTCCTACAGTTCTGGCAGTTATTTGTAAAAAGCTGGCCCCTCTAAATATTCCGCAATCCTAACAAGCGTGTGTTTGTCCATACCAGATCACTAACTGTGCAAAAACACATAAAGGTCTTCAATTAGTCCAAAGCCATGGCCTCCAGAGGTGCACAGAATGCCCAGAAGCAGCAACAATAAACCGAGATACAGACACACCATGGCCCTTACGTCAGCTCATTCTAGTAACCAGGAAAGAAGGGGAGGAACAAATTCCACGAAAAATAGTGTTCAAAATGTTGACCAAATTATAATTTTGGCCTTTTCTCCAGGAATAAAAAACTGCATGTTGGCCTTGAACAAAATTACCTCTAATCTATTAACTAGGGATCACAATTTAAAATAAATATAATAGGTACAGGCATTTGATGTAGCAGCTAAGACACCACCTAGACATCCACTCCTGGGCTCCACACCCATTCTCCACTTCCTGCTAATGGGAGTTAGCAGATGACAGCTCAAGTGTTTCTTCAGTTACCCATGGGAAACCCAAACTGAATTCTTAGCTCCTGGATTCTGCCTGGCCCATTCCTGGCCATTTCAGGAATTTGGGGAGTGAACCAGCAGTCAGTCAGAAGTTAACAGTGTATCAGCCTTTAAAACAAATTAGTTTTTAGAATAGGTATAGCAGAGTGTCCTCAGCCCCGTGTCTTGTAAGCCTTTATGGGACAGAACAATTCTATCAAAGATAGCACAACTTTTAAAGGTAGATCAAACTGTTCAGATACAGTGGCTGTCTAACAAACCTAAGGAGACTGTTCTAAAAACCAAGCTCAGCTGATTCAGGAGAAATGGGGGGAAAAGTAAAGAAACCTTCTAAGTCAAGAGCAGTACTAGAAAACAGGTCAAACCAGACCTAAACTTTGAACTAGACAGTTCCAATGTTTCCAGGAGGCGACAAACAACCCTGCACCCTGCAACAGAGCAAAAAGGTGTTCATTTGCATGAGGGCATCACATGGGGGCAGGGAGCAGGAAGGAGAACTCCATCTGCACTGGAGCCTCAGCTAGGACCCTTTGTTCCACTGTCTCTGTTTCACAATACTGGCTTTTCCATGGATTTCAGTTACACATGAGTGTGGTAATAAGCTAATGCCTTAAATTTTCAATCAGCAATCAGAGTCTTGCAGCACAGGCTTATATACCTATCCAATTTCCTGTGGTAAAATTTCATTCTGTGCTTGACTCTGAGAGAACTTTCAGAGGCACCTTCTGCTGACCAACAACCTGAATGGCAGCAGGAGTTCCATCTTCCCTTCCTAAGAAAAACCATCCAATAGTGAGTGGACCCAAGAAGTAAAAAAAAAAAACAAAAAACTTGTTCGAGTCCTAACTCAAGTCCACCAACAGTTAATTTAGTGTCTTGGATCTAGAAATACTGTTCTCTTAAAAGAAATGGTCTGCACCTGTCCTGGCCTCCACACACTCAGCTGCCCCAACTCACTCAGCTGTTTCTTTTCCTCTAGCACTCGACAATCTGGCTTCAGCTCTCACCTCCAACAGCAGGAGATGTCTGTACTCGGACCCAGATGTCACCAGTGAACCTAACTCTATGACGATAACAAAGTGCTGTTGGGACTGAAAATCTATGTTTGTGTATATAATAAGCTCTTTGGAAAGCACCTGGCATATATAAAGTTTTCAACAAATGCTTGTAGTGGTTGCCACTACTGAAACCCTCCTTAAAAGAACGCCAAGACCTGGGCCCAGCACAGTTGCCTAGTGGCCATAAAGTCCTCACCTTGCACACAGCACTGGGATGCTGTATGGGTACCAGTTCTAATCCCTGCCACCCCTCTTCCCATCCCAATCCCTACTTGTGGTGTGGGAAAGCAGTCAAGGATGACCTAAAGCCTTGGGACCCGGCACCCACATGGGAGACACAAGCAGCTTTTGGCTCCCGGCTTTGGATTGGCTCAGTTCCGGCCATTGCGGCCACTGGGGAGTGAATCAGTGGATGCAAGATCTTTCCTCTTTGTATATATGACTTTCCAATAATAATAAATAAAATCTTTAAAATAAATAAGACTTCCAAGACCTGAACAGAATCTGGGCTTCTCTGCAGTGGCCAGCACCAACCAACGCTAGCCTCCAAATGACACAGCTGACCTGATGATTAATTGGTCTCTGCTAACTCCCCCGACTTTAGGCCTTCACATATCCTGCGATTCACAAAACACGAGCCCTCAGTAGCCAATTCTGCTAACAGAAACTTAAAAACCACATCATTCCAAAATGAATTAAAAGCAACTCTAAGCCTACCACCTTTTCCACATTTTTCTGTTACCAGGCTAACATCTCAAGCATATATTTCACTTCTCTCACTTTCACTCCCAGTTAATTTCCACTTTTCCCAAGTCTGGGGTTCCGCCCTCCCCCGCTCTCTTCTGCTTCCCCTCTCCTGCCAGCCTCCAGGCACGCTTTCCAGTCTGTGATCTCAGCCCTCCCCATCAGTCCCCATACAACTCCCCACATTGTAGAACTACAGAAGATAGCGATCCATTACTGAATATCTGTCAAATGCCACACCCTCTGAGCCTCAACATCCCCTGTCAAATGAGACCGACTCTTAGGGTTGTTGTGACTACCACAATCGGCTGAAAAAAATTTTCCAAAATACATGTGCCTAAACCAGTTCCCCAAGGTCCAGGATGATGGAACCAAAATTTCCAAATGACATTTTACACAGGTAGATTCTGGAAGGAAGATTTCCCTAGGAACTGCAAAATGTGCCCCTCATGAAGAACGACTACACATGACAGCGGACACCATGCAGTTCTAAAGTCCCACTTGCCTGTAGTGATACACTGTATGTCCAGAGGCTCCCAGTGACACAACCATAAAGACAAATCCAGGTATTTCCACTGCCCTCCATTACCACTCAAATCCATTTTTAAATTTTCTCTAAAAATTAAGGCACCTTATAAAATAATAAATCAAACCTGATTGTACTGCCTCGACACTTCAAAATATCACATTCTACTCAATTTAAATTCCTACTTTTATCAGTTCCAGGCTCTGGCTTTAACTGTCCTAATAGCTTTAGGTTCATTTCAGGATCAAAAAAATGCTTGTATTTTTCTTATTTTTCTTTTCACTGGAAGAACTGACTCCTGCACATTTTCATGGTGAAGTGGGGTGGGATGGGGGAGTGGGGTGAGCAAAGCCCCTCAAAACCGTCCCATTCAGCTTTGGTTGGGCAGGCAGGGGTGTGTGAGGAATAGGAAGACCCTTACCATCCGCTTCTGGGCAGTGGCGAGCACACAGGCAGCACAGCACACAGTGTGTCCCAGATTCCAAAGTGGAGTGGAGAAAAGACAGCATTATTCCCTTGAGATTTTTAAGTTTAAGGTCACTATAAATAACTGAATTGTATTAGCTATTCAAACTCTAGGACCAATGATCAACTACTAAACTTTGGTTTTATAATTTTCCTAAAAATTAACCTCAAAATTAACTGAATTTTTACAAATACATGTACCAAACTTCTAAGTGATCATACAAATTTTGAGAGGTAATAGGCTTATCTGTACTTTCCTCAAACACAGAAGATTAGCAACCTCCAGATTCAATTCTTACAGCTGGTCCAATACCTCGTGTATGTTTTCATTCATCAATATAAGGCACAGTTCATGCCTTTCTGTTAATTCCCACACTTAATTATACAGAGTAAAATGCAACTATTTTTACAGTATATGTATCTCAATAAATCTTTTTCAAATAAACAAATTATCATTTAGGCAATTTATACTGGACCATTTTACTACATGGCAGCTGACTGCTCATGCCTATCAGCAGTTTATTTTGCTAAACTAAAAAGGCAAATTCAAGGAAAAGATGCGGGGCACAGGTGCCTGCATCCCCAGGCCACGTCTGGCATTCCTGGAACATCTGTGACCTGCAAGTGGATACCCAGACTAGGACCAAACTCTGAATAGCAAATAAGTTGTATGAAAATCAGTATCTAGTTTTAAAATCAAGTGAAATATAAAGGGAAATTAGTTAAAGGCAAAAAAAAAAAAGAAAAAAAAAAAAAAGCTGGCACAGGAAGAGGCAGTGTGGATCTACCTGACAAATAGTAAATATAGCAAACTAATAACAGATTCAGGTGGACCGTAGAACAGGGGAATTAAAGTTACAAAGGAGACTTAGATGGTCCAGTGCAATGGCTCAGCTGGCTAATCCTCCCATCACAGGCACCAGTTTGTGTCCTGGATACTCTACTTCCCATTCAGCTCCTTGCTTGTGGCCTGGTAAAGCAGGAACAGATGACTCAAATCCTTGGGACCCTGCACCCACATGGAAGACCTGGAGAAAGCTCCTGGCTTCAGATCAGTTCAGCTCAGATTCGGTCATTGCAACCATTTCCAGGAGTGAATCAGCGGATGGAAGATTCTCCCCATAACTCTGATCTGCCTTTCCAATAAGAATTAAAAAAAAAAAAAAAAAAAAGACTTAGATATAGTTATAGCCTACCTAACATGGCTGTAATTCAAAAGCAAAGCACCAAAGGCTTGAGGTGAAAGTTCTCCAGGAGGCATTCATTAAACAGACCAGATGACCAGTAAGGGCTACAGTCTCAGCACGCGGGCCGAGATCCAAAGCAAAGCAGGCAGTACACCAACCCAGACTCTGAGTATTCTCAGGTAGAAAGGTTATAAGCTCTTCTACAAACTCGGCCACTGAGTTACCTGGGACCTGTGGAGCCTGCCCCCCCGACATGGCTGTCCATGCCACAGCAGTCTCGAGGCTCCCTTCCTGCATTGGACGTCCAGGTGTTCTAACCATCATCCTACGTGCTTTTTAACCACTGAAAATGAATGTCAAGCAAAACTACACAAGGACAAGCAATCAATCTCTTCCATGAACCAATCCTCCCTGGACAGGATGGGAGAAGTACAATTTTTATTTCTCTTGTGGTGGCCTCTTGCTCCTTTATAGCCAGCTTCCTGTCTTCCAATGTCCTTTACTTTGCACCATTCCCATGCTGCCAAGAATCCAACCCAAAGAACAGCACTCATTTCCCAGGGTGCCTGGGCTTCCCCGCTGTCCTCACCCAAAAGATACACACTAGACATCAATCATCACGTGGACTCAGGTGACGGTCTTCAGAATAGACAAGACACTGCTACCCATTGTAAACCACACAACTTTTAGAGGGTAGGGATGCTGGTCTTGGTAAACATCTTACAACACATCTGATTTGCAGATTTACAGTTCAATATTTGACATCCAAGAAGGCTGAAACAGAGTCGATAGCCAACAGTGAAAACTGAACTCAAAGAGGATGAGACAGTCTACAACTGCCAGCACCACTATAATGTGCAAACGAGTAGCTTCACAACTGAACCTTCTAGATCCATTTAAAGATATAGCTTGTTTCATAACAGCTAAAGTGAGAAACTGCATTAAGGGAGTACTGTGTCTAAGGCAGCTGATTCAAGAATGAAAGAAACAGACACTATTAAGAAAGGCACTCAAGGCAAACATACAAAATTTGGAGAATTCAACCACTTGCTACCAAGAAAGACAGCAATATGTACAAGTCAAAGAGTTCAACATTCATGAAAATATTAAAATCAACATCACAAAGACCTCAAGTATCACTCTGGAAATGTGTCCTTCCTAATTCACATAAGCTTTAAACACTGTTAGCTCCTCTCACCCACAGGCCCTGCAGCTGCAAAGCATGGAAGAAGCCTATTACACTAGAAAACCCCTAGCAAACTATGATGAAATGGTTTCAAACTGTTGCCTAACTGTCCTTTGCGACAAATACGGTAAATGAAACATCACGCTTCTGAGGCCCTCATTTTCAATAAAAGACCTTCTAAAATAACATTCCCATAGAATTACACACATACACATACACACACAGGCTTCATTTCCTCACTCTTAGAAAACTGCATCTGGGAATTAGGAATCGTCTCCGAGTTCTAACAAACTACACACTGGTCATCTGGAAGACATAAAAACAACAAAGGCCAAGCAAGCACATGGGGTTTCTGAGCTGAGTTTGTATTAGCTTGCTGAGCCAGGTGTACTAAGCCACCTTTGAAAGACAGGTGCCATGGTATTCAAAGAAGGATTTTATTTAGGGAACAAACTGTATGCTCATAATCTATAAAGCAAACACTGAAACCCACACCTAAATCTTCAAGCAGCACAATGACACACCCCTGGCTCAGGCAGCTTGCCTAGAGCAGGGATCTTGTCTCCTCTTCACACCCCTTTGTATGCATAAAGTACAAAATTTTTTTTGCATTAGAATAAACCGATCTTTTAGTTCCATTTTTTCACAAATTACATCCTTTTATAAGCTGCATTCTACTCCTCTGAAAAAGAAATATGCCATAAAATCAAGAAATCCTAAGCCAAAACTTTAAAACTTCTAAAACTTTAAAAACTTCAAAAACTTTTGAAACTTTTAGACCAGTTCTGTAATCTACACCCTCAGCAGCATGACTGTTGCACTTTGTGTTGACACTGGAAAACAGAACTGCTTACCCTGAAACCATTACAAGGGTACTGGTTCCAAGGATGGGATAAGTAACTCTGAAACAAAATCAGAGGTGGGTAAGCTGCAAATTGAGGTACAAATGTCCCAGATAGGATATTTCCAGTACTAGTTAAAATCTTTTACGAACAAAATTTCACTTTCTTCTGAGGTTCAGTGACCAAAAACTCAGGTTTCAAAATACAGCAATATTTGTGTGCCTTAACCACTGCCCCTGCCCCAATAGCAACAATACAACAACTTTCATAAAGAAATGCTGCTGAGCAGGAAAGAATCACTGACCTGGTCCTCTTCTTCATCTTCATCCTCAGCCAGCCGTTGCCTGCCAACTTCATACAGCCTGCACACGGTGTCCATGTTCAGAGCATCCATGCTGCCTTGATTCTGCAACCAAACACCCAGGCCACAGAGATCAATTAGTGTTCAGAAGGCTCACAGTCACACCTCAACTGTGACTGGCAGCCATTATTTTAACCCTCCAAGCATCAAACTTCCATTAATGTAAAACTCCTACACAGACTCTGAAAATATTATGCCTGGAACTTAGACAGCCATGGGACAAACATGCTTGGACAGGGAGGGGTATCACAAAGGAGAGTCCTTTATTCTTTTTCTTATACTGCATTTCTCAATAGAACCATCAGGATGCAGCAACCTTAGAACTATATCCAACAAAATGCCAGCAATGTGATTTCAAAATGATCCTGAACATCAGAACAAAAACAGAGCCTCAGCAACCCTCTTTACCTCAATGACGGCAAGATAGCAATCTTTGGTGTCTGTACACAAATCAAAGATGTTCCGTTTCACATCAATGGTCGCTGGGAAAACAAAATGTAGCAAAAGTGAGATCAGGGCTGTTGCTGAGACCCTAAAACCAGCTTTTCCTTCAGGGCAGGTGCAGGGCACAGTAGGGATGCCTGCACCCTTCATCGCAGGGCCTGCACTCGGATCCAGCTTCCTGTCAATGTGCACCCTGGGCAGCAGATGACACTCCAGCACTAGGGTGCCTGCTACCCAAATGTGACCGAGGAGGGAGTCTGGCTCCTGGTTTCCACCCGTCCCAGCCATGGTTGTTACAGCATTTACAGAGTGAGGCAGTGGATAGGAAATATCTCTGCCTTTCAAATAAAATGGGCCCGACATGATGGCTCAGTGCCTAAATCCTACCCTTCCAAGCACCAGTATCCCAGGTGGGCACCAGTTTTGTGTCCCGGCTGTTCCACTTCCCATCCAGCTCAATACCTGTGGCCTGGGACAGCAGGTCTGAAGCCTTGGGAACCTGCACCCACATGGGAGACATGGAAGAAGATACTGGCTCCTGGCTTCAAATCAGCTCAGCTCCAGCCCTTGCAGCCTCTTGGGGAATGACTCATAGGATGGAAGATCTTTCTATATCTTCTTTGCTCTGTAAATCTGATCTACCTTTCTATTCAAAATAAATGAATCTTTTTTTAAAAAAATGTTTTAAACCACCTGCTCCTCTTCTAGAATGCTAGGGGATTGTTCATCAGCACCTGCATAACTGCTTTGCCTTCAAATCAAAATGCCAATGCTCTCTATAAATAAAAAGGATTAGTGTGTGTGTGTGCTTTAAAGATTTATTTACTTACTTGAAAGGCAAAGTTACAGAGAGAGAAGAGAGACAGGAGAGTGATCCTCCACCTGCTATTTTACTCTCCAAATGCCCACAACCAGTGAAGCTGTGCCAAGCCAAAACCAGCAGCCATCCCTGAGCCTTTTCTGCATTTCCCACAAGGTCAAAGAAGCCCAAACACTTGAGCCATTCTGCACTGCTTTTGAAGGCACGTTAGCAGGGAACTAAATCAGAAGTGGAATAGTCTGAACTCAAACTGAGGTCCACATGGGAATGCCAGCACTATAAGTGGCATTTTAACATGATATACTGCAAAGGATCGTAAGGAGACTGAAGCTGTGGCATAGTACACTAAGCCTCCACCTGCAATGCCAGCAACCCAAATGGGTACCAACAGCTCCACTTCAGATTCTAGCTCTCTGTCAATGACCTTGGAAAATAGCAACGAATGGCCCAAATGTTGGGCCCCTGAACCCACACGGGACACCAGGAATAGCCTCCTGTCTCCTGGCTCAGGCAGGCTTGGCTCTGGCTATCGTGGCCATCTGGGGTACCAACAGATGGAGGATCTTTCCATCTCTCTTCTCTCTGTAAGGTTCACAGCCTCTGCAGGACTTTTTTTTTTTTAATAAAGATTTATTTATTTGAAATAGAAAGGCAGAGAGACAAAGAGGAAGAGAGAGAGGAAGATCTTCTATCTGATGATTCACTCCCCAAACAGCCTCAATGGCCAGAGCTCTGCCAATTCAAAGTCAGGAGTCCAGAGCCTCTTCCAGGACTCCCACACAGGTGCAGGGACCCAAAGCTCTGGGCTGTGCTTGACTGCTTTCCCAGGCTGCAAGCAAGGAGGTGGATGGGAAGTAGGGATGCCAAGACATGAACCGGCACCCATATGGGATCCCAGTGCTGCTTGCAAGGCGAGGGCTTTAGCCACTAGGCTACCAAGCAGGGTACATGCAAAGGCCTTTTAATTTAAAAGACTCTGAATGGACCCCAAAACATGACAAAATGGACAATGCCTGCCTATTCGCACTTACCTATAGGTTTGTAGTCAGTTGCATTAAATGTTCGGAATGATGACCCAAAGGGGCTCTTCATCCTTTCTTCCATTAAGTCATCTTCATCATCTGCCTGCAACATAGCTAGTTGGGAGAGAAGGGAGTGGGATGCAAGATCAGAAATATTCCTTATTCCTTATTCAAAGGTGCAAAAAACGTTATCAGCTAATGAACACTTCATTGAGTTCCCTTACAAGAAAACTGCCAGTAATTACTTCCTTTCATGGTACCCTTGCACAGCCACTCAACCTATCATTTAATTCCTGATAGTGACAGAGCTGAATATTTGCATACTAAGACGACATGCAGAGTTTATGTTTACAATGATACATGCAGGAAATCACTGCATCAAATTTCTTTCTTTACAAGATTTGTGAACTTGAAAGTCAGTTGCCCTTCACCCTAAGTCACAGGTGGGCACCATCCAGGCTATGGGCTTTATGTACCCTGTAAGTTTATACAAACTGCCCCTGCCAAGGCAACCACAGGCAGGACTCAAAATGCAATAGATCTACAGAAGGTTATTTTAAGTTGATACTTTTGTATGGCACACAAATGATTTTTAAAAACATCTTAATGGCTCTTGGGAGAAAAGGCTCCCCGCTCCTGCCCTAAATCAACAATTTCACCTGTTTTATCACTAGCAGCCACAAGATTTTTTAGTTCACAACTTACAAATGCTTTCAAGTTCACAAGTGAAAGATATTTCTAAAAAATGATGTAACAAATCAACTGATTTGTATAGATAAAGTAAAAAATCTGTTACCTCCATACATCACTGTCCCTGTATGGTTGAACACCACACGACACTGATCCAAAGCAGGAACAGTGTGTAAAAGATGGAAAGTTCGAAGGTCCCACTAGGAGAAAGAGTGGTCAAGGAAAATTATTTTTCACAAAACCTCTTACATAAATTTACGAAGGAAATTGTAAGCTATGTTTTTACTCCTGCTAGTTATTGATACTTTTTCTTTGGAAAGGTGGTGGAGGGGGGAAGAGAGAATGGAGACAGAAACAGGAAAATATCTCCCTAAAATGGCTCACTCCCTAAATGCCTACAGCAGCTGGGGTTCGGCCTGGGTGAAAGATTATTAAGGCCACCATGATGGCACAACTGGTTAATCCTCCACCCCCAAGCACCAGTATCCCACATGGCCACTAGCTGGTGTCCCCATCCAGCTCCCATTTGTGGCCTGGAAAGCAACGGAGGATAGGCAAGTCTTGGGATCCTACATGAGTATAAGAGATCCAGAAGAAGCTCCTCATTTTGGATCAACTCAGCTCCAGCCGTTGTGGCCACAGAGGGAGTGAACTAATGCACAGAAGGGCTTTCTGTCTATCTCTATCTTCATAATTCTATTTTTCCAAAAAAAACATGTAAAACTTTTTTTAAAAATGTTCATGAGCAACCTTTCCCTTGATAGTAGCATTTAAATTCCCTCTGATGTCTAGCAACTGATTTCTATAGAGCAAATAAAGATAAGAGAATGATCAATCCAACACCTGGAGATAAGGAGGCAAGAATCCACCTGGCCATTCTTCCCAATGTAGAAACACACTAGTGAAAGTCACTCGGAGGACCTGGCATGGTAGCCTAATGGCTAAAGTCCTCGCCTTGCATGCACCAGGATCCCATTTGGGCGCCAGTTCTAATCCCAGCAGCCCCACTTCCCATCCACCTCCCTGCCTGTGGCCTGGAAAGCACTAGAGGACAGTCCAAAGTCTTGGGACCCTGCACCCGTGTGGGAGACCTAGAAGAAGCTCCTGACTCCTGGCTTCGGATCAGCACAGCTCCGGCCATTGTGGCCACTTGGGGAGTGAGTCAGCAGACAGATGATCTTTCTCTCTGTCTCTTCTTCTCTCTATATATCTGACTTTCCAATAAAAATAATTCTTTAACAAAAAAAAAAAAAAAAGAAATCACCAGGAATTTTTAACCAACTAACATGTGCAGGACTTAACACTCCAACCAAAAGGATAGGCATCCTCCCACTACCGCCAGTATGGCTCCTCTAACCAAGGATTTATGGGCAGAGAAAACAAATTATTTCTATACCACAAACCACAAATCAGGTGGAAACCAAGTGAAAAGGATACAATCTCAGTATTAATGATGACTTCCAGCCCATTCGGATGGAAAACGCCACTGATGTTCATGTTGAATTTATCGAACTTGTGGATGGCCTGTGCGGAGCGGACATCCCAGAGGACGCCGTCATTTAAGACAAGATCATCTGTAGGATTGAAGGTGGCACAGTTCCTCTTGTAGTTGTTAGCAAGATCTGGGTTAAACAGAGTCAACACCTTGTTGCCAGTCTGAATATCATAAATCTTTATAGAGAAGAAGGGGTGGGAAGAGAAAAATCAGAACAATCCATCCTTGACAAATTTATAGAAAAACTGTAAAATAGCTATTTCATGCTTTCTGATCCCAATCCCCTCCCCCAAAACAAATTACAAAAGCTCTAACAGTATAAAACAACTGGAACATAGGAAGACCACACCCACTAGGCAAATTGTATTTTGGCTCCCATCCAAAGACTGAAAAACTTCTGTTTCACAAGTAGGAAAGTGAAAAGTAAAACCGCATTAGAGATAAGAAAACTCTCTTCCTCTTTTCAGGAACATAAAATGTTTCAAAGATTAAAACAGAAACTCTTTATACAGATCCGATCAAGTGGTGACTGCCCACCGAACACCCTAAGAGTCCCTGTGCAGAAGCAGCAGCCATGAAACACTCTTTTCTTAAAATCACCAATGTACTACACTTTAATCCACCTTACTTAGTTTCCAAAATCTACAATTAACAGTTCATGGAAGAGACTAGATCTTCCCATCAGTTTACAGGTCTGCTACGGCATTTCCAATCTTTAAAACAATCTTTTTCCCCCTCTGATGTAGGAGAAAAAAAATAAGAAAACATTCCAAGAAAACAAACAAATCTAGACCACGGGACAACTAGCCAGGTCTCTTAAACAGTCAGTCAAGAGAACCAGAGAAATGGGTCTTGGATTTTAAAACATTGGACATAGCGACCAAATGAAGTATGTGAATTTTAGCTAGTTAAAACAAAGTTTTTGTTTGTTTTTTATTTTTTATTGCAAAGTCAGATATATACACAGAGGAGGAACGACAGAGAGAAAGATCTTCTGTCTGCTGATTCACTCCCCAAGTGGCTACAATGGCCAGAGCTGAGCTGATCTGAAGCCAGGAGCCAGGAGCTTCTTCTGGGTCTTCCACCCAGGTGCAGGGTCCCAAGGCTTTGGGCCGTCCTCTAGCGCTTTCCCAGGCCATAAGCAGAGAGCTGGATGGGAAGCAGGGCTGCCAGGATTAGAACCGGCGACCATGTGGGATTCTGGCATGTTCAAGGCGAGAGCTGCTAGACCACAGGCCCAAAAGTTGTTTTTGGTTTTCTGTTTTGTTTTTGTTTTAAGTCAAACACATCAAGAATAACCAGGGGGCCCGGTGTGGTAGCCTAGTGGCTCACATTCTCTCTTTGAATGTGCCATGATCCCATATGGGTACCCGTTCTAAATCCAGCAGCTCCACTTCCCATCCAGCTCCCTGTTGTAACCTGGGAAAGCAGTTGAGGATGGCCCAAAGCCCTGGGACCCTGCATCCACGTGGAAGACCTGGAAGAGGCTCTGGCATCTTGGCTTTGGATCTGTTCAGTTCCAGCTGTTAAGGCCACTTGGTGAGTGAATCAACAGATGGAAGATGTTCCTCTCTGTATACCTGACTTTCCAATCAAAATAAAATAAATCTTTAAATAGCATTAAAAAGCAGAAATAATATTTCAAAACAGAACAACTAGGAAAACTGAGTCTGGGCCGGACACTAGATAATACTTGCGAATTACTGTAATTTTCTTAGTTTGCAGAAATGATCAAGTAATAAAATGCTTTTATTTTAAAAGATAAATGCTAGGTCATGTCTGTAACTTTCAAGTAACTCAGAAACATATTTACACAGAGCATATGATGAAATATTAAATTGGTGAATCTAGGTGATGAAGCCACGCACTAATTTTTCCATGTATTTATAGTCTATTTTAGTATTTTCAAATGAAAAGCTGAGGGAAAATCTCCCTCTATCACCCCCAAATTCCATTAAGCTATTTATTACCCTACTTCTCTGCTCTGCTTTCTCAACAATATACTTCAAAAAGTGATGGCATTCAGTGTGCCCATTTCACTTCTCTTATGAAGCCTCTATAGCCAGGACTGTCTCAGCAGTGTGCAAAATTACTTTAAAAATAAATAAATAAATAAAACAAAAGCCAGGACCTGGAGCTCCATCCTGGTCTCATGGGTGGCAGGCCAAGGGCTTGTGCCGTCAACTCCTGCCTTTCCTGGTGCAATAGCAGGAAGCTGCAGGGCATGTGGAGCCATCAGGAGTTGAACTGGCACTCCAATATGGGATGCCAGCCTAACCACACAACCCCAGCCCCAGAACTGCTTCCTGATAAAGTTAAAACAACCTTCACACTGTTAAAAGTTATTTTACGGGGCCCAGCGGCGTGGCCTAGCGGATAAAGTCCTCACTTTGAACATGCCGGGATCCCACATGGGTGCCAGTTCTAATCCCAGCAGCTCTGCTTCCCATCCAGGCCCCTGCTTGTGGCCTGGGAAAGCAATCGAGGATGGCCCAGAGCTTTGGGATCCTGCACACAACTGGGAGACCTGGAAGAGGTTCCTGGTTTCCAGCTTCAGATCGGCACAGCACCTGCCATTGAGGTCACATGGGGAGTGAATCATCAGACAGAAGATCTTTCCCTTTGTCTCTCCTCCTCTCTGTATATCTGACCTTGTAATAAAAATAATCTTTAAAAAAAAAAGTTATTTTACAATAACCAGTTCTCAACCTTATACAACTCAGTAATTTCTGACTTCACTGATCAATCTTTCCTTAAAAAAGTCTTCCCTTGGTCTCTACGCTATCTTTTTCTTGGAGTTTCCATTTGCCTTACTGCTCATTTATCAAGACTCCTCCCTAATTTGGCAACTTCTAATACTGGCAGATGACAGGGCACACCTCTTTTCTCTAGTCCCTTGTTCTTATCCAGGTTCATGACTATAATCACTACTGATATGTGCACAATTCTACTAATTTTCACTTTATCCAAGATTTCTCAACTCCAAATCTGTATAATTCTGAACAAATGTCATTATATAAAACCTCAGGACTATGGCTTATTACTTCCCATGGCTTCCGTGCCTATCTGCATTGTGCCGGGCTTAATATCTTCCTGTCTTTGAACATCTGTGGTTGCCTCTCTCACAGAAACCAGTCATTCTTCGGAAATTTTATATTCAGTGACAAATCTGCCATCCTCCTATTGTCCTCATCTTCCTCAGAAGAAAAGCCAAAAGTTCCAACTACCTCCTACAAGATGTTTCAGGGTACATACTCATTACTGACCTCAGCTCTTATGCTTTCCTCTCCCTCCCATCTCCCAAATAGGGCTGTTTCCTGGCCATTCCCTGTTTGTTAGAATACTACTATCTAGAAATCTGCCTGATAGTCCAAAGTCCTTCAAGGCTATGCTTAAACATTCTCCAACCAGTGAAGCTTACAAACAAGGTCCTGACCACACCACCAAGCATTTCCTTCCTCTTAATCTACCTCCTTCTCCAGCCAACTTAGGCCCCATACAGTCCCATGAAGGCAATGACTTTGTCTTACTCAATACTTGGCGAAAAGTCAGTATCTGCTGTGCAGGTGAGACCTTCCTCAAACAGCCAAACTAAGTTCACATTCAGTCCTTCCACATTTTTCCCACAGAGCTTAAAATACGTTAACATACTTTCCAAGTTTAACTAGATAGAACATCACTGTACAATTTCTAGATACCCACTTAAGTCCTCACAATTAGTCCAGAACACTTCAGCACTGACAAATGGGCAAAACAAACTGAAAGCAGTGGATTCTTAAGCACTTACATGGGCAATGTCCCCCTTTGTGCCTATGACCCGATCCTGAGAATGCTTACTGAATTCAACATAGTGGTCTTCTGTGAAGGAATGCCTACGGACAGACACAAGCACTAAAATGTCATACGTTGAGGACACACTCCCACACACTCTCCAGCCTCTTATGCTTTGGCTCCCACAGAGGAAACAATTACACATTTAGATTAAAAAGAACAGTCCCTCCATCAGTTCGTCTCAGCAGACCCTTGGTTGAAAAATGGTCACAGGGCACATGTGCCTTTCAAATACCAGAGATGAGCGCACAACTGTCTGCTGTGAACGTAAGAAAGTAAACAGATGGCCATTTGATTAAGAATCTGCTGACCAATTCAAAGTATATACTTTGAGAGCCTCAAACATGGAGGTTAGCAATCACAGCATCCCTCTTTCCCAAAGAACCAGATGAAAGTGATATAAATTATGTAATTAAACATAAAGACTGTAGGCTGCAAGAGCAGATACATACTTCATATCAAACACTGATTTCATTCCCCAAAGTGCAGACAAAGGCTGGCTCCAAGTAGCAGATGTCAGCAGCAAGGACCCGTCCTGAAAGAAGGCCCGAGGAGGGGAACCGTGTGTTGACATACATGCAGAGGGAGATATCTACCATTAGTATTTTAAAAATATGCGCATAAAAGCATTACTGGATTAAAGACAAAACAGAACTCTCAGGAACCAAGACATAATCAGAAGTCACTAGAATTTAAATACAGGTACTTGTAGTATACTAAAAGACAATATATTTAGGAAAGTATTACTATTATATCTTTCTGAATGATTAAAATACAATTTCAAACAAAGGGAAAAAAACTTGGAGAAACAAAGATGGTTCTCTCAATATGTAGCCATATTCCTCAGTTTCCCCTTAGGGTCTACTGGATTTCACCTACACTTTCAAAGCAAGACCACTTCAAAAGAAACCCCGTTAAAAGGGGAGTTCATCAACCCATCTTAGAACAATTCAGAGGACCCAGGAAGAAGGGACCCTCACCCTGGAAGGTTCAAGGTGTGTGATGGCCGAGTTGTGACAGTTGTAACTGGCCTCCTCCTGTCCACTGAATACATTATACAGCTTCAGCTGCCCTGTGCAGGTGCCAAGCATTAAGAATCGCTCCCGTGCCGAGAACGCACAGCAGGTGAAGCCACTCTCATCTTCATTGGCTTCCCGGAACACTGAAATAGGACGGAATCTAAACAAAACAAAAGAAATTCAGAGACAAAGAAATGTGCTGTCACTCAGAACAGGAAAACCTTGCTCGGAGGATTTAGGTCTAAAGTACAGTCTTTAAAATACCACAATCCAAAGCTTCCTTTTCAATTAAAATGAGAAAGGGACTTCCATTCACAGATTTAAATAACAAAAATTGCACTCCTTTACAACTGTGATCTCTTTTCCAGAGATTAAAGAATCACAATATTAAGCAGGTACTTAGTGCATGCTGGTCCAGATGACCACATTCCATATCAGAATGCCTGTTCTGACTACCTGCGAATGCTCACTCTGGGAAGCAGAGAAGATGGGAAAGCCACAGACCCCTAAACCAGATTGAGTTCCTGGTGGCTGGCGAAGCTTCAGCTGTGGCAGGTATTAGGGGAGTGAACAAACAGGTGGATCTTTGTTTGTCTCTATGCCTTTCAAGTATATGTTATTTACATATATATAGTGTGTATACATATGTGTGTGTATGTACACACACAAGCACACACACTTTAAATTCAAAATAGGAGGCAACCTGAACCAGCACTAGACCACTTATGGGGTGCTGATTGGAAAGCATGAGCTCTCTAGGGATGATAATGCAATATGCAAGTAATGCCACTAATGACAAAGAACTCCATGGTAAACAGAAAGTGACCACAGATTGCTTATGTATTAAAGTGACAGTTATTTCAGAGCAAGAAATGACTATCTAGACTAGCCACTCTATGCAGGTGCTGTCCCAATACCTTGATTTAAATAGAAATATAATTCCAATTCCAAAGATGAGAGAGGACCTCTTACCTGCTAAAGATAAGGTGTCTATCAAAGCATCCACCATCTACCCCTCCATACTTTGGAAATGATGCCCTGCGGTTTAGCCTTGAGGTAAAATTTATTGGCGCTTGTCGCCTCTGTTTTGGCTCAGGACACTGGTGAGGAGTAAAGAGAGAGAAAGGTGGGCAAGTGGCAACCGGGTTCTTGCAGCGAGCATGTTGCTCCCTAAGATATTCTGTGATGATACTGTCCAGCGTAGGTGGGGAAGGAAGATGTCTGTCCAACTGTTTTTTTATGGCTGGGCTTTGGCTATAGGCGCCATGGTCCGACTTTTGCCGCAACACTCTGATTTTCCTGCCATTGCAAGGTGACGGTCTCTCTCTGATAAAACTGATCCTACCAATCAAAGGGGAGTTGCCTGCATACGATGGTCCAGGCAAAGCTAGTGAACCCTGAGGCGGCCGTGGTTGAGGATGGACAGTGGGGGCAGATGGGGCAGAGGCACCCACAACAGCATGGCTGCCTAGTCGAGTTGCAATGCCATTGGCAATTCGAGGGGTTCGGGGAAGAGAGACAGGTGAAGCAGCAGCAGTTACTGGGGTAAATGCAGAAGAATGGGAGGCAGCAGTCATGGGCAGGTCAGCCTCCTTTGTCAGCACCGTTGCTGTTTCTCCTAGCCCTTTAGAAATGAGATGGTTTCGTATCAACAGAAGCAACTCTTTCTCGGGAAACGAGATCCTTGACTGTGCAACAACATCCGCTTTCTGCAGGCGTGCTAGAGACACATCTGTGCCAATGAGTAGTGGCTTTCCTGACACCCTTTCAATGAGCTCAGCGGCATACTTGCAGAACTTGACATGGTCACTGCGCTTGTCCTGTAACACAGGCTCCTTCATCAGCTGCTGGATCTGGCAGCTGCTGAAAAGGGGCAGTTTGCTGATGATCTGCCGGACAGTACTGCTGCGAGAGAGGCCCACCAGAGCCTTGCAGGCCAGGGCACGGATCTGGTCTGCATCAGTGATGGGCATCTTAATAGAGAGTAAGGACAGGAGAACCTTGATGCCATTGTTGGACTGCACCACATTCCACATCTTGGCCAGGGTGTGCTCACTGCTTTTGGGGGTCTGAGGCAGCTTCCTCCGAGGAGTTCCAGAGATAAATTTGCCAATACTGGATATGCGGTTATCTGGGCCACACACACAATTGATGATAATTTGAAGTGCTGACTTCTGAATTTCAGCATCATGGATAAAGAACTCACCCTCAGCCACTCCCAAAATAATGCTGATACCTAATGGAAGGGGAAAAAAAGTCATATCATTCCTTATAAAACTCATGATCGACTTCAATACTCTGAATCAAAAGGTTCCATTTACATTATTTTGGTCTTCTTCTAAAGAAGAAACTACAAAAATGTTTAAAGTAGGGCCTGACGGTGTGGCCTAGCGGTTAAAGTCCTCGCCTTGAACGCGCTGGGATCCCATATGGGTGTCGATTCTAATCCCGGCAGCTCCGCTTCCCATCCAGCTCCCTGCCTGTGGCCCGGGAAAGCAGTCGAGGACGGCCCAAAGCTTTGGGACCCTGCACCTGCGTGGGAGACCTGGAAGAGATTCCTGCTTCTGGCTTCGGGTCGGCATAGCATCAGCCGTTGTGCTCACTTGGGGAGTGAATCATTGGATGGAAGATCTTCCTCTCTGTCTCTCCTCCTCTCTGTATATCTGACTTTGTCATAAAAATAAATAAATCTTTTTTTAAAAAATGTTTAAAGTATAAGGAACTGTTTGTATAAAATATAACCAATATCTCCAATACTTCCCCTGTCCACCTCAGCATCACCCACACCAAGCCCCTAATCTTAATAAAGTATATCTCAAAGTCTATTTTCCTTTTGTGCAAGATCATTTTTACCCATTTTCAGTTATCTGCCACTATTTTTTTGTTAATATTCACACTGCTTCCAACATGGGGGGAGGGTTGTGGAAGGGGTGGGGGGAATCCCAGTGCCTATAAAACTGTATCACATAATACAATGTTAATAACAATTAAAAAAATAAAACTTAAAAAAAAATATTCACACTGCTTAAGTTTTTACTATCTATCCCAAACCACTTTTCTCACAAACCTTGCTTGTCCAAAATGCATACAGTTTTCAGGAATGCAGAAAAGCCTGTACATTAAAAAATCCAAGTGTACTCACATGACTCCCTTTACAGGAAATCTGTATGGCACTACTAGCAAGTCAATGGCAAGATCCTTCCCCACTATCATGAGTTCTAACATCCCCACATAAGTTCAAGCAAATTACCATAACAGCAAAGGAAAGCAAAGCCAGGCCAAGACCCAACAAGAGTGGCAAGGTATCACTTACCCACAGTGGAGACAGTAGAGCCAGCCTCATCTAGCACATCCACAGATTCTGCCAGCTGGAGCTGGATTTTTGGCACCACGGTGAGAATAGCCAGGACATCCAAGGCAAAGCGCACAGTATCATTCCTGGACAGCAAGAATAATTAGTCAAAGGGAAACTAAAACACAGCCACAATAATAACAGCTTATAGAAAGATACAAAACAGATCAGAACCACTACCTGTGTGGCTCTATTCCTAGCCATGCAGCAAGAAATTTTTAAGTCACCATGACAGAACTTTTAACTCCCACTGCTAAGATTAAAACCCTACTCAATGCTAGTGTGCATTGAGAAAAGTGTTCCCAAACTTGGCAGGAGTAGAACTTAGGATACTCTTTCTAAAAACTAATCTGGAAATAAGAGAAAATATTCTTAATACCTCTGGCAATCTGCCTAAGGAAATACTAAGTTCAAAGAACCCAGCATTGTGGCATAAAGCTGCCTCCTGCATCAGTTCCTTTCGTGGCCAACTCAACTCTGATGAACCAAAGCCCAGGAAGAGTAGAGGAAAGCCCAAACGCTTGGTCTCCTCCCACCCACACATAGGAGATCCAGAGGAGGCTCCTGGCTCCAGCCTGGTCCAGTTCCAGCTGTTGCAGCCATCAGTGGAGTGAACTAGTGGATGAAAGACCTCTCTGACTCTTCTCACCACTACAATGCAAAATAACTGAATTTTAGGGGAAAAAAATCACAAATAAATGTTTAAAATATGTAACATCAATAACTGCTAAGCATAAGAAGAAATCAAAGTTGCCAATATACTGGAGTTGGGAGAAGAAAAGGTTATGAAAATTTTACAGTTTGGAAACATCCAATAAATAGAAAAATGTAAACATCATGGAACCTATGTTCCACACATTATATCTTTAAGAACTTTCAAAAGGAGTTTGGTTCATGGTGCCATTTATTAAAGAATACGCAACAAAAAAAGACATTTAGTGTTCATCAATGAAGGCAGACACTGCAGTAAAGAAACACAGTGATTTAGGTTAAACACAAACATGAATGTTAAAACTACAAAAATGGAAAGGGCCTGGCATAGTAAAGTCCTCGCCTTGAACGTACAGGGATCCCATATGGGTGCCAGTTCTAATCCCAGCAGCTCCACTTCTCATCCAGCTCCCTGCTTGTGGCCTGGGAAAGCAGCAGAGGACGGTCCAAAGCCTTGAGACCCTGCACCCACGTGGAAGACCAGAGGAGCTCCAGGCACCTGGCTTTGGATCAGTGCAGCTCGGGCCACTGCAGCCACTTGGGACATGAATCATCGGACAGAAGATTTTCCTCTCTTTTCTCCTCTCTCTCTATATAACTTTTGAATAAAATATTTTTTAAAAATGAAAAAAATAAAGTTGCAAAAGATGCATGTAAGAAAATATTTGCCTAATTTAGAAAAATAGAAAGCAAAACTGCATTAACAGATATAAATACATAACTATATATGCATAAAACCATAAACAGAGAATACACTCCAATTCTGAAGATTATTTCAGACAGACCAAAAAGGAAAGAAACTGAAAAAGCAGCAAATACATAAATAAATCAATCTTGGCCACAGGACAAGCTGCTATGTAGATATATTTGCTTAATCTTTATATCTTTAAATATTATGAAATATTTCATTTAAAGCATGGTTACTGGAGAGAAATTTTCATTTCTCTTTGTAAGATTCTATTCATGCCATGGTGGAAATAAACATTTATTGTGTTTTTTAAAAATAATATTAAATTAAGTGTATAATACAAACAAAAATTTCCCAGTCAAAAATATACTTTAGGGCCTGGCGGCGTGGCCTAGCGGCTTAAGTCCTCGCCTTGAACGTGCCAGGATCCCATATGAGTGCCGATTCTAATCCCGGCAGCTCCACTTCCCATCCAGCTCCCTGCTTGTGGCCTGGGAAAGCAGTCGAGGACGGCCCAAAGCTTTGGGACCCTGCACCCGTGTGGGAGACCTGGAAGAAGTTCCTGGTTCCCGGCTTCAGATCGGCACATCACCGGCTATTGCCACTCACTTGGGGAGTGAATCATTGGATGGAAGATCTTCCTCTCTGCCTCGCCTCCTCTCTGTATATCTGACTTTATAATACAAAATAAATAAATCTTTTTTAACAGCAATCTTTTAAAACCTATTTACAACCTTCATAGCTATCTTATGCTTTCAAATATATTTTAAGCAGTTCTCCAAGTAAAATAATAGCCTACTTATTTTCAGCACCTAAATCAGTGGTTCTCAAAGTTTAGTCTAGAGACTTAGGGGTCTCCAAGACGCTTTCAGAAGGTCCAAAGATGCTGCAATGTCAAGTTATTTTCACTGCACATAATACTAAGATGTTATTTCTTATCTTCTCACAAGTACGCAGTGGCTCATCCAGAGGCCATGTGATGGGTTATGTCTCAAAAAGACTGAGTAAAGAAAACATGAGCTATCAAACCAAACATTTTTTAAAACTTGCTAAAATCGTGTTTCTATTTTGGAAATTTTAAAAAATGTTGACATACAATGGGTTCACATTACTCCTAAATATTTTTACATTTTCTCAGTTTTGATTTCTAACACAGAAAACATCTACAGACCAAGCATAGAAACAAAACACCTTTAGAGTTCCCAATAATTTTTAATAAGGTAAAGTTTCCAAGACCAGAAAAGTTGAGAACACTACTCCAAAAGTACTCCCACTATATATAATATCTTGGGATTTAATAAACAAGGTACAGCTACCCTAAATAAAGCTCACTAGAGAGGGAAAGAAGGAAAGAAACTACTGCTTACACATTTTATCACTACCTTTTCTTTATACCATCCTCAAACAAAACCCATCCAATATCCTCATTATATAAGCTACCCTTTTTATGACTCCTGTCCTTTTCAGCACACTGATTGCTCTTAAATGGACTGTGAAAATTCAACAGTGTTTTGAATTTCAAGATAAAAAGCTTTACATGAAAGTAAAATAAACATTGCATATGGCTGTCAAATAATAACAAGATATTTACAGTACGACAGATCACTGCACTCCAGTCTGAAGGCAGGACTGCAACCGCAACTCCACAGCTACAGCCATCTAAGTTATTCAACTTCTAAGAGTATAGATGTTATAAAGGCCTACTAAGCAATATTTATAATCACTGAGTCTATATATACATGCACACACAAGTACCTTTAAAATGCGTTCATGTTTAATCTAGTTTCTCAGATTCAAGTCTAAAACTTCAAATTAACTCAAGAGAAATTTATCACACACCATGTGCAAACCAGTATCAACTTTACAAAAGCAGTAAGCAGAATGGAACTTCATTTGAAACTTCTCTCAGATCCCACCTTGCATAATATGTCTTCCAGTTGCAGGCAATTGAAATGAGCTGCAGCAAGAGTTGCACACAGGACAGTTTGAGGAAGACTTCAGCTGGTTCCCAGTACAGCTGTGCTGGGCCATACTCTATCAAAAACTCCATCATCTCCACAATCTGTTCATGGGTATATGAACATGCCTGGGAGGAGAGACATTATCATTATATCCAACTCTATCATTCCCCACTTACTTTCTTAAACACAGTTCACTGGTCAACAGATTTTCATTAATAACAAAGGTAACAATAAATCTCAAATTCTACAATTCTAGAATAAATAGTCCTTACGTTAAATGGCTATGTAATGTTTCACCTTTTATTGTATAACCTAAAAAGTGTGTATCACAGCCACAGAGAGAATCAAGCACCACGTAATTGATAACTTTTCAATTTGTCTCTTTTAAATCATAAAGGTGCTTTTTTTTTCTTTCCTTGGCAGGACCTTGGAGATGGCCTAGAGCCTAAGCCAAATGCCAGGGCCCGGGGCCATCCCCACATAAGGGGTTGCTTCCTCTACACTAAGGCTACAACACGTAAAGGCAGACATGTTTTATCGACCTATTGATTCTCTCTGAAAGTTACTACTAGATAACCATCAGGAAGACGCAGACCAGGGGCCTGGCATCAGGATCCTAGGCATGCCATACCCACGGCAAGCCAATGCAGCAGCAACAGAAAAAGCCCAACAACTTCAAGAGTGACAATGTGTGTGTGGAGTTGAGGGTGTCACAGACCTCCCCCACCCTATATACTACAGTTTGCCTACCTGTCAACCAAATGACCCCTTTCCCAGGCTGCACTGACCCTCACCTGAGACTGAAGGGTAGCATCAGATAAACACTCCATCCAGAGGCTCATAAGAAGCCAGTCAACGCAAAGGGACACACTTTGCTTCCCCATGAATGTAAGATGAAAGTAGAAACATTGGATCTGGACCAATAGCCTAGTGGTTATCCCTCGTATTGCATACACCTGGATCCCATATGGGTGCTAGTCTATGTCCGGGTACCCTACTTCCCATCCAGCTCCCTGCTTGCGGCCTGGGAAAGCAGTTGAGAATGGTCCAAAGCTTTGGGACCCTGCATCCACATGAGACACACAGAAGAAGCTCCTGGTTCCTGGGCTTTGGATCGGCTCAGCTCCAGCTGTTGTGGCCACATAGGGAGTGAATCATCAAATGAAAGATCATTCTGTCTCTCTCTCCCTCTCATTGTAAATCCACCTTTCCAATAGAAAATAATTTACTTTTATTGCAAAGTCAGATATATAGAGAGAGAGGAGGACAGAGGGAGAGGAAGATCTTCCGTCCAATGATTCATTCCCGAGTGTCTGTAAAGGCCAGTGCTGCGCCGATTCGAAGCCAGGAGCCAGGAATCTCCTCTGAGTCTGCCACATGGGTGCAGGATCCCAAGGGCTTGGGCTGTCCCAGAGTGCATTCCCAGGCCACAAGAAGGGAGGTGAATGGGAAGTGGAGCTGCCAGGATTAGAACTGGGGCCCATATGGGATCCTGGCACATTCAAGGCGAGGACTTTAGCTGCTAGGCCACCACACCGGGCCCAAAATAAGTAAATCTTAAAAAAAAATTGGGAGCAATCTAAATCTGTAAGGTTTACTTATGTGTCTACATTCAATTTTTTGTTTCCAGTCAGGACAAGTATCACCCAACATAATGTGTATCTCAGAGACTCCACAGATCTGAATATGAGCTTCAGGCCAAGATGTGACTGGGAGCACTAACAATTAAGAACTATATCTTCTCACCTTGTATGGGGGTTGAGGATGAACAAGAATGCCACCCTCGGTCCTCTGAAGCGACTGCTTTACTTGTTCCAATTTAATGGCCAGGTGAGCTTCAAAGTACTTCCGCAAGGCCATGCAAGTATGTTTCCCAGTTTGCCGGCTAGCAAATATTTCATCATCACTCAGAAGGGCACCTTGATCTTCCAAATTTAGAATCTCCAAAGTACTAATCTAATAAGAACAAGGTGAAAGATTTGAGGGATTCAGTAGGAATAAAAAACAAAAGCACACACAAATTTGAGAGAATTGCCAAATAACCAAGTGTTTCTATATTTTTACCATGCTAATAGCAGCTAGATGAAAGCACAACTACAAACCCATATCAAAAAGTAACAGAGGTTTTAATCACATAGAAAGACATAGATATAAAACTGCAACTTAATAAGATAAAAATTTCAAGAGTAAGTCCTCGTATAATGAGAACCAAGGTAAAAATACAATGGCCAGAGAATTCTCCAACCACTAAGGAGGAAGCAAAACAAGGAGGCAGGAAAAAGACTTTACACAACGAGTAAGAACAAAACTCATCCAATCACAAGCTTCCTCTCCAAAGAGGTGCTACTGAAGGGCAGTGCACATACGCAGTGCTCCTACTCGGAAGTGCAAAGAAGCTTCTGAAAGAAACTCACCAAATTCACCAGACGACGAAGACCATCGTAGCGGTCAAAGAGCTCCAAGACAGCCCGAAATGAGAAACAAATTGAGAAAAACATGGTAGCATGGCAGCATCCTGAGGCATGAGAACATTCCATTAACCACAGAGTATAGTTCACCACATCAGACAGAACGTTGTGTGGATGCATGCAAACCTGCAAAATATTGAAGCAAAACATATATATATATGCATATATATACACATTTTTTTTTAAAAAATTGGGGGCAAAGGAGCCTTTAGAAAAGATTTTTAAAAAACTCTCAAGTACAGGTTGGTATCTTTGCAAGCTACAATGATCACTCTTGGTCAAGCCATTCTTGAAGTTACAATTTAACAACATAATCCATTCAAATCTGCAAACTATCCAAATTAATTCAACATATACTTACTGTCAACACATATATTCCACATTTAATGCTCACAGTGACTGCTATATAGGTTTTAGATTCCTACTTCACAGATGAGGAAAAGGTTCCAAAGTAGGAGACGTCACCCAAATCATAAAAATGGCTACATTTACTAATATGACTGATAACTAACACTCCTGATACTAAACCTTTTCTAATTCTGCCTTTACACACATAGTAGCCTCTGGTACTTGCAGTGCGTTAGGCTGGCACCTGTGGAACTAGCATCCCAAATGGTCAACCCTTTCAGTCCCAGCTACTTCACTTCCAATGCAGCCCCCTACTAGTGTGTCTGGGAAGGCAGCAGCAGATTCTTGTCCTCCTAGAATCTGGCTCCTAGGACCCAACACAATGGCCTGGTGGCTGGGGTCCTTGCCTTGTATGTGCTGCGACCCCATTTGGGTGCCGGTTCATATCCCAGCTGTTTCACCTTCCTTCAAACTCCCTGCTTGTGGCCTAGGAAAGCAGTCAAGGACAGCCCAGAGCCTTGGGACCCTGCAACCACAATGGAGACCCAGAGGAAGATCCAGGCACCTAGCCTCAGATCAGCTCACCTACGGCTATGGCTACGACTTGGGGGGTAAACCAACAGATAGAAGATCTTTCTCTGTGTCTCCTCTGTTCTCTGTAAATCTGACTTTTCAATGGAAATAGTAAATCTTTAAAAAAAAAAAAAAGAAAAGAAAAGAAAGAGGGGGGCCCAACACTATAGCATAACAGCTAAAGTCCTCGCCTTGAAAGTGCCCGGGGTCCCATATGGGCACCGGTTCCAATACTGGCAGTCCCACTTTCCATCCAGCTCCCTGCTTGTGGCCTGGGAAAGCAGTCAAGGACAGTCCGAAGCTTTGGGACCCTGCATCCATGTGGGAGACCCGGAAAAAGCTCCTGGCTCCTGGCTTCAGATTGGCACGACTCCAGCCGTTGCAGCCCCTTGGGAAGTGAATCATCGGACAGAAAATCTTCCTCTCTTTCTTTCCTCCTCTCTGTATATCTTGCATTCCAATAAAAATAAATAAATCTTTTAAAATATCTGGCTTCTGGGGCCCGGCGTGGGGGCACAGTGGTTAAGGTCCTCGCCTTGCACGCCCGGGATCCCATATGGGCGCCGGTTCTAATCCCAGCAGCCCCGCTTCCCATCCAGCTCCCTGCCTGTGGCCCGGGAAAGCAGTCGAGGACGGCCCAAAGCTTTGGGACCCTGTACCCGCGTGGGAGACCCGGAAGAGGCTCCTGGCTTCGGATCGGCATAGCATCAGCCATCGCGCTCACTTTGGGAGTGAATCATCGGATGGAAGATCTTCCTCCTCTCTGTATATCCGCCTTTCCAATAAATATCAAATAAATCTTTAGAAAAAAAATCTGGCTTCTGTTCCCACATGGGAGATCCAGAAGCAGCTCCTAGCTCTGGATCGGTCCAGCCCTAGCAGTTGCAGGCATATGGGGGAATGAATCAGCAGATATAAGGTCCCTTTCTCTGTAACTCTTTCAAATAAATAAAATAAACTATTAAAAATGGGCCCAGAGCTGTAGCCTAGTGGCTAAAGTCCTCGCCTTGCATGTGCTGGGATCCCATATGGACACCAGTTCATATTCTGGTATCCCTATATTTCATCCAGCTCCCTTCTTGTGGCCTGGGAAAGCAGCAAAGGAAGATCCAAATCCTTGGGACCCTGCATCTGCATGGGATACCCAGAGGAAGCTCTTGGTTTCTGGCTTCAGACTTGCTCAGCTTCAGGAACTGCAGCCACTTGGGCAGTGAGCCAGCAGATGCAAGATCTTTCTCTCTCTCCCTTCTCTGAGAATATACTTTTCCAATAAAAATAATTCTTTAAAAACAGAGAAACTATCTTCTATTCAACCCCATTCCCATATACCTAAATGGACTGTACTTACTCTTTCCATGGCATCCTGATTGTAAGACAAGTAATACAAGCACATAGATACACCAGTTGCAGCCATTGAAGGACGAGGAATTTCCAGCAATTTCTGTACTCCACCATGAGCAACAAATTCTGTGGCAAATTTGTTATGCAGCAGGAGAGAAGCTAAGTGCTAAACAATAAGGACACAATTACCACCAAACAATCCAGAAAAAAAGTACATCTCTTGACAGAATATTAAGCTGCTAAATCTAAAGAGTTTTCTAGGTAGACAGGCACCTCTTCACAACTTCATTTAAACAAAAAGCTCTTTTAAACGTAACATTTCAACAGTTTTTAAGAAACGAAGTGTTGCCAACCCTCTCACTTCCTTTATTACAATCAGCTCCAACTTCTAGCTATGGCTCAGCATTAGCTGAAATTTACCTTCTTTTAAACTGATTTTCAATATATTCCCAAAAAATCGTGAGCAAACCACGGAAACCGGAAAATTTTTCAAACTAACCAGTATGCACTTTCAACAGATCTTTAACAGATTTATGTTAACTTTCCATTTAATTCCTTCAAGTTTATCTGGGAGGTCCAATCTGTACAATTTTCAGGGACAGATGACTCTGAATTCAGCCCAATATGGACAAAGCCCTAAGAGAAAGAGGACTGTTCTTTCTGTGTCCCATTCAAAGGTTATCTTGCAGGGATAGATAATACAAACTTGCAATTACATGGTTTGATAGCCATACCAAGTTGATCAAGGTCAATGGCAAAATCATTTTTAGAAATTCTCTCCACATCGAGACTCAGGCTAATTCTCACACATAATTCATGTCCCCTCTTCTCTTATTACCGTATTTTTTGGTCTGCTCCACAGCCTCTTTATCCTTCCATCCAGTCCTCCCTCTGAAAAGCAACTGAAGCTCCCCTGTAACACTTGGGGAGATTTCTCACGTCACTACCACAAGATAGTTCCACTGTTACTATGGATTAATGAGGAAGCAAAGATCAAGCAGCCTTGACCTTTATTAAGAATCATCTCCAGACTTTGCTCACTATCACCTACAACTCAGCTTACCTCATTGCCATTGGCAGAGATTCTGCCTATTCACTTATTTCGCTTGCCTACATAAAGTCCAGTTTCTCCTCAATTTATTATTTTAATCTACTTTATTTGTACTAACTTTGATACCCATATCTTCTCTTCAACCACTGCGTCTTCCTTCTAAACAAATGGCACAGCTCTTTCTACAGTCTTCCTGTAGGAAGGGTCTCTTTCATGATTTTCCCCTTTTACCACTCAAGACTTTACATGGAAGCAGCTAAACAATAACATTCTTCAAAAACTTGCAGAAATAGTAATGTCAATCTGTCTACTGTGTCTTGTTTTAAAGTGAAAATGAAAGTACTACCTTCAGGTACCTGAGACACACCTCTGATTTCCAGCTTTGTCTCACGTTCCGAGCATACACATGAATGTATACATAGACCCCCACCTACACCCCCACACCTCAAATGTAGGGATATATGTTGCTCCAAGTATGTCTGGCCTCCCTCATATGTAAAATTTCTGGGGTCTGAAAGGCATATCACCTTAGTTCTACTGCATTTCAGTAACTTCTAAAACTGTACTGTTCAAGGAAGTAGTCAATGGCCATCTGTTACTAATTCCACTGAAATTAGAACTAAATAAATTCAAGGCACTAGCTACATTTCAGGTATTCCAGAGTCAAAAATGGCCAAGAAGTTACTGCACTGACCAAGGCAGATACGTACTATCTCTAACATCATAGAACACTCCACTGAACAGCACAGCTCTGAAATAGCAACACTGAAATTCTGACTTACCCAACGAAATGAGCTGGCATTGTGGAGCACCAGGCTGAGTCACAGCCTGTGACACAGGCACATCAGTGTACTAGTTTGAGTTCCAGTGTCCCAATTACCCTCCAGTTTCTTAATGTGTCTCTATAATTTTTCATTTCTCTTCAGTAATAAGAGGTTACTCCTAGCTCAAGAGCTACCATACCTCAACATTCAACTGCTAGTAAGTCTCATCACTCTACCTAATGAGCATGTTTCATTGGCTTTAGTCTGTCGCATCTGGCAACAGGCACACCCTCAGCAATAAAACCACAGATGTTATTTGTCAAAACATGTTAAGAGCTTCTCAGTAAGGAAAAAGCTCACTAGGGCCCAGTACAATAGCCTAGTGGCTAAGTCCTTGCCTTGCATATACCAGGGTGCCATATGGGCACTGATTCTAAACCCGACTGCTCCACTTCCCATCCAGCTCCCTGCTTGCTATCTTCAAGTCCTGAGACCCTGCATCCGTGTTAGAGACCCAGAGGAGGCTCCAGGCTCCTGGCTTTGGATTAGCTCTACTTCAGCCATTTCGGCCACTTGGGAAGTAAACCAGTAGAAGGAAATTCTCTCTCTCTGTATCTCCTTCTCTCTGTAATCTGTCTTTCCCATTAAAAAAAATAAAGAAGGGCCCAGCTCAGTGGCCTAGTGGCTAGTCTTCGCCCTGAATGCACCGGGATCCCACATGGGCGCTGCTTCTAATCCCAGCGGCCCCACTTCCCATCCAGCCCCTTGCTTGTGGCTACTTGGGAATGCAGTCAAGGACGGCCCAAAGCCTTGGGACCCTGCACCCGTGTGGGAGAAAGGAAAGAGCTCCTGGCTCCCAGCTTCGAATCAGCACAGTACCGGCTGCTGCGGTCACGTGGGAAGTGAATCACTGGACAGATCTTCCTCTCTGTCTCTCCTCCTCTCTGTATCTCTAACTTTGCAATAAAAATAAATCTTTAAAAAGAAAGAAAAAAAAGAAAAAGCTAAGCAAATGAATAGTTGTGGAAAATTTTACCTTGAGGGCCTCGAACGTAAGCAAGACATCATTAGTCTGCTTCAGATCAATATAGAACATCATCAACTCTCGTGATCCAAGCTGCATGAATATGGGAAGTAGCTGAAATGAAGAGCAAAAACAAGTATTAAATTTTGACTTTTCACATATTTCCTATTTCCTTCTTATGACCAAGTAATATTGAAGAAATGAGGAACCTCACCTCTTCTCACTTATAAACATTTAAGCACACTCTGGTCAAGCCAACTTATCACAGGTGATCTACATAAGACTTAATAGGTTTGAAGGAGATTTTTCTGAGTAAAAACATACTACTAGAAGTAAAGTATATACATAAACTGAAGTGTGAACGGTGCTCTTACCTCCTGATATTCTCCTAGAGGAGTTAAATATTGAAGAATGAGTCTCTGCTCAATGGCAGGAGTCATAGGATAAAGGGTGTAATTGGTGCCAATCACCCAGGGGGACATTTCTGACCAGCTGCTATTAGAAAGCTCAACAAACATGCGATCTGGATCAGAAGATGAGAACCCCAACTTCTGCTTGGCTTTCCTAAAGTTCTCCCTGTCACCCTGTTTTGCTGACTTGTTTTTCTTCAATCCTCCTTCCTCCAATTTGGTTGCAGAGTTTACTCTACTACTGGTCTTGTGGCTTGAATCAAGATGAAAAGAGATCTCCACATCTCCAGAAGCTTCTTCTTGCTCTCCATCCACTACATTTCCTGCTATGTCGCCATAATCCATATCCACAGCTTCCTCGTCCAAAGGCAAAAGGGGTTCAGAAGAGAGCTTCCGTGGGCTGGGACGTCTGTTTTCTTGCCGCAAGGCTACTTCCTGAAGCTGTAGCTCCCTCAGTCTTCGAAGCACTATTGCCACCTATCAGCAGATATTGAGTAAAAGGAGTTATCTCTTACACATCTTTACTTAAATAACTCTTAATAAATAATTCTTATTTCCACTTAAGAAGTGGATACTCACGCATTAGTCCAATGTCTAGTATTAGATTTGATAAATATAGACTTGAGTTCTATAATCTGATGAAATAAACAACAGCCTGAAAGTCTTGCCCCCATAAAATCTTCCAGAAAACCTAAACCAGAAGATTTATATGTAAAACACATCATTCACAAATGATCTCTTTGGGTCAAGTGGGGCTGGACCATCATATCTGAAGAGGCAGAAACTAGACATGGTCATGACTTTTAAAAAGTTTCTTCAAACATCAAACATGAAGGCTTTTCAAACTTTTAGCTAGTGCAAGTTGTATTCTGTTAAACACTGTCATCTCTAGCGTGTATAATAACAGAGTTTATTTTTCAAGTTCACTTTTAAAATTACTTTCTGGGCCAAACCCAAAAGGTGGCATTGTGCTTTGTTTTAAAGAGATATATTATGTCTTCAACTTTGATACTACATTGAAAAACAAATTAGAATGAAAGATACACAAAAGGGCAGACAGATGGTTATGTAACAAAGCATAGTAAAATGCTCCTGAGTTAACTGGTATATTAATGATTGTTCACTATAAAATTCAGCTTTGCTACATGAGTACTTAAAAAATTTGTGAGAACATTTAAAGGATGAGTTTATAATTTTTAAAACCATATATACATGGAGTACTCTAAAAGTTCACATAAAATGTCTATTATAAAAAAAAGCCATGCACAATGTTAAAATTTTTAACTGAAAAAAAGCACCTTTTAAAATTTCTTATTGATTTATTTGAGACATCTCCTAATAGTCCAGTAGAACATATACTTAACAGCTGATCAGCCTTTTAAGCCCATTTATCGGAGAGTATAGCACTGCCATTCACTGGTTCATTCCTCAAAAGCTCTTAACACCTGGGACTGGACCAGGGCTGAAGCCAGGAATTCCATCCAGGTCTCATACAGAGGCAGAAACTCCATTATTCAAACCTTCTTTCCTGCTTCCTAGGATCTGTGGCAGCAGGAAACTAGAGTCAAAAGCTGCAGCTGTGTATCAAACCCAGGTAGTCCAACAAGGGATGCTGGAATTTAACTGCTAGGCTCTACATACAAGAAGTACCTTCTAATTCAATTTTCTACAATGTATGATGTCATGCATCATGCAGCAAAAAGTAAGGCATGTCAACCTCCCATGTTGGAGCACCAACTGAGACCCAACTGTTCCATTTTCAATACAGTTCTACAAATGGGAGTGGGAAGGCAACGGAAGACGGCCCAAGAACTACCACCCATGTAGGTGACCCAGATGGAATTTCTGGCTCCTGGCTTCAGGTTTGTAAAGACATAGCCATGTCTGCAGCCATTTGGAAAGTAAATTAGTTTATGAAAGCTAGTGCTCACTCTCTAATAAATAAATATTAAAAATATTCTTTGACAAAATGAAAAATACCTATTTTCAAAGTTTAGAGGTAAAACTGAAACTCATAGAATATAACCTTGGAGAAATGACACTGTAAGCCATACTTCAGTACAAGGTAGTAAACAGAATCTACATCTTCAGATTTAAGTAGAAGGTAAGAAGTTGGGAATATTCTCTCATATTATACAAAAATTCATTCCAAGAAAGTTCTTACCAATTGTGAATTTTCATCTCTGTAATTGGCAGCAATGTCTTGATTTTCCATAGCACCTCCTAACAGTCCAGTAGAATAAGTCCTCAATGGCTGATCAGCCTCTCGGGCCCATTTGAAAAGATTCTCAACAATACCTTCCTACAGTAAAGAAAATTAAACAGCATAATTCTGAAAAGGATCACTTTGATAAACAAAAACATCAATCCTGTGAGAAAAAAACGCCAAAACATTGCCACATTGTTCTTAAGAGTAAAAAATGCCCTAAAAGCCAATAGATGACTTACTAAAATACATTTGTAGGTACATTTATGCAACAGAATTCAATTTAGTCAATAAGACTCAATCTTTATACCATAGAAAATATATGATGTCTGTCCTTTGGGACTGCCTAATTTCACTAAACAGAATCGGCTCCACTTGGGACCATTTTGTTGCAAACAGTAGGATTTCATCCTTTTTATGTTTACTCAGTATTCCATAAAGCCGATGTACCATAGTTACCCATTGATCTGTTGATAGGCATCTGGGTTGTTTCTATGTTTTCAGTATTATGAATTGTGTCATTTTGAATATACAACTGTTACAGGTCACTTTATAGTATGTAGATTTTATTTCATTTGGATATATTCCCGGGAATGCAATAGCTAGGTTGTATGGTAGATCAATTCTCGGTTCCTGACCACTCTCCATACTAACTTCCACAGTGGCTACACTAGTCTACACTCCCAAAAATTCAACTTAAAAAATTAAGAATTAGAGCCCAGCGCCGTGGCCTAGTGTAGTGGTTAAAGTCCTTGCCTTGAATGCACCAGGATCCCATATGGGTGCCAGTTCTAATCCCGGCAGCCCTGCTTCCCATCCTGCTCCCTGCCTGTGGCCTGGGAAAGCAGTTGAGGACAGCCCAAAGCCTTGGGACTCTGCATCCACGTGGGAAACCCAGAAGAGGATCTGGACTCCTGGCTTCAGATCAGCACAATACCGGCCATTATGGCCGCTTAGGGAGTGAATCATCAGATGGGAGATACTTCTGTCTGTCTATCCTCTCTATATCTGACTTCCCAATAAAAATAAAATAACTCTTAAAAAAAAAATAAAGAAAAAAGCCTGTAAGCATTCAAGGCATATCAAACAGTTCACTATTCAATTAACAATAAAATGTCATTTCTTTTTAGTCAGTACCTTTTCTTGAAAGACAACAGCAGTCTCTAGCCCTGGCATGATGTCCAGCAGGAGTCTGCAAGCCGCAGTGTTCAAAGGGGGTTCTCGGCTTGTCATCACATATGCATTCACCAGCTGCAAAGAAAAAAAAAATAAAATCCAGTCCAATAAACAATAACATATTCCCATCTTAGTCTTAAAACACAAATGAATCATGAAGTGAACCTTTAGTTTTTATTAGTAGTTATGATCCATGATACTGTTATACAAATTTTTTTCTGAAGCTGTAAGTCCCCCACAAAACAACTTAGCGGGCCCAGTGCCGTGGCCTAGCAGCTAAAGTCCTTGCCTTGAACGCACCAGGATCCCATATGGTCGCCAGCTGTAATCCCAGCAGCCCCGCTTCCCATCCAGCTCCCTGCTTGTGGCCGGGGAGAGCAATGGAGGACAGCACAAAGCCTTGGGACCCTGAATCCACATGGGAGACCCGGAGGATCTCCTGGCTCCTGGCTTCGGATCGGCACAACACTGGCTGCTGTGGTCATTTGGGGAGTGAATCACTGGATGGGAGATATTTTTCTCTGTCTCTCCTCCTCTCTGTATGTCTGACTTTGTAAAATAAATAAATAAATAAATCTTTATAAAAATAACTTAGCCACCAAAGAAATTAAAGCTCAAGGGATATCACAAAAAATCACCCAAAACCTCTTACATTTTTTCAGATACAGTGGTTAGTGAAAAACTTGAATCTGTCATAACTGCATATACCTATTAATATGTATATGTAAGTAAAATTTCTTTTGGGCACTCATTTAGAACTTACTAAATCTCTACTAAATGACACTCCCTTTGGTGCTATGTACACCACAATAAATACTTATTGACTCAACCCACTATGAAAACATTTCTCAGAATTCAAGGAAAGTTGATAGCTGGAGTGAGGGTAACATCAGAAACATGCTACAGAAACATCTAAATTACACATTTCTGGCAGAGGAATCAATGAAGGCTAGAGAGATGATGATTCTAAACCAGAACAAAATGCACAAGAGAATTATCTACTCAAGAGTGGGAGAAGAGGGAGCCAGTAGGGAAAAGACTGATGCTGGAGAGAACAGATTAGAATTTTACACTAAACTAAGGAATTTAAATTTATTCTGAGGACACTGAGAAACCACAAATATATATTAAGAAAGAGGTACCAGGATATTTTGTGGTTCAGGAAGATTTTTGTACTACAGAGAATGGATTAAAGGAGGAAAAACAGTAAGAAACAAATGAGGCTATTGCAGTAACCAAGTAAGAGATAGCAGTGGTTAAACTAAGGTCTGATGACAAAGAAAGAATTGATGGCTATCCAAAGTTGAAGGAGAAAAGAATGACAAGATCTGTAAATTCTCTGAACAGGAGAGCTCACAAGAGAGTAAAGGATCCCTCTAGCTGGTCAGCTCATTACTGAGCTGTCAAATAAGAGAAACCGACTGTGCAGCCAATGGAGGTTAGACACAGAAGAACTGAAGGCACCCGGTGGGCTACCTCCAGGCAACATTCTCTAGAAGGCAGGAGGAAGTGACCTGCAGCTGAGAAGCAACACTGGTTACATATAAATAAATTTGGGTAAAAAAAGAAAATTAAAAAAAAAAAAGAAAGAAATTTGGGAATCATTATACTAACATGGGGTCCTCATGACGTGAGAGGCACTGAGCTATGCCCTTTCCAGGCCTGCCTAATTTTACTCAAAGCTTACAAGAATGTTTTGAGCGATCTTACTAGTATCCTCATTTTACAGATGAGACAGATAACATTTGGGGAAAATAAAGCTTAAAGAGGCTGAAGTCATTTGCCCCAAGACCAAACTTTCATTGAACAACAGAGCAGTATTGAAACCAGAAATAAACCCCAAAATCCCTTCCCTCAAGCATCATTTTTGTCTTAAAAAACAAACAAACAAAACCCATCTAACAGCTACAATGTATTGATGTATTGGGTAACTGTTATCTGCAGGAGCTGTGAGTGGAACAGTCTTACCCTCAGTCACTCTTTACACACATTCATTCTCTTTACTCTCCACAAAAGCATCAAGTTAAAGAGAAAGGACCTTTCTATTCCACCACATCCCAAGTGCAAACACCACTGTCAGTGTAGAATTACATCCTGCACATCACCTTTATTTTCTTATATTCTCACATTCAAAATCTTACCCAAAAATGAACATACATGAATTGGGACCCCACCAGTATTCATTCAGGCAAAGTTTACACCAAAGAGAAAATAAATCTGCCCACAACTAAGACTTTAACAAGACATAACCCAGGATCATCTTATTCCAACTGGACCAATGCCCACTCTAATCCCAACTTCGCCAAAGCTTTAGCAAAAAGCAAACAATTTACAAAATAAAAAACAAATAAATAAAATTATAGAATCTGCTAATAATCTCTGGAAGAAAGTAAAAACAGCAAACCTACTGCATTCATGAAATCATCATTCTTGAAGAGGATTCTCAGCAAGTGGCCCAGCATACATTCTGGATCAGCTCGACCTACCAAGAGAAGAGGGGGGAACAAAGGAATGAGTAAGTCATCCCAGTGAATCAACTCAGAGCTCTACAAAGGCACCTAGGTTGTTATAAATACCAGTAAAATGCCAACAAGCAAAAACCACCACCACCACCACAAGATTCTTGTGATGAAGCAGATTTTCAAAGAAAACCCCTGACTATGTAGTCACAAGAAAGCAGAAACCAAGCCCTTGACGGGTGGCCTGGGGAAGGTAGGTTCCACCATGTCCAAACACAATGACTGCAGCAGCAGATAAATAGTAGAACCCATGTGGACATCCAGGCATGGGGTGAATTTCACTAAGCAATCACTAACCTAAAGATGCAGTGGTCTTAAACATCTTTATCACCTATAAAAAGATAACAGATCTAGGACCTATTCAATGTATAACCTGAAGGTAAAAGAATTAGCTAATGATCAAAAGATGTGCTATAATCTTAAAACAGATACCATCTATTTTAATTTCCTTTCAGACTATTGGAAAGGCAAATTTAGCCACAGAATGAAGAAAAGATGCAAGCTACTGAAGGGAAGTTTTTACCAAGCTACGGGAACTCACAGTAATCCACAAAAGTTAGAGGATGTATCATAAACACAAATAAGGATGACCTCAGGGTCCTCTCACTGTTTACAAATGATAAAACTGAGATCTTTTTAAGTGATTAGGCCTGTAAGAAATATTCCTTAAAATAGATAAAAAATAAAAAATTCTAAGTCCCTACTAAAAAAAAAATAAGTGATTCTCTTCTTTTTCTCCATCATCACTTCATCCTTTCTAAAGCAAGGACACTTAGCGCGACCATCTCTTAATTTTTTTTATAATCCTTAATTTTATTTAAAAAATTTTTTCCATTTGAAAGACAGGAAGAAACGGAGCTCCTCTTGCTGGTTCACTCCCCAAAATTCCTACAATAACCTGGGCTGGATCAAGCCACGTCTCTCAAATGGTGCCACACACCCAAGCACCTGAGCCCTCATCTGCTGCTTCTCCTGTGTGCATTAGCAAGAAGCTGGAATCTGCAGTAGAGCTGGGACTCATAACCAGGTATCTTGATAAGACACACTCAAACCCTATTCCCACAAATTTAGTTTGAGGTTTTTGTTTTTTCTTTTAAAGATGTATTTATTTTTATTGGAGAGGAAGCTTTACAAAGAGATAAAGTTCTTCCATCACAGCAGTTCACTCCCCAAGTGGCCACAATGGGCTGAGCTGAGCTGAGCCAATCTGAAGTCAGGAGCCAGGAGCTTCAACCAGATCA